ACTTGCGTGCCTGGCAAACTAGTGGTTTCGTCTGAGACTTGATGCAGATGGATTATTCGACGCCATGCCCCATTTACGGCCTGGCGCGGGCAGCGGTTCATGCCCTGTGGCACATCCTTGTTTTGTGCCTCCAGCTCTCCCTTTTCCCTGCTGGTTCTTCTCACTAACCCTGCCGGCTTCGAGAACTTGTGGCCCGGCCGTTCTTACTTGTACTTGACCTTAGTAAACCGGAAGTCAAGGAAAGGAAGAGCAAGCACACACACTCGAGGCTTTTGCCAGGGAGGGAGGGAAGAGAGAAATGGATGCACGCGTGCATGCGTGGGGAAAGAGGAAGAGAAGTGGGTGAGATGCTGACTGAGTATGACACCATCTGATATTCACCCCCAGCGAGCAATGATCATCTCCTGGCTCTTCTTTTTCCCCTTGCTTCGTCATTCAAAGGTCGCCTCTTCTTGGTCAGCCGGGCTCGACGGGACGGATACAGGACTGATCCATGCTGAAGTGGCACAAAAAAGTCAGCCCTCTTTTGAGCTGATGTGATGCTTGCTTTATGGCTTTGGTGGGGGTTTGTAAGACCAGACGAGGGATACTAGGCGATGCCATGCCGTGTCGCTCTGTCTTGTCTCTGAATCTTTCAAGGCTACTTTTTTAGGTGTAGATAGACAAATAGAATACTAGACCGTTTTCTTTGGCTCTCTTTTTGTTGTTTCTTTTTTCTTTTCTGCTAATTTTCTTTCTTTCCTTTTCTTTTAGCGTAATCGAGGTTGCCGAGTCGAGTCCGAATATCAAATCTTCTTTTGATTTCCTCGATCCTCTTTTGGTTCCTTGCCTGTCCATTCATGTCCATTCATCAATTTTTGTTTGGTCTTTCTGTGCACACGTATACGGTACAAGTACTCTCGGTTGACGGGAACCGCACCAGGTTCTGCTCGACGGTAGTTGCAAAGTGACAGCAAACAAAAAGCTTTTCTGTTCTCTCATCTCTCAATCTCTGCAAATTAATATCGTGAACCACTAATACAAGATTCCCGTTTTTGCAGAAACAGAGAAGAAAAATGTAGACATGGCAAGACACTGCAGACAAAACTAAACAGGCACCTCGCCGTTCGTTCCTGGTCGCCGAGTGGGTGGCGGGGAAGGGGGTCCGAAAGAAGGGGTGGACGCGGGCGGCAAATATAGAGTTTATAGTGTTTTAATGGGGCATGGCGTGCCAAACTCGATTGAGGAACAAGAAAAAGAGAGCCTAGAGGTTGATACGCCAGGTACATGACCTTTTGGGGGAGAGAGCCAAGCCTCCAGTCCATCGAAGCGTAGCGTCCCGAGGTAGTGCGATAGCTTTCGTGACCTGAGACTGGCATAATTGTGTCTCTCCTCGATGTTCCGCCTCGATGTTCCCATTTCCCACTACCTCGCCTCGAGTGAGGAGGGGAGCGAGGGGGCCATCTCGAGGGCCAAAGCCAGAAGCGGGAAGTTCTGCGGTGATTGCGTGGAACCTGGTGGAACCCACCTCATGCGTGAGGTGCTTACACCACACACCACACCACACCACACCACATACACTACACTGCACTACACTCATTCAAGTTTGGACAACCAAATCACATATTCATTAATATCCACACCCACAAAACGCACGCCCAAGACGAGCCGACGAGTGGCCGCTTGGCCGCCCACCCGTTCGTTGGCCTTCGTAGCCGGCATGGGCGTCGATTCCATGGACGGATCCATTTTCGATGCTTGTCCATTTTGCCCAGACCTGCGTAGGCTATCTCCTTGCAATTTACTCACATGTTGTTGCTGATTGCTCTACTACCGCCGCCGCCGCCGCCGTTACTGCTCCTTGCGTTGCTTTGGTCTCGGGGACCCCACGAGGGACGGACGCGACCCAGCAACCCTTTTTTCAAACGGTCGCGGCTCTTTCGGCTCATACCTTACCCCAGCGCACTGTCCGTATCTGGGGTTGGACCGTGAGAATGCGCCTGTTTCGAATTTTCCTTTGAATCCTCCCCTTTTCTTTTTACGAGCAGAGAAGTCGACGTTGCCCGGGTGCAACATATACGCGCAGAGGCAAGTTGCGACACTCCCTTTGTGCGAGCATGGTATCAATCGATGAAGAGGACCCACCTCGATTGGAATCCTCAGTCAGGAAGGTCCGGTCCATCCTGACATAGTTCGTATGTGCCTGCCCTGGCCTGACCCGGCCCGTTATCGTATTTGGGTGCTTCGTAATATCAAATTCTTCTCTTTCCCCCTCCCTTTGTGCAACTGCATCGCCGATGATTGCTGAGGAATTGGCGTGTCGGCCGTCATTTGTGCCTCGTGGCTATGGCGGGTAGTCCACGCTCTCCTGACGAACGTGTGCCTTGGGAACCTCGCAACGTTTCTGTTCTTGCTCGATGGACGACACACAGCCGCACCTTCTCGTTGGCTAGGCTTTCCTTCTTTCTTGATTTCCGGTGGGTCTGTCTTTCCCCTCCTTTTCCCCCTTCCCCCTTCGCATGCCCAAGAGCGGAAAGCCACTTTTAGTCAGGGAGCCCGCATTGAATGCAGATCAACTCGATCACCAGATTTTGCGGGCCAAAAACCTAAAATGAACGTTTGAGAAGGTGGAAGGAAGGAACCGACGGCATCGCGCAGCTCCACTTATTTTTTCATCAATGGCTTAAGACCTGTCGTCCGACGCTTACACTATCATACCTTGCCCTAATAATACCCCCTTCTCCATGTCCAGACGGATGATGGAGAGCAGAGAGTTCGAAACATCAAACTGGGTATTGATTGCGCTGGCAAAGGGTTTGGCGGGCACATGCGCCCGTTCCTGCTCCCTGGGCGGAGAAAACTAGACATATCTGATACTCGAGGTCGCGGGGTGGCTGGAGGGAACCATTGCGCAAGCTGGTCGGCTAGGCACCGGTATTATTATTGTACACTGTAATTACACTGTATACATGTATACTTGGCGATGAAGGAGGGATCGATTGTATGGAACAGAATCAGAGAAGGACTGCAAAGATGACATTTGGGCACAGCGCACACTGTGCCTCGAGCAGAGCAGTCTAGCAACCCCCTGCAGTCGTGCAGAACGAAGAATCCGTCCATGCAGGAAGTAGGGCTCACTAATACAAGGGAGGAAGGGAGAAAAAAGAACTGGTGCACCAAATCAATGACGGAGAGTGAAAAAAAAAAAAAGAAAAGGGCAAGTTTCACCGAGAATTGAATCACGACATAGCGACATGGCGGAACTGGGCTAACGCCCAGCCCAAAAACAAATAATCCCTGTACTGGAGCTGAAAAAGAAAGAAGAAAAAAAGCCTCCCCGACAAAAACCCAAGGAGTGAGAATGTTGGAGCTTTTTTGAAGCTCCGCTCCCTTTTCTACCTCAACAAGCTTCGCCGCCATCGGTCATTGAACTGGGCGGCGTCTGTTTTGAGTCCGGGGCGTCGCCGTGGCGTTGGAGACGCACTGTAGCCTCGTAGCATGACGCCTACTTAGGGAAGGACTGGCCCGGTCTGACGTGGGCCGAAAGGGGGTTAAAGTGGAGAGGGTTTAGTGTACTTGTAGTGCAGTGGAGAGTGAGAGGAACCGAGGCGAGGGTGCGAGCATGCATTAGAAGTTGAAAAGAAAGGTGAAGAGCCAAAGCAAAGCGGATATCGCTATCGCTTTGGTAAACACGAAACGTAGTCGGCTCCACCAGAGCACTTGGAGGGATAAGTCAATCGAGATCGAGAGGATTGATAAACTCGATGACGGATCCATTGGATCTTTATCAAAAAGAAAAAGAATCGGGTGCTTCTTCTGTTTTTCTTTTCTTCTCACTACTCGTATTATCGACAGGCTCCGCCCGGGTCCGATTGAAGGAACGAGAATTTGAAATCGAACACAAATTTTTTACACCGAGCAAATGCCCTGACAAGGCCAAATTCCTGACATGCACGTCCAGGAATAGCGTATTCAGTGTGCACCCACACCCGCAGGGGAAAAAGGGAAAGGTCAAATCAATTGAATTGATCGTTGAAAAGGATCCTCGGTGCGGCGGGATTCGTATGTCACAGTGCCAGAGGGTCACTCTTCTTACTATCCTGGGCGAGGTTTGATAGGCTACTCGTTCGTACCCGTTGGGCGTGCCAAGGGGCAAAGTGGTACCTGGTGGGAGAGGAGCGAGAAAAAAAGGGCCTGCTTCGGAAAGGGAAGGGGAAACCCAAGCCAAGGTGACACCCAGAAACACCGTGATGGGCTGGCCGGCCATCTTCTTCCTGTGGCACGCCCCGTGGAGTCAGCCAGAGACACACCTTGCAAGTAGCAAGCAATAAATGGACCGACCCAGACATTCCCGAGTGCCCACACCTCCACGCCCCCAAAGAGCCCAGCAGCCCAAGAGGTTGCTTGGAGTTTGTAGACACCCACCGCACGTTTATTGCACTGCCAGAACTACACACCCGCACCAGCACAACCCGCACACCCCCTTCACCATCCCGCCCCAGGGCTTCCTTCCCCTTCATATTGTTCATGGTCCCCCAGCCATCTTGGGCCGTTCCCGTCATCCAGCCATCCACCCATTTTTTCACCTTCTCATCTTGCCTGGGGGAGCAAGCAAAAGGCCCCATTCTTCTCTGCTAGAAGGATCGATTCCATCGGCATCGTTTCTTATTATCTCCTATTCTTCTTTTTTCTCCTTCCTTCTATTCAACGCCTTTCCTTTTTTATTTCTTCTTTCTTCCCCCATTCGGACTCGACCGCCCTGTTCCTGCGTGAATCTTCAACCACCCTCCCCATTTTCCGATCGGGGTCATTCGAAAATACGTTTTTGCCATCATCATCATCATCCCATAGTCGATACACGGGACCACGACACACGCGAGAGCTTCCTTGCCGGCTTGTCACGTTTTTTTCTCCCCTTTCTGCGTTGGATAGCTTTCCCTTAATCGAGAGGGACGAGTCTCTTAACCTCTTGCCCCCGCCTTTTCCGGGGCCTCAAACAACCACCCACTAGCGCGACTCGAATGGTCGAACACTCCCCTCGGGGAATCCATTCCCGCCTCCAGTCCACCGCCGACGCCTTGATGTAATCGCTTTCGCGGCTTTTTTCCCCCTCCTTGTTCTCCTTCCAGGACCAATGCCGCGACGGCCACCCGTTGACGGACGCCATGGGGAGGTGGTGCGCAGCGCAAGAAACTCGTGCTCGCCTGTGCAGCCCTCTTCCTGGCCTCGTGCGTCAACATTGCCGAAGCCGCCCAGAACCAACCCCGAGCCGAAGCCGCTCATAATAACCACCACACCGTGGAGCCGCCCCTGGCTGCTCAGATCAACCGACAGGTCGCTGCAGACGACATCGACGACGCGCTCAACGAGTGGGCTCATACCGTGATCCAGCCCGGTTCCGTCAAGTCGAACCCCAACCCAGCCCGCAAGAACGCGCCCGAAGCGCCCTCTCCTCCCCCTCTCACCCCTATAACCACCAGTACGATAACTATGATCGTCAAGAACAACGCAACCAGCCGCGTTCGCGACGCAACTCCCAACAACAACAACAACAACAGCAACATCCGAATATAGACGAATACAACAATATTGCTATTCCTGATGATGCGAGCGCCCTCGCAACTTTGGCTCCGGCTCAGCCCGTTCGAGCACCGCCCGCAGGACTCCGACCCAGCGCCTCGGCAGCCGCCGGGGCTCTGGGCTCGCTTCGCCGCAGAGTGCGCGGAGTCTTGCGGACTGGGAAGTGGAAGACTTTGTTCTTATGGCGACCGTCGATGGAGATCTCTACGCCTCTGACCGTAAGACGGGCCAGAAGCGCTGGCATCTCGAAGCCGATCAGCCCCTGATCGAAACTAGCCACCATCGCGCCAACACCTCCACCCTCGATGACGATTACCACCCCGTCGACCACTACATCTGGGCCGTCGAGCCCAGCCGCGACGGCAGCCTGTACCTCTGGATTCCGGCTGCTCCGGAGCCCACCCTCGTCAAGACAGGCTTGACCATGAAGAAGCTCGTCGAGGAGCTCGCCCCCACGCCATCGATGACCCCCGTTGCCTATCTGGGCGAGAAGAAGACGACCATGATGACGCTGGACGCCGCTACCGGCCGCGTCCTCAAGTGGTTCGGCACTAGCGGGTCCCAGGTCAACGACGCCGAGAGCTGCTTCCGCCCCAACGCCATTTACGAGGAGGAGGAATGCAGCTCCTCGGGCACCATTACTCTCGGCCGCACCGAATACACGGTCGCCGTCCAGCGACGGGACGGACGGCCCATCGCCACCATCAGGTACGCCGAGTGGGTCCTCAACACCTTTGACCACGACCTGCTCCAGCAGTACAACATGCCCCTGGACCAGTGGTACATTACTAGCCAGCACGACGGCATGGTCTACGCCTTCTCCAGCGACCGGGACAACGTGCCGCTGGCCATCGACAACGACGACGACACCCCCACCTGCGCCCTTTGCTCAAGAACAAGTTCCCCAGCCCCGTGGCCCGCGTCTTCGACGTGTGCCGGCCGCGAGGCACCTCGAGCTCCGGCAACAGCGACCGGGACTCGGAGCTCATCATCCTCCCCCAGCCCCCGCCGCCGCCCCACGACGCGCGCGCGGTGTACGAGCGCGGCAACAACGTGTTCCTCAACCGCACCGACGAGGGCAGCTGGTACGCGCTGTCGGGCCAAGCGTACCCCCTGATCCTCTCGGCCCCGACGGCCAAGATTGAGCGGCCCGAGTGGTGGCAGCTCCGCCAGTCCATCGACACCCTCTCGCCGGACCAGTTTACCGGCGCGCTCATCGGCACCCACCACCTCGACATGGTGAGCGGGCCCGGCGGCGAGCACTACCACCCGCCTACCCTGCCCCCGGCGCAGATTGGAAGCTCGCGCGAGTCGGAGAACGAGTCGGTGCTGCGCCCGCCGCCGCTGTCCGCGGAGGACGACTACCCGCGCACCATTGGGTCCCGGGTCAAGACGTTCCAGCAGGCGGCTGTGGACAAGCTCATGGCGTGGGTGATGAACGAGGTGTGGATTCCCATCTTTGTCATTCTCATCATTGTCTACCAAAAGGAACTCCGTCGGCAGTGCAGGCGTCTCGCCAGCAGGCGATTCTGGGTGGAGTCGGGCTTCCTGCCCAAGAGAATCGCGGCCATGGAGCACGACTCGGACTCGGAGTCGGAGGAGAAGCCTGTTGGGAAGCCGTCGGCGGCGACCGCCAGGTCTGTGGAGAAGAAGCCTGAGCGCGAGCCCGAGGCTGTGCCCGAGGCGGCTGCACAACAGCAGGCTGACAAGGAGTTGACGCCCGCTGCCGAGCCCGAGAGCGTGTCGGAGGAAAACTCGTCGCCGGCACCCGAGGATGATAGCGTGGCGGATTCGGCGTCGTCTCGCGCAGATTCGGCCGAGGCCGAGGCCTCGTTGGGTGATCGCGTGGCGGAGAAGGGAAGCCTGCCCGTGTTGCCTGAAGAGGACGAATCGCACCGACAGGAACCGAGCAAGGAGGCTGAGGCCGAGGTGGAAGCCGTTACGACGGTGGCTCGGCCTAGTAAGCGGCGGACGGATGGCCAAGTCAACGATGTACCTGTAGAAAAGGAGAAGAAGAAGGCGCACCGCGGCCGTCGCGGGGGCGTGAAGCACCGCAAGAAGGATAAGAAGAGGGAGGCGTCGGAGGAGTCGCCGACACGGACTGATCCGATGACGGCGGTAGAGGACGCTGTAGACAAGGTGATTCGTCTCCGCGAGCCGGCGAACATGGAACCCGACGTGCACACGCTCCCCGACGACATGCAGTCGGTGGCGGGTCCCATTATCCGCATGGGCAATATCGAGGTGGACATGAACGAGCACTTGGGCACTGGCAGCAACGGCACGCTTGTGTTCTCGGGCAAGTTTGACGGGCGGGTGGTGGCGGTCAAGCGCATGCTCATCCAGTTTTACGACATTGCGTCGCAGGAGACCAAGTTGTTGCGGGAGAGCGACGACCACCCCAACGTGATCCGGTACTTTGCGCAGCAGGTGCGCGACGGGTTCCTCTACATTGCGCTGGAGCGGTGCGCGGCTTCGCTGGCCGACGTGATTGAGAAGCCGCACATGTACGCGGACGTGGCTCAGGCGGGCAGGAATGACATTCCCGGCGTGCTCCTGCAAATCACCAACGGCATCAGCCACCTGCACAGCCTCCGCATCGTGCACCGCGACCTCAAGCCGCAGAACATCCTGGTCAACATGGGCAAGGATGGGCGACCCAGGCTTTTGGTGTCGGACTTTGGCCTGTGCAAGAAGTTGGAGGGCGGGCAGTCGTCGTTTGGCGCGACGACGGGCCGGGCGGCGGGCACGTCGGGATGGCGGGCGCCAGAGCTCCTCATCGACGACGACGGATCGGTGATGGCGGACAGCACGCACAGCGGGTCCGGGTCGGTGCTGGTGGGGGACCACAACATGCTGCCCAAGAGCCGGGCGACGCGGTCGATTGACATCTTTAGCCTGGGCCTCGTCTTCTTCTACGTGCTGACCAACGGCTGCCACCCGTTTGACTGCGGGGACCGGTACATGCGGGAGGTCAACATCCGCAAGGGCAACTACAGCCTGGACCTGTTGGACTCGCTCGGGGACTTTGCCTACGAGGCCAAGGACCTGGTGAGCTCGATGCTGAGCCAGGACCCCAAGACGCGGCCGACGGCGCGGGAGGTGATGGCGCACCCGTTCTTCTGGACGACCAAGACGCGGCTGCAGTTCCTCTGCGACGTGTCGGACCACTTTGAAAGGAGCCGCGGGACCCGCCGAGCGCGGCGCTCCAGGAGCTGGAGGCGCACGCGCCCGACGTGACGCGGGGCGATTTCCTCAAGCACCTCCCGCGGGACTTTATCGACTCGCTGGGCAAGCAGCGCAAGTACACGGGCTCGCGGCTCCTGGACCTGCTGCGGGCGCTGCGCAACAAGAAGAACCACTACGAGGACATGCCGGATTCGCTGAAGCGGTCGATTGGTTCGTTGCCCGACGGGTACTTGGCGTTTTGGACGGTGCGGTTCCCGAAGCTGTTGCTGGTGTGTTGGAATGTGGTGTATCAGGTGCAGTGGGATTCGGCGGATCGGTTCAAGGAGTATTATGAGCCTGTGAGGACGTGATGAGGGGAAGGGGTTTTCTTGGTTTCGTTTTGGCCTTTTTTTTTTTTTTGGTTTGGTTTGGTTTGGATCTTGGTCACTTTTCTTTCGAAAAGGGTTTCGGGTATCTATTTTGCAAGTGTATAACAGGCTAGATTGAATATATGAAAAGGAAGGTTTGGCTATTATCAAGTTGGCTCTGCTATCTCTCTATTGACTATGTATTGTGATCTATCAAGGACCTCTTTCTGTCTACATGTAAGAACAGCAGCGGCATGCTTGAGATGTGTTTTTTTCTTGCTTCATCGGGACATGGATCGAAATCGTATATCTCGCGTCTTGCCAACGAGACGTCATGTCACTACTTCCCACATATGCTTCCTACATGTTTGCTGATACGTCTCGGGGCAAGTCGCGGTCCGAAGCATGGTGAGGCAGCTTAACCGAAAAAGTGCAATCTCTTTTATTTTATATATAGTTTTTTTTCCATTCCCTTATCTGTACAGGTTTCCTATCACGTCTCTTTCCGTCAAATGAAACAGAATAAATCAGACGAGAAGCAAAAATGGGGAAAACGTCTTGTCCCAAAACCGCCGAAGGTTCCGAAGGATTTGGCGATGATGATATGCGGGGATCGTTCCCTTTTTCCCACCATCCTTCTTTTTCTTCATCAGACGAACCAAACATATATTCTCTTGTCGAACATCTCTTCTTCCTAAACAAGACCCAAAAATATCTATCCACGATCAGAAAATCAGCAACAAACCCCTTCGCAGATATAAATAGTCCCATAACCAAAATCACCGACAGCGAACCAAGAGGTCCAAGCCATTTCCCATTCCTGCTTCCTGCTTCCTACTCCCACCCACCCCCTCCACACCAATCCTCCCTCCCGCCGTCCACCATCCACTCACATCTTACCCGTTCCTAACCGTCCCACCCCACCCGCAACCCTTCCCCCTTTCCATGTTCCCTCCACCACGGGCGCAGGGGATGCCGTCACGGGCTGCCCAAGGAGGAGGGAGGATATTAGAGCGGACGCGGACAAAGGAGGGAGACGACCTTTTTCCCCATAACATCGTCTCCTTCCAGTCTTTTCCTACCCTTTGCCTGTTGTGCACCTGATTTTCCGTTTGTCTTCTTTTCGGCTCCCTTGCTCGCTCGGTTTCTTGCTTTCTTGCTCTTTTTCAGTTTTTGTTTCCCTTCGTCTGCCCATGTCTTTTCTCCCTTCTTGATGCCCCTTTTGTTCTTCTGTTGCTGTTGCTCTTGGTACAATTTTAACATGACGTCAAGTCTCCCGAAACTAACATCTTCTTGGTCGAGTCTCGAGTATCATCACAACACGCGCGGACACGATATCTCAACGTCAAAGTGAAACCTCCTGGCCCATCGACATGTCTCTAGAAAGACTACATGTAGAGACCAAGTCCCTTGACTCAGATGTCCGAACCGTGTCGCTTTCGAAACTCTAGCCCACATCATTTCACGACAACAATAGGCAAAGCACCACACAATATCAACGTGAAAAATAAACAGAGTGTGAGAGAGAAAGAGAGCGATAAAAACGCCCCCGTATATCAATGTCAATGCCTTCGTCTTTATTTTGCCAGACTCCCTTCATTCTCATGACATTCGCCCTTGTCCGTCTTTTCTTCTTCTTCTTCTTCTTCTAGGTCATCGCCTTCTTCCTATTTTGGAATCCTGTCAAATTACACATCTATGGAACCTCCGAGGCGCGCGCAAAGGGAAAGAAAGTCACAAGAGAAAGGAACCGCCAACAAAAAAGCCCTCGGTTTACTCTAGTTGGACTGCGCCAGCGCCTTGTACTGCTCCGAGTTGAGGGGCTTGGGGCCAATGCCGTTGCGGTTGCGGAAGAAGAGAATCTTCTTGCCCGCGCCCTTGGCGCCGGCACTAGGCTCAACCCACTGGCAAGACCTCGCCGAGGTATACATGGCTCGGAGGAAGCCCCACGGGCCGTCCTTGGTATCAGCACGGTAGTGCTTGCCCATGACCTTTCGGATGGCATCCGACGCCTCGTCGGCGTTGTAAAAGGGAATGGTGCTGACATAGTGGTGGAGGACGTGGGTCTCGATGATGCCGTGAAGGAGGTGGCGGCCGATGAAGCCCATCTCACGGTCGATGGTCGCGGCAGCGCCACGGACAAAGTTCCACTCCTCCGAGTGGTAGTGAGGAGCGAGGGGTCGGTGTGCTGGAGGTAGGTAATGGCGACTAACAAGGGAGACGAATGGTTAGCACACTTGGTCCGTCAGACGACACATAAACCGAACAAGCCCTCCCGTGCGAGGCATCCAACGAGGACGCTCTGCGTAACCCGATCGAGGCCATGGAACACCGAGGCGAAATGGATAACTCTAAAAAAATTAAAAAAATTCACGACTTACCAAGCCAGTGGTTGACCCAGAGGTAGGGAATAAAGTACCACACGAGCATGTTGGACCAGCCGAAACGGTTACCGAGGTAGTAGAGGGCGGAACCGGCCAGAATGATGCCAATATCGCTCATGACAATAAGACCAGCGTGCTTGTTGTCGTAGAGGGGGCTGCGGGGGTCGAAGTGGTTGACACCACCGCCGGTACCATTGTGCTTGCCCTTTCCCCTACCCTCACGCTGGCGTTCGTGGTGGTTGTGGCCGGTGACGTTGGTCATGAGATAGTTGGGCCAGCCGACGAGCTGCTGGGCGATGAGCATCATGAGGTTGTAGATGGGGGTCTCCTCGGTCAACTCGCCGAGCTCGTGCGCCATCTTGCCGAGGCGGGTGGCCTGCTCCTCGCGAGTGCGGGGCACGAAGACCATGTCGCGCTCCATGTTGCCAGTGGCCTTGTGGTGAGCAGAGTGGGAGAGCTGCCAGCTGAAGTAGGGCACGAGGAGCGAGGAGTGGAGAACCCAGCCGGTGAAGTTGTTGATGGCCTTGGACTCGGAGAAGGCGCCGTGGCCGCACTCGTGGGCAATGACCCAGAGACCGGTGCCGAAGAAGCCTTGAAGCACCGTGTAGAGGGCCCAGAGACCGGCGCGGGCGGGCGTCGAGGGAATGGTCTCGGGGGTCACGTAGTTGTGGAAGATGTAGAAGGTGGTGGCGAGGCACACGATATCGCGGAAGATGTACAAGTAGCCCTTGAGAGCGGACCGCTTGAAGCAGTGGGCGGGGATGGCATCGCGAATCTCCTTGATGGTGAAATCCGGAGGCTCAAAGGCGTTGCCGTAGGCGTCCAGGAGCACGCCCAAATCCTTCTGCTCGACCGCCTCCTCCGAGGCAAGCGACGACAGCGAGGTAGACGAGGCCGAGGGCCGGGGAGAATCGACGGGCGAGACATCCGCCGTGGAAGGAGACGAGTATTCGGAATCGAGACGAGACACACCGCGACGAGTGGCCCGCTTGGCGGGAAGGGAGGTTGTGGAGGCCATGATTAGGTTTTGGGGGAGGATGGGCCGATTGCTATGGTCTGCAATGCCTTTCGAGGTTAGATGGGAGGAGGCAAGAGGACGAAAGAACAAAAAAGAAGAGTTGATCTCTCGGGATCTCTAGGAAACGAGGTTCGACGAAAAAGACACACCGATGCCAACGGGGTCCAACAATAAGGGAGGGGAGGGGGGATGATGAAGATAATAGAGGCCCTACGGAGAAAGGGAAAAGAAAAAAAAAGAAAAAGGGAAAGGGGTGTGTGGGTGGGAAACGGGAGCCGGGGGCTTATTATTCACTCTGGACTTACCTTGCCGGCAGACTTTAGACGGGGGTGAGGGAAGGAGGGTCGGCGTGTTGGGTCCTTTGCCTCCTCTCTGGTAGGTTGGGGATAGTTTGAACAAAACGCCTAGACTTGCGCCTTCCCTTTCTTTTTTTTTTCTTCAAGGCCTCAGACACGTGAAAGAGGATGGATCAGGAGAGACTGGAACGCGACAAGGAAAGCCGAAGCCAGCAGGGGGAAAGACAATAACAGGTGAGGGACGGTAATCGGCCGTCGATGATTTGTTGTTCTCTTTTTTAATTCTCGTCTTCTCCGGGGTCTTTTTATTTTTTTCCCTTCCTAGCCATGGATGGACTCTTTTCCCTGGTCTGTTAGTTTTTTATGCCTTTTCTCCGAGTGTCTTCTTTTTCTTTTTTTCTTTTTTCCCTCTCTTTTTTCTTTTTCTTTTCTTCTTCCGTTTGGACATTCAACCATTCCCGCAAGTGCTGTTTTACAAAGAGCGGCCCCCAGAATTCAGTACAGGGTACAATAAAGTGCATGCATTGGTACTACGATTGTCCTGTACTAGTACGTATGTCGGAGGATCCATCCGATCTCTGTGGTTGGGGAAAGCACCATGGATGGGCGGGATGGAAATTTTCAGGCCCCGGCCTGCATCTCGTTCTGTCTGGTACCTGTTGGGTGGGCAAGTGGGCTGCTATGGGCTGTCTCCCCTTCCGATCACTGCCAAACCCCTTTTTCTCCCTTCAACGTTCTCTTTCCCCCTGAAAATCGCCGCTCGCCCCCTATCACCGCTTGGGAAGGAACGAAGCCCAGCGAGCTCTAGCCCAGGCAATTGCCTCGATGTCGCCTTCCGCCACACCCAAACTTTGTTGGGGCATGTGGGGGCGGGGGTGGGATTGGTGTCGACAAAGCCCAGCACTTGCCAGGTCGGTTCCCGGACGAGTGGTGCGTCAGACTGCAGTGCCTGTCTGAGGCGACTGGTCTGACAGGACAGCTATGAATCAACGAACCAACCCTCCCTTTCCCTCCCTAGTTCCTTAGTTTTGAGGCGGTTTACCAGCCACGACGTGACAGGCTGTGGACCGAGAGAGCTAGCTGACAAGAAAAGAGAGGAGAAAAGAAAAAGAAACAAAAAGAAAAAAGAAACCAATACCACCTTCGACTCAAGACACAAGGAACTGGCTGGCCCATTCAACCTCCAGAGTCTCACATCACATCAAGCATGATGTCGAGTCAAAACCCGAAATGGGAGAATGAGTGCCGCGTGGAGGCGGGCTGAACGCTTCCCGCCCCGGCAGCACAGCTGGGCGTGCTTTTTCTTTCCTTTGTTTTTCTTTTTCTTGCACATCTCCAAGCCGGGCCTGTCCCAGTGGTCCATCCTTGATCCCCCATTCGGCGATAACTTGGACAGCCTGGAGTTCCCGATCTTTGTCCTTGAGTTGAGGGTCCCTCAAGAGTGGGGGAGCTTCAAGGTAGGTGGACGATGCGCCGATACTTTCCCTTCTGGTCGTTGCCGTGGACCAACAAATGGTGCTATCGTTCAGAGCATTTCCCAACATTGAAAGGGACATGGAACCAGTCTACCCGATTCTTTTTCTCCCACTCACTCCATTTGCCTACCCTCCTCGCACCACCCACAACCACCTTCTGCTGCCCGCGGCCTCCTTGGCAATCTTGCACCGAACGTGGCATGGGGGCTCTTCGCTTCAGCGGCTAACCCGCCCGATGGTGGCCATCTCGCAATCCGAGCGGGGTTGGAAGAACAAGTTCCAGATCGAGCCAGGTAATGACTTGCATTGGTCTAATGCCAGCTTGGACCAGCTGCTCGATCAAACGAGCTTGCGGACCGCCGAGACTTGACTATTTCTGTGCCTCTCCTGCAGACATGGTCATCTTTTTTGGCGCCAGAGTCCTCTTTGATAGGGGAGGCAATGTCTCTTTTCTTACTTGCCCCTCACCGTGAGATCGACAGACTGCTATAAACAGAAGATCACACCGCCCTTTTTCTGAAGGCGTGGAACGATTCAACCCGATTTCTGCTCGTCGAGATCCTTTTCAAAGAGCCTCGAGGCCGGGGTCTAGGACGTATGAAGTATAAACCGTCGTCGTTACAACCTCAAACCACCCCACCAAGCCGAGGGGCCAATGAACGGGCACGAGGTATCAAGAGGAGTTTCTCGAACAGACACCAGAAGCCCATGTGTGTGAGGCCTCCTCGAGAAGCTCAATGCAAACGAGAATGACAAGTACCTTGCTCACGAACGAGCACGACGGCTCTTGGAAAGAAAGAAAAAGAAAAGAAAACAAACAAAAAAAAAAAAGGAGAAAAAAAACAAATGGAGCAAAGGAAGAGAAGCCGCTTCGTCTTGGCGAGGGGCGTGTCCCAACAAAATTCTATGCGGGGCCCCAACAGAACGTTTAATGGAAGGTGGAGGGGTACATTGTCCCACACTCACCCACCCACATCGCCTCCAGGTACCCGCCATCACCTCTTTAAAGCAGGCAAGTTGCTAGTCTATCTGTTTTTTTCTTTTCTTTTTAGTGCCTGTCGCTTAGGGGAATTAGGGAAGAAAACAGGAAGTTTCAGCGACGCCAATCTCTCTTTCAGGGTGGGGAGCTTTCTATATCCCGAGGCACGTAGCACAAGGAGGGAATGGAGGTTTTGACATGTGGGAGGCTGGCCCAGTGCTCTCGTCCCTGTTTTCTGCTTGGGACGTTGGACAGCACAGTCTGTCTAGTCTGGGGGACGGCCATGCCGTTTCAGAGGGCATTTCGGTGCTGTGGACCCGGCGGGAGCTGCCACCTCCTCTCCCTTCACACAACCACAAAGTAGAAGCCGGGTCCCACTTTAATTGGTACTGAACTCTTTTTTTCGACTCGAGCGTCTCCTCCTGTCTCCCGCCCAGAGGACGCTTTTTTGCTGGCGGCCCCTCTTCTGCTTGTCCACCTCGTTGCCGGCCCGGCAGCACGGCTGGTCCGAACCAACCAGTCAGCCATTGCCCCCGTTCGACTTGGACGAGGACGGAGGAGTGGAGCACTACCGGGGGATGGATCAATTGATGACCACCAGTGCAACCACCGCACCTCAATCACAAATTTGCGAGTGGTCCCTCCGCGATTGAGGGAAAGGCGCCGGCCGGTCACGCCGTCTTTGTCAGAAAACGGGGCTGGGGTTCAGCTCCACGTCAATTGTTGTGTCTTGCACACACATGTTTGTGCTTCCGCTCTGATTGGATTTGATTCCGTCAACCGCCTTTTTTTTTTTTTTTTTGTCCTGTCGTATTTAATATGGTACACTCTCACTAGAACATTCAAGGAAGAGAAGAAGAAGAAAATCATGATGAAAGAAAATAAATAGTGAGAAACCAAATCGGTGGGAAATGATGAACCGATCAGTCGTGACTATACAAAGGGCTTTACGTGGCCGCGTGTGCAGCTGTCGTGAGACTATCACGCCAGATAGGATCCGGTAGCGGTAGCACTATCCTCACAGCCAAGATATCTGCCCGGGAGCATCCGAGGGAGCACAAGAGGCGGGGAAAGATGACCAGCCGCTACCCGTCGAGATAGGGCGAGCAAAAGCGAGCTTGTTTCCCCAAATGTGACGAGGACTTGGGCCTGAGCCGAGGCAAGAGCAAACACACATAATGATGAGCGCTGCATGTCTCTCGGGCGGAGAGAGGTTGAAACCTCTTCTCTCACCTCCTCCTTTACGCACTGCTAGCCAGCGCTGGGAAGGAAGAGGAGAGAGATTAGCAGATCCATCGTGGGAGCGCAACCGAGGGTGCTACGAAAGAGTGCCTTGAGCTGTGGTCTTTTTGGTGAGTTGGGCACTCGCGACGACTTGGGTTGTGGTCAATCCATGCGAGTCTCAAGCCACTGAGTCTCAGCCCCCTTTAGCAAGTACGACGAATAGCTTGGAAGAAAACGGGCCCGTGGTTGGCGAAGAGGCAACACCGTTGTGTTCAAGGCCTAGAACCGCTTCAGAGAACGGATTTGGCATTGGGAAGACCATTTCGCCACTGCACCAAGACAACCCATGTGGCTTCTGTAACCAAGCAGGCAAGTAAACAGCGTGCGCTCGTAGTATAGTAGTCTTTGGTGCCGTTTTGTGCTTTTATCGTGAGCGGGGTTTGCTGCGAGGGCGGAAAAGGGTCTTGTCTCCAAGGTCATTTCGAGGTACGACTAGTCGAATGCATCTCCACTTCGAGCCCATATCGAGTCATTGGGAGCCTGGGTAGTGATTGACGTTGCTCCAAGAAAACAAAGTCAGTGTAGACAGACCATGACCATAGCAAAGGCGTGTATGAGAACAATAGTAGGATTAATAAAAAAGAAGCGTCGATTTCATTCTCGCGTCATGCAAACCTCACAAGGGAGTTTTCATTTCCACTCTAACGCCTACCCTATCATATATCATCGGTTTCCGTTGGCCAGCAGAGACCGAATCTTGTTAGGTCCTGCTCTACCCCTCCTCTCCCCGTGTCCGCATCCTCCTTCTCCTCTCTGTCTCTTTTTTTAGTGGGTACGCGAAAACAGAAACGATGTATAGGACACACATGTCAAAAAGAAAAACGGAAATGCCTAGAAAACAAGCCGAAACACGGGAACCAAATGCTACTTTTGCCTCCCTCGCCTTCCCCCATGATCCTGGATGATTGATTAGGTGATGATCTCCTCGTTCTCCTCGAGTACCTCCTCTACAATCTCCTCGATCAGGGTCTCTTCCTGTGTGCCCTCGAGAGAAGCCACCTTGGCCTTGAGAAGTTCCGCCACGGGGTCCTGAGGGAGACCGTATATCTCGCGCTCCTCGTGCACCTCGGACTCGATCTGCTCGCGCCAGGCAACCCACTCGTCGAGGAGGCGACGACGCGCCTCGACAACTTCGCGATCCGCCGAAGCACCGCGGTCCGCATCTTCTTGTTCGAACACGCGGCTGTACTCGCGCAGGTTCTTTCGGATCTGCTTCTGCTCGTCCTTGGAGAGGAGCGTAGGAGGACGCGGCCTCCACGAGAACTGCTTGAACTTCTCAAGGGCCTCTTCCTTTAGTTGCTCACCCTTGAAGTCGTAGATATGGTATCCGTTTTCCATCTATAGTGATGTATGTTAGTTGACTTTGCATTCACCTATGAATTGTGGGGGAAAAAAGGAAAAAAGTAGAAAAAGAGAATTGAGTGTGCTTACCGCATGCTTCCAGGCAGACGCCCACGTCGCGACGAAGCGACCCGAGGGGTCCCACTCGACATCCGTGACACCGTAGTGGTCTGCCGTGTTCATGAGCTGGAGGTTGGCAGTGAGGTCCTTCTCTCCCTCGGGCTTCTCGCCCTCGAAGTCGAGATCGAAGAAGTCCAGATCGGAGCTCTGCTGGTTGTGTACGGTGGCGATGACGACGAAGCGGCCCTTGGGCGACCAGTAAATGGCATTGCTGTTCTTCTTTTCTAGCGTCCTCAAGTGCTTGAAGTTGCCTGCCGTAGGACCCTTGTTCTTCTCGGGGCAGAAGAAAGAGGCCGAGGTCTTGGGGGCACGGCGGTGGGACCGGGAGGCTCGGTCGTCGTGATGATGACAAACCTGTCACCCTTGGGCTCCCAGGCAAAGTTGATGACGGTGTCCTTGATGGTGTCGACGACCTCGACGGGAACACCCTTCTCCTTGACGCGGAAGATTTCCAGCGTCGTGGCCTGGGACTTCTTGGACTTGGAGTGGCGGTCAACCTTGACGCAAAGGTACGCGGCCTCGGATTGCCAGTGGAGCTTGACGTCCGAGACGTTGAAGAGGTTGAGTGTACGGACAACCTCCTTGGAGGATGCTCATGAGACCGACCTTGGCCGGGTTGCTTCCGATTTCAGGGGTCCAGTAGCAGAAGAGCTGCTCGTACTGCTTGACACCCTCGCGGCGGGGGTCGCGGGGCCCAGTCAAAGTCCATGACACCATCAATCTTGATCGAGGTCTTGTCTAGAAGGTTCATACGAGGGAGCTCGTAAACGGAGATGGAGGTGCCCTGGTTCAGACGAGCGACGTACTGGTCGTCGGCCGACCACTTGAAGGCAGGCCAGGGGAACTTGCGCTGCTTGCCGCCGTCGTCGCTGCCGCTGCTTCCCGCGGCATCGAGGTTGGCAAAGGAACGCAGGGACTTGCCGGTGCGAACGTCCCAGATTACGTAGTTCTTGCCGTCATCGTCAATAGTAAGAATAGGGTGGCCTTCCTCGGGCACGGAGATGGGGCGGGCAGACCAGGTGACGAGGTAGTTTTCGTTGGGGGAGTAGGCGACGAGGTTGACAAAGGGATGGGGGAACCTCTGAAGGCTCTTCCACGAAGGACCACCCCAGAGCTGCACACCCTGCTGGTGGATGGAGGTGAGATAGGTACCCAGGGGAGACCACTGCACAAAGGTCTCGGTCCAGTGATTCCTGTCGACGATTCCCTCGGGGTTCTCCTTCTCGTTGTTCCAGAACACGCCCACGTTGTCGCCCCGGTACATGACGAACTGGTCACGGCCGCGGCCACTGGGGTCCTTGAGGAAACCCTTGAGATGCTCCTTGGGGGTAAACTCATCGATCTGGGGGCACGAAGTTGTCGTCTACCCTTCCCTCGCGGCCATATCGGTCGATATCGGTGAGCTTGTTGACGCGGAGGGTGTGCTTCTTGTCGAGGGGGCCATATCGAGTTGCCTGACGGCAGCGGCGGCCTCGCTGGCAGAGGAGAATTCGACAAAGGCAAACCTAGACACCAACACTTAGCTTGACGCTCTGTTGAAGCGCTCCGTTTTACCCGTCTCTCTTTCCTCGTCCTGCTTTTTTTCTTTCTTCCGCATTTCATTTCCCAATATCCTTCCTTGTTTCCAAGATCCCCCCACCTCCCTAAACTTTCCAAAAACGTACCTTAGCGACTTGCCGTTATCTCCAAAGGGCATGTAAATAGCTTCCTCGCGGGTGGATCCGACAGAGTTGAACTTCTTCATCAAGAACTTGACGAGCCTGGGCTTCTGCTCCTCGGTGACCTCGGGGAGGCCATCGACGACGATAAAGGTGTCGTAGCCGTGCTCGAGCTGAACCTCATACTTTTCGCGGAGATCGGAGATATCAATCTCATCCTCATCGAATTCCTCCTCATCGAGGTCGGCCTCGCGAAGGTGGTCGAAAGACGGGGCGGAGCCATGCTGGGCAGTTGTGGGCGATGCTTTCGCTTCTGTGTCGGCGGGGAAGTGGGCGCCTTTTTTCCGGATTTGTTTTGCGGCGGGGTGGGAATAGGGTACGTTTCGCAGCGCAAAAGCCCCTCTACAAAGTTTCGATGCTGTCGTTGGCGGCGAAACTTGTGCTGTGATTAAAAAAAAACCGTTGAATGTGGTTTCTCGTAGGAAAAAATCCTGTTACCGGATTTAGCGACGATGGGAACTGGTTCACCAAGAGCAAGAGCACACGACGAAGAAGAATAAAAGAAAAACCGTCCTCTCAATCTCTTCTCAGGCGGAGGGCGGGTCACAGAGAATGGGAGATTTTCAGATTGTGTGGTTTGGCGTGGTGGGGCGCCCGGGTGAATTTTGGCAAATTCTCTTCCTTTTTCGCCTGCCTGCGTTCTCTTGCTCTGTGGGCGGTGGGCGCTGGCTGCACGTGTCTGCCCTGTGTGTCTCCAGTTTGACAGAACGACTGGACCAAGCTGTGCTGCTGCTGGTCGCGAGTAAAAAGGCACCGGTTATGTAATCAGACGTCCCAGAGACCGAATCCAACGGAATGAGAAAGAGAAGCTTCGCTGGACAAAAGGGCCCGGCAAAACAATGGCTGATATGGACGAGCTCGCGCGCCAGGGTGCGACCACTGCCACTTTTTGGTGGGATGGGTCAACTAAGCTTCCTCCAAACCAAACAGGCAGTCTCCCAAGAGACCCGGGGCCAAAAAAATCAGTATATTTCATCGCTGGATTCATTACCCCACGTAGCTTCCTAAACCTCACCGAGACGACAGCCTCTGCCACCCTCCCCCATTCTGCAGCTGCCCTTCTCTCTATCGAACCAGCTAGACGCGGTACAAATGGTCCGTTTTTCTTAATTCCATCAAGTTTATTTCTTGTCTCTTTTTATTTTTCTTCTTTTCCCTGTCTAGCCCTTGCGTATCCATTATCGCTAACCCGTTCCATGTCTTAATAATCTAGGCGTCCTTCAGTCCTACCCAAATCTTCGAGGAGGGCACCACCCAAGAAAAGGGTGAGAATGCCCGCCTCGCCGCCTTTGTCGGCGCCATTGCCGTCGGTGACCTCGTCAAGAGCACACTAGGTCCCAAGGGCATGGACAAGATCCTCCAATCTGCGTACGTCGTCACACATATTGCTTTCGCACCCCACCGCCCCCTTTAACAGCCGCCCCGCACTACCACATCGCAAACACTCACTTCGATGGCGATGGGGAACTATGTTATTCCCACCAGGGACCTATTCCTCGCCGGCTACTCCATATCTTGGAATAGGTCATGAATAACCAAAAAGGCTAACAAACAAGCGGAATTGCAGCTCCACCGGCGAAATCATGGTAACCAACGACGGCGCCACCATCCTCAAGGCCATTGCCCTCGACAACGCCGCCGCAAAGGTGCTCGTCAACATCTCCAAAGTACAAGACGACGAGGTCGGCGACGGCACAACGTCGGTCGCGGTCCTGGCCGCCGAACTCCTCCGCGAGGCCGAGAAGCTCGTCGACAAGAAGATCCACCCCCAGACCATTATCGAGGGGTACCGGATAGCGTCCAAGGCGGCCCTCCAGGCCCTCGAGCAGTCGGCCGTCGACCGCAGCGGCAACCCCGAGGCCTTCCGCAACGACCTCCTCGCCATCGCGCGCACCACCCTCAGCTCCAAGGTCCTCGCCCAGGACCGGACGCACTTTGCCAAGCTCGCCGTCGACGCCGTGCTCCGCCTCGGCGCCTCCACCGACCTCACCCACATCCAAATCATCAAGAAGGCCGGCGGCAAGCTCAGCGACTCGTACCTCGACGAAGGCTTCATCCTCGACAAGAGGGTGGGCGTCAACCAGCCCAAGCGCCTCGAAAAGGCCAAGATCCTCGTCGCCAACACCTCCATGGACACGGATAAGGTCAAGATTTTTGGCGCCCGCGTCAAGGTGTCCTCCACCGGCAAGCTCGCCGAGCTCGAGCGCGCCGAGCGCGAAAAGATGAAGGCCAAGGTGGAAAAGATCAAGGCGCACGGCATCAACTGCTTCATCAACAGGCAGCTCATCTACAACTGGCCCGAGCAGCTCTTCTCCGACGCCGGCATCATGTCCATCGAGCACGCCGACTTCGACGGCATCGAGCGCCTCGCCCTCGTCACTGGCGGCGAGATCGCCTCCACCTTTGACCACCCCGAGCAGGTCAAGCTCGGCCACTGCGACCTCATCGAGGAGGTCATCATCGGCGAGGACACCCTCATCAAGTTCTCGGGCGTCGCCGCCGGCCACGCCTGCACCGTCGTCCTCCGCGGCGCCACCGACCAGCTCCTCGACGAGGCCGAGCGCAGTCTCCACGACGCCCTCGCCGTCCTCTCCCAGACCGTCAAGGAACCCCGCACCACCCTCGGCGGCGGCTCCGCCGAGATGCTCATGGCCAAGGCCGTCGAGGGCGCCGCCACCCGCGTCGAGGGCAAGAAGCAGATGGCCGTCGCCAGCTTCGCCATCGCCCTCCGCCAGCTCCCCACCATCCTCGCCGACAATGCCGGTCTCGACTCTGGCGAGCTCGTCGCCCGCCTCCGCAAGGCCATCTACGACGGTCTCACGACGTACGGCCTCGACCTGATGACGCCCGGCGGCGGCATCGCCGACATGCGGGATCTCGGCGTTGTAGAAAGCTATAAGCTCAAGAGGGCCGTCGTCTCCTCGGCTAGCGAGGCAGCAGAGGTATGTTTTTGTTCTCCCTCCCTATCCCCCTCCTGTCTTCTTCCACCCCACTCCCTCTGTTAATTTCTGTCCCTGTCTCTAACATTACCCGTCTCCCTAGCTCCTCCTTCGAGTCGACGACATCATCCGCGCCGCCCCGCGGAGGAGAGAAAGGCACTAAATAGAAATGATGGAAAGGATGCGGAAGATGATATACAAAAAATAGGGCAAGAAGAAGGAAAAAGCTCGGTAGTGATGGCGCAGCGGGCGGTAACAATGGGTACAGGCGAGGGATGTAGATACCATGAAACCAATCTTGATAGACCCGATTCTTTTAGGCGAATGAGAACCGAACGAAGAAGAAGAAAATAGGGATATTAAAAGAACAGAGCTAATGGCTTCGGCACGCGGTTGGCGGGTACTTTTTTCTCTTTCTCTCCCCCTTAGCTGTGTGAATAGATATCGGGCACAAGGGCCTTTTTCCTCCATCATAACAGTTTGGCACTTTGTACGTCGGTGACGATACTTGTAAATGTGATTTGTTTTTTATTTCGTTTATTCAGTTTGCTATGGGCTAGATAAAAGATACCCGGTCATTCCTATCGCCGCATCCGTTGCTGAACCGATGGCTTCCACATATACCATGCCCCTCCGCTCCATTCCCAACATAAAACAGATAGAAAAGAAAAAGTTGAAGAAACGAGAAGAGCCCCAGATGAAAATACGGATACCAACCCCCAAAGGTACCAGCAGCCCCTCGACGAATCGCCTCATGAAAAAGGCGGCGATGTGAAGAGAAACGGGACTAAGGGAGAGAAAAAGGAAAAAGCAAAGGAAAAGTAAAGAGCCAACCTAAGCCGTGAGATTAAGGGAGGTTGGCTAGCTGAGCTGAGCTGAAAACCAGAGTGCCAAAGCACAAGATGCTCCGTGATGCAAGTTATCTCCAGAGAGAGAAACAAATAACAGAAAAGTATAGATGTGTGGTGGGGGAGAACTTTAGGAAAAACCAAGCAAACCAAGCGCAAGTGAGTCCCAGATGAAAACGGCGAAACAAGGAAAAGAAGAGCAAAAACCGTGGAAAGCAAGTAAACGACGAATCCCGCTACCAGTTAACTTGAAGATAAGATCCCTCAATGGCATAATAGAAAAAGAGCAATGAGACAAACCAACCGAGACGTTAAAAGTGAAAAGATGGGTGTCATGGCGCCTGGTAGCGCGGACAACAGATGCAGCGCTTGTGGAAAAGCGAGCTTTCTCCTTGCAACACACACGCCTTGTGGACTTGTATGATGGTTGGAAAAAGGGTCATGTTCGTGGCAAAAGATGAAAAACGACTTGCTGCCAATATAAATGGATGTTACGCCCTGATATGCTTTTTCCAAACTCAAAGGAGAGAATAGTCGACGACGACGGTTGGTGAAAAGGCGCAATCGTATCCCACGACGGCGAGTTGACGAGAGAAGGATGCGCCAATCTGAGCCGTCTCAAGGCCAACCAGAGGCTAGAATATATGCTTGAGGGGAGAAAGGAAGGAGGAAGAAGCTAAACGGACACGTCTCACCTCACTCCTCTTCTACGGGGTATAGGTGGTTTCCGATATGCTTGTTCATCTGGAACATGTCGACCTTGGCTTGCTTGAAGACGGCCGTCATTTTTTCATCGCAGATGATCTGGCGCTTGTCCTTGGGATCCTGCAAATCATTGGCCTTGATGTGCTCCCAGAGCTTCTTGACGACCTGGGGACGGGAGAGCTGGAGGTCACTGTTAGCCACCATCTCATGTCTGTCTTTGGATCATTCCCACAGGAACGGAGCGAGCGAGCCAAGGGAGGACAAAGGATGCAGCGGGGCGCGGTAAATCCTACCTGTGTCTCGCCGCACAAGTCGGCAAGGGTCGAGCTAAGGTTGAAGGGCTTCTGGAAGCCCCCTCCAGCCTTGCGTTTTGGGGCGCTAGATCCGTCGCTACCGTCGACATCGCTCTCGTCTGAGGCGCGGACCTTCTTATCGCTCTTCTTCTTGGGCGCTGGCTTCTTCTTGACGACGCGGGTGGCTGTTCCACCACCGCGGGTCTGACGGGCCCTGGCTAGCCTATTTTCTTGGGCTTGGAGTTCGGCCGCAAGTTTCGCGTCGGCATCGAGGGAGGGATCGCGCTTCTGCTTCTTGCGCACTGGCTCAATAGTCGTCGAGACTTGAATCTCGCCCTCCGCTTCGTCGGCAGATGCGGATCCGCCGTTGGCCTGGCGCTTGGGCGACTGGTGCTTGGGGAGGGAGGATGGAGGGGGAATCACGATCTCCGAGGCGGGGCGCCCGAAATGGCATCGAATCGAGCCTCGATGAGTTTCTTGATCGCATCCTGTCGGTGGGGAGGAAAATGACACTTTGTTAGAAGCCGAGCCAACGTCGGCTGTGGCAGTGATTAGGGCGACCAAACAAGCATTGACCCACCTTTTGCTCGCTCAGATCCTTGCCACCCAGAGCCTTTTCCAACCCAAGACGAATCTTTTGCGCGTAACAGTATTTAGATCGGCAGTAGCTAGGATGGCGTCGATGATGGATGTATATTTGGACTCATCTTCGGGAGATACTAGCAGGAGGGGCGAGGCGTTCATCCAAGGTTAGCTAGGCACGTCACTCTACGGCCGGTTCCAATACACGCGCACACATGCACACGCACGTGCAAGAGTTGGGGGTACGGGAAGGGAGGAGAGGTGCAAGGCTGAAGCTATATGAGCGGAATGCGGAGATACGTACGCGGAGCAGACATTGTGGAGGGCGCGTCGCAAGTTGGGCGACGGGAGCGGAGAATATTGTGGGTACTGGATGGAGGTTGGGATCAAGAAGCTTGGCGACGGGAGGAGCGGTCTGCAGCTGCAAGTAGTGCAAACCCGGCGCTTTCGAAGAGCGGCCGAGAGTGCTTGGCGAAGAGGCCGGGGCAGATCAAGACGGAGACGGGCGAAGGAGAAACGGATTCAGATGCTCGAGTCGTGAATTAGGATTAAAGTTGGGTAGGTGGGCCCTTGTCGATTGGGTGGGAGGTTTCGTGGCCGTGGGGGAAACACGGAAGAAGGAGAAAGGAAGCAGGCGTCGCACGAGCGAGGCAGCACGAGCAAGAGAGCGCGATAGATGGGGCAGGAAATTGGAATTGGTGGATCTCGGGCTAGGGCATATCGAGGATGCGAAGATTAGAGAAGAAAAGAAAGGAACAAAAAGGACAGGGGAAATGGCTGAGCCGAGAAATGCAGAATCGTGGCCTTGGGGGAGGTTTCGGGCAAGCTGCTGTCGTCGGTAAATTTCTCAGAGTCGGATGGATGGCTGGGAAGTTCGGATGAAGTCCGGAACGCGCGCGGCGAAACGAGCAAATGTGGTCAGTTATCGCGATTGCAAGGGACGTCGTTGGATTGGTGGGTGGACGTTCCGTCCCGCGGAAGGTGGGGAGATCTGAGGGGACAAAAAGAGCCGCTTGTGAAAGAAATTCTCCGCTTAGGAACCTCGTTTTAATATTATGCTTTCTTTAAGCTCTGAGTCCTCGCTAAGCCGGTTGTGCCAAAATGTAAGCTGGGGTTTTCTTCTTCTTCTTCGTCTTCTTTTTTTCTTTCTTGGGTGGGTGGAAAGTAGTTGCACCGCAAAGGCTGGAGTCAAGTGCTGGGTGGAGGAAAGGCTGAGAGTCGCCGCGAATGAGAGGGTATAACGGCCTGGCTCTCGGAGACCCGCAGGAAGGAGGGGAAGACAAAAGCTTCAATTTAGGGTGACGAGGGGAGGGTAGGATAATATCTGAGGTTGGGCCCAAAGCGTTTCTTTCCCCCTTTTTTTCCTTTTCAATATTCCTAGAAGCCGGGAATGGCGGTGGAATGCAGTGCGTATATTTACCCACAACAGGTTTGGAGGGAATGGCACGATGACCGTTGTGAGGGAGCCGAGGGTGTGCGAGGGTAAATTTGCAACGTTTTGGGCTGCGAGAAGGCTCGTCGTGTCATTGGCACTGGCAAAGGGCGCGGGCATCCGTGTTGGCAGTTGAGCCCAGCAGCGCGCAGCAGCGATCCAGCGTCGGAATGGATGAGGGTGAACTGACGAGTCGGACGGATCATGGATGAGGGCTGCGAAATCCGGTCCCGCCGAACGCAGAGGAGACGGAGTACGCCGAGCTTGTCGAGTGGCTTTTGGGGAAACAGGGACTAGGGCACAATCAGACTGAGCGCGACTGGAAGACGGCGTTGTGGGGTGCATGAAACCGTATTGCGCTACTCCGCCGTTTCTACGAGGGACGTTCCCCGTTCCGCCCTCGTGCCGTTGGGAGGGAGGAGACTGTTCTCGAAAGCCGGATTGCGTGCTGCGCACAATCGAAGGACACTTGCACCAAGGATAAAGATGAAGGACATTGCAAAAGGATGAGGATTGAACTGAATTTTTAACTCATCGTTTATTCCTACCCTACGATGAATTGTATAATGCACTTCCTGGGAGTCGATTTGGTAAACCCTCGGCCACTCGGCGCACAAGTCAACGATTTATTACTATTCCAAGTTCATTAGGCTTCAGCCGGAGAAGGAACTAGCCAAGCTCAAGTCTGGGGTTGCTGCTTGGCCAGGGATCAATTGATTTGACTTGAACACATCAACCGACAATGAGTAAGAAGGGCGCCAGTCCGTTTTAGGCCAATGCCCTTTCCAAAATCTGTGTCGCTGGTCCACTCATGGCAAGTGCCTCCCAGTATTCCCACAGCGAGCCAAAAGCGGAAGGCACTGCTCCCTGGAGGGAAGCCACAGGGAAGGAAGCATCCGCCAGAGAGCGAGGTGTTCCCTTGATCTGGGTACTCCATTGACTACACCTCAACACAATCTAGCCTAGGATGCTTCCCTTAAACAGAGGCAGCGTCGAAACTCAACCGGGACTTTTCCAGGGTCGCTCCCACTGGCTGTGTGATGAACAGCGGGCGCTGACCGAGTACGACTCTGGGACGGCGGAGAATTACGTCTCTTTTCCCCTACCACCCTGACCCGCGTTACATTCGGCAATCATCACTCCACGACAAGTTTGGGCAGCAGCTTGAGCAGCGGCGGAATTGGTGAAAATGACCCGGAGATGAGCAGTGGTTTCGAGCATCCATTTATCCAAAGGGTCAAGATTAGATCCAACCACTCTCGGTCCCTGACACGTATATCGGGGGTTTTTAGTGTAAACGATAATAAAAGCTATCACTGCTTAAGTGGCATCCGTCCGAAAGTTCAACGTTCGAGAAGAAGAGAAGCATTGGGATTTAACCAGAGAACAACCTAATATGATATATAGCAGACTCGCCCTTCGAACCTGGTCCCATCGAGGTGGTTTCCTAGATTCCCACTGCCTTCGCTTACATGTAGTCAGACGGTGACATTGAAGCGACTCCCTTTCAATGACCTTCACATTGCTACACCTTCCTCTTTCATAGAGGATTTGCCTATTAACCCCCTTCCGAGTGAACTGGTCCACAATATAAGAGCATAGAACGTGGCCGCACCCTCTTCCACTACCTACCCATTGTCTCGCCCATTCAACAGGCGTCGCCTCGGTCCTCGAGTCGACGTCCATTATCTTGCTCTACGTGTGATAATACCCCATCAAGTGTCTCTATTCCACATGCACGACTTGCAGACCCGCATCCGCGCTGCATATATCGGCTCCCCGCCCCATCTCGCCACGAGGGGAAGATTCAAGTTCCGGCAAGAACAATGTCAAACGACACGTGAGGGACAAGATGGAGCCCCGCCCTGAAAAGCACTACAGACGTCTACCCGCACCGGCCGTGGCTTTCGGTTTTGGGGCGGGTAGAACGGGGAACTGCCTGGTTCACGCTCCTCGGGCTTGTCGAATATTTTTGCCAAGCTCTTCATGCTGTGGAACCAAACATCCCACGGAACGCTTCTTTGACATGAGATTAGCGCATTTTCTCCTCGAAGAAGGAGCTATCGGAAGGGTGACGTAGAGATGCGAGACTGGGTTGTGTTGATCGAAACGGGAGGGGACTTTCGGCCTTGCGACGGTCACGGTGACCAAATCAGCGACGGCGTCGGGGGCCGGCGGACAACGGGTGTTGCGTGCACACATACGTCTCGACAGGGTCCATGGCTATCAATTCTCACCTTGACTGAACTTAGTAAACTATAGTTGTCTTTTATTCTTATTATGAGTTTTTCTCTCTCTCTAGTTTCTACGAGACATATCTTGCTTATGGAAAGCGCCAAGTCCGATAGGACTCACATCTTGCATGTCCCGATGCTGAAGCTTCTGATGGTTCTATCTTAACATACTAAGATATACCGGGGTATAAGCCTCTTGAAACAAGTTCGGCCTTTCTAGGCCTGGTGGATATCTCTGGACACAGCTGCGAAGCGGTACAACGATAAATCTATACTCCGAGCTAGCGCTAGTCCCTCCGACCTCATCGTCGATTCAAACTATGGCTCCCACTTCCGTGATTGCATGCGATTCTCGAGTTACTTCTGTATAAAGCCCACAGTTCTCCCCGGGCGGGTACCTGCCATTCGAAAGGTTGGACGTACTGGCTCTCCATAAACTTAGTAAATACTCAGGTCATCCCAACCACGGAAGGGCGGCGGCCGGAGGGTATATCAGCCATATTTTAATATAACGCCGAGTCTCCGCGTGACCATGGGAACCACAATCTCTTCCTTCATACGGAGACTCCCGAGGGCCATAAACTAACGGTGTTCGTGGGCTGCTTTCCGTCCGGCTTCCTACCATCTCTAAAGTTGGACAAAATCATGGATGAAGTTCACAAGCTCATGCCCCCGTGTGAAGAAATCGGCTCCAATGTGTAAAAGGTCTTCAGTCGTCTCAAGGCGGGCAAGAGTGTCAAACGAAGAAACTCAAGTGCGCGCCGTGCAGTGTGTGCTAGTTTGGCAACGACACATTGATCGAATGCGCCATCAGTACCCAGCCTCGTCGGGAACCACGGTAACGGTGGTAGGTGTCTGAGATCATACAAGTGACGCTCTTCGGTATTTTCTTTTTCTTTTTGGGTCAACCATTTTGCGTGTCCTTCAGCCAAAATTCCACAAGATCTCGACAACATGATCGAGCTCGTTTTTCCATGGATTTCCTTTACGGACGTAGACCTGCCGCACCGTTTTTGAAGCAGGCAGGACCTCAGCGTTGACGAGCCGGTGGCTAAACTTGCTACCATCTGGCACCTTGTCGCGGAAAGGGCCGAGGCTATGATCGAACGCACCATCTGCATTGCCCCAGGTATCTTCCGTCTTATCAAAGTCGATGCTCTCGGTGCCGTCCGGGTACACTACGAGAGAGTAGCCGTTGGTGAGGACAGCCTTGTCGCCAAACCGCCAACGCTGCAGAAAACAATCGCCGCAGTAATCGGCAATGAGAGCCATCTTGTCGACGGGATGCTTATACCAGCTCTTCCAGTGATGGAGGCTGATGGGGTTAGGCCCAGACTCGAAGAAGCCGGAAACATCGCCCCGCATGTCTTGCTGGTGGAGTTCGTCCACATGCGTGAGCCTAGCCTTTGTATGTCGTTGAATGCACTCGGCAAGAATCACATCGCCTTGGTTGGACGTCGCATCGGCCAAACACTCCTCGAGGTGCGTGTCGAGGGCCTTGGCAGTGGACGGAGAGAGGAAAACGCCGGCGCCACCAAACGCCATGTATCCCCAGTTCTTGACGGCGCGGAAATCTTCGGAAAGTGCTCCAATGTACTGGTCCTTGGTGTGATCGTAGCGGCCGAGATGTTCCGCCAGGCGGTAAAAGGAAGGGAAAACGTGTCGTCATCGATGAGGCCGAACCACTTGGTTCCAGAGTCGGCGTGCCGCAGCAGGTCACGAATAATAGCAAAGTGATTTTGCGGCGTCGTGAGCCCCTCGATCGTGGGATTGAGAACGGCAGCGTCAATGTCGTGGTCGAGCAGCAGTCGTTCTAGGTCACCCAGCTGCTCAGCCGTCGCAGGGCGCGCATCCGTCAAGATGGCCACCAGTTTAGCAGAGGTTCCCGCCATCCAACGCGAGAGAACGGCCGCCGAATCTCGTAGACGATCCCGCGAAGTGGCGAGGCCAAATACAAACTCGGGGTATTTCCTCCGCGGGTAAGGCGGCGAAACGTGCAAGGGGATAGGTTCACACAAGGCGACAGCGGCGTCGGCGCAGTTGGTAAGGTCAATGGTGCGCCTCGCGTCGAGGACATGTTTGGGAATGTCGGCGACGTGGTCTCTGTCTACGTTCGTGGAGAGGACGGGCTCGATACAGACCCTCGCAAAAACAACCTGGTCGGTAAGGCGCATGGAGCGGAGATAGTCGAAATCGGAAGGACATGCGCCCTCGGAGCCGCCGCTGTGCGGGCGGCGAAGCTCGTCCCCGTCCGACACGCCGGAGGTGGCGCGAGACAATCCCCGCGTAGATAGAATGAGTAAAACAGGAGGGAGAAAACAAGGAGCGTCAAGAGAGACAGCCTCCGCAAAAACCTCCGAGTGAACATTGTCTATACCGCGACGCGGCGAAGCTGTTAGCGGCAAAGGAAGGGCATTGGCGATTTTCGAAGCGAGCGTCCCAATGATGCTCAGCAACGGGCAAATGGTGGAGTAGAGAAAAAGAAGTCGCCGCTGACCTGGTCGGATGACGACTCGTAGATGTGAAACGTTCAGCCTACCTTGACGGGTCAGCGTTGGGTAAATTAATGAGAAATCCAATATAATGGTTCTATGGATCTTTGGTTCCTGATCGACGGCACAGCCGCGTCATCCCTTCCATGGCTACGTTAAAAGAAAAAAAAAAAAAGATTGGAAAGAGCTCCACATCTTCTAGGTGCCACTGAACTGTACAAAACCTGTGTCACAAGCTTGAATGCGCCAGGGGCTATTCTCGTGACAAGAGAAAATACTCGAGAATCGTCCCTTCCTCGACTTGGTTGATGTGATGACGTCAACCAAGGGCTCAGCCATGTCGGGTCATCGTGACTGGCATAGATCACTGCTAGAACGGGAAAAAAAGAAAAAAAGAAAAAGAGGGAGGGAAAGAAAGAAAAGGAGACATGGAAAAGAAACGAAGGATACGAGTAATAGCGTTCATACTCAGTCCAATGTCAAGCCTAGAATAGACAAATGGACCTGGCCCCAAGACTTAACACCCATCCATCGAAATCGCTTGTCATGTCTCAGCGAGCTGACTTAGCATATCTATCCCCCACTCGAGAAGCGCTAGGAGTACCGAAGTGTGTCTAAGGCAAGTTCGCGGGTGGAAGGACGAGAAGAAACTAGAGACATCAAGGTTCATCTCCAAGATGTACTTCGACTCATCAAGGATACTATCCGTGTTTGCGCAATGCATCTAGTGTTGCGGCATACATTAGTCGTATGCTAATAACTGAACCATCGCAAGAGCGTGTTCAGAGCCCGGGTTCACATCCTCACATATCTATCTACTTGTAGCCATCATGTGCACTTTCCCACGTCATGGTTTGCTTCCTACGATCGCTTCAAGCTATTACATCCATTAGGGGTTCACCTTGTAGACACATCACGTCAGCAAATCGATAGCATCCAACAGATCTACAACACGCTTCTCAATCAGATCTCAGAGCGTCCCACCGTCCACACAGCCTCAAGCCATTACTGGCCGCCCGATCTAGTGTACCTACGTCGATGTCAATCCGAGAATCGTCTACTCTCCCTTCCCGGCCTCCAGATCCATGCTTGGCCTTTTGCGCTGCTCATCTATCTGCAGCTCTACGACTCCTCCGCTAGGTCTTCGTGTGATCATTTCCTCCAGATCTCCTCGAACCAGTCCCTCTTCACGGCCGACTTGGCATCCGACTCGGTACTAGGCGATGGGCTTAGGTCGGCTAAGAGCTCCCGAATTCGTTTCTTGGGGAGTTTTGCTGGGAAGGCCCACAAGAGTGTAGGAACCCAGACAGCTAAGGATAGTCCGACTGGCGGGGTGCGTGGTAGGTTAGCCAAGTTTCAAACCGCCGTGAGCGTACGATACCCAAGGCGCCAGGCATAGGGAAGAAAAGAAAAAAAAAAAAAGAAAAAAAGGAAAAGGAAACTCTTACTAAGCCTAGGGAAAATCCAGCCTGGTGTGTAGCTTAAATCACCACCCGCACCCTGCTGGAACAAGCTGATATTGAGGGAGAAGAGAGAGGTGAGGAAAGATATTGGAAGCTACTCAAGATATTAGCTACAGGCCCAAGATTATAAGGAAATCCTAATTCGAAGGCCATCTTACAAAAAGAATGGTAACGATAGTGAAGGTCATGAGCGTCCGTCCCTGCTGGACCGTCTCCTTAGACTGCTCAATAGCAACAGCACTCTGTTCAACACTCAAGGTGGCATTCACCTTGAAGTAAGAAAAGATATTAGCTAGATTCTATGTCTCGCTCTCTTTAAAAACTAGCACTCTAAGCTTACCGCGCCCTCAATCTTCTTCGCTAGTTTGTCCAGCTCTTCAATACTCGCCGCGATCGATCTAGCATCCCGATCAATATGCGTGGTACCCGCTGAGGTCGGCAGGGAGTCCTGAACTGTCATCTGGTAGCTGGCAATTAGTCGGAGAATATTGAGTTCGTCGCGGATATCCTTAACATCGCGGAGTAGACGAGCCGCCTCTTCAATAGACTTGAGCCGCTTATCTTTTGACTCGTTCTCGTCTCCCCTCTGGTCCTTGTCGCCTGCCTGGCCCTTATTGCTCGCTTGGTCTTTGTCACGCGCCTTATTTCTGTCGTGTCGGTTAACAAAGTTGCGGAACAATTCCGCTTCTTTGATAGACTTAGGGGCGGAGAAGAAGAAGGATTAGTACTTTCTCACCGATGGTGAAGGGGTGAAAAAGGGGTGTGGCAAGTGCAACGTGCAACGTACCGCTCGGTTGATAGCGTCGGAAAAGATTTGTTGTGTAGATCGTCGGCCTTTCGACTTCTGAACCAAGCGACCAGCCTCCGTTTTTGTGTCGGTATCCGCCTGCAAGTGGTTGAAGAAACCGATACAAAAGTCCACGATGAGCTTGGTTAGAGCCACCGCCGAGTTGGGTTGGGTCTTGCTCCGGGAGTTGTTAGTGAGGTAGCTGATGATAGCGCTTGGCACGATATCATCGGCATCGTCCATGCGGTGTGTCGACGAGGTGATGATGTATTCTATCAGCGGTTAGTTCAGGTGAAAACAGGAAGTTTTATCTTTCTTGTCTTTCTCTACATACTCTCGTTAAGGACCCAAAGCCAAAGCTGATCCACTCGCAGAATCGTCCACGAATTGCTCTCTTCTTTCAGAGCGGTTCCATTGTTTAGCTCTACCGTGACTACCTGGTCCTTGTTACGGAGCTCCCTCTCCTTTTGGACTTTTCATCACTCTGAAAATGGTAATAAAACTCATCTAGCGTCCTGGAACCGTGGATAATTATGTCGCTATTTTTGCAGCATGTGAGGAGGTCATGGTACTCGCGGCTCTCATTCTTTTCGTGTTCTTTTTGAATAGAAAAGGTTATGTACGGCATCTAGATATCTGGTTAGCTCTATTACATTGATTGCCTGGTTGGATAAGGAAAGGCAAAGAGGCAGCAGGATTTATGGGGTCATTTCAGAGCGGACCTACATATAGAGCGATTTGGCACTTATTTTCCTCGGCCTTCTTCTTCTTCTCTGCCTCAGCCTTCTTCTTCTTTTCTGCTTCGGTTGCGGCCTCATCTTTGGCCGTTGTTATGTTTTTCCCGTTTTCGCCCGCCTCCTCGATCGGGCTGGATTTGGTAGCCTCGTTCTTGGGCTTACCCTTGTTCCCCCATCTGGGTCCAAGGTTCGTTGAGCAGGCTGGCTTCATAAACTTAGACTCGAAGGATGCGTGGGGAACCTCATGCCAGCTGCCGTGGAGTAGATTATATAGCTCCTCGTAGGCGTCCTTTGGCTCGCCATCATCTATGAACATACGTAAGGCGAGGTCTTCCATCCACTGGAGATTGTTGGCTGGAAGATGAATCCACCGGAGGGTGAAGTCTTTCTCTAGGTTCTTCTTGTCTGCGGTTTGTGTTGGACCTGTTTTATCCTTGATACCCTTGCGGGCCAATTCCATAATTTTCTTGGGCCCGTTACCGTAAATGACCTGGTTGACATCGCGGAGGCGCCGCAGGAAAGCCAAGCCATCCTGAGCGTAAAAGTCGATGATGCTTGCATAGAAGGAGGGGAACTCAAGCTGGGTTTCGGGCTTAGCGTACTCTAGCTGCATTAACGATGTCTCCACGATAGGAGGGTTGAGGATGATGTCAAGCACACGACGATGATCCTTAACTGATCGGGCCAAGTTGTCCTTCTTGGTCTTCCTCTTCGCCTTGGTGCCTACTAAGTCATCTTCTTCTGCGTCTGAGTTGCTCTCGTCCTCCTCCTCGTCGACGGTGCATTTCGATATGGGCCCTGAGGACGCGCCCGCGGTATCAGACCCGTCTTTGATTCCTGATGCCTCCGGTGAGGGGTTGCGATACCCCTCCGTGCTCTTCTTCTTCTGAGTATCTTCTTTGCTGGCGGCCTTCACGATGCGACGCACCAGTGCCCCGGCCTTTTTATCCTTGCTTTGTTTCCGGGGTGGGGCGCCATATTTTCCACGATGCATTCGAGTAGCTTCCACTCGCCATAGTACGCCGCTAACGTAAGAGCGTCCCATTCTGGCTGGACAGCTTCACCATTGACCGGTGCACGCTGCGCATAGCGTAGGATCAGGGCAACGATATCATGTGTATCTGGGTTCCTAGCTAGCCACAAGAGCGTTTCTTCTTCGACGTCATACGCACCCCAATCTACCATTTTAAAGTATAAGAGGAGCTCGCGCAGGGAGTTAGCACATTCATCTTTACTAGCGAGGCCCATGGCCGTCCTCCCCGTAAGATCGCGGGTACTGGCCATACGCAATTCTAAACTCTCCGGATCAGTACAGAGATAAGTTATAGTCGTAGCTAGCGGTTTCTTGGATGGGACAAGGCGTATGAGTTCGGCATTGTCGCTTAGCGCTAGTCTGTGGAACACTGTCTGGCCCTCTCGGGTGACGAGACGATATTCAGCGTTGTACGCGAGCAAACGCCTCATGACGAGCGAGGCTTGGCCAGGCGCATCATCGTCCGCGGAGGGCGCGGCTCTGCTAATAGGCTGGGCGCAGCTACCTCTAGAGGGCACGGCCACATGTAGCGGAGTCTCTCCTTTACCGTTCAGGGCGTTGACGATATTGGTGCCGTGTTGGTGTTGGAGGAGCAGTTGGACGATAGACGCGTAACCCTCACGACTGGCGAGATGGAGGGGGTCTCATTATCCTTGTTGCCCTTGGTTATATCCGCTTTCCACTCAAGCAGTATCTCAACGATGGCCGTGTGGCCGTTGGCGGCGGCCTTATGGATGGGCCCGCCGGTGTTGGGATCGGCCCTGGCCCGGAGTAGAATCCCGACAATATCTTTATGACCTTCGCAGCTGGCCTCTGAGAGTGGAGTACAGTTGTTGTTATCGGCCGCTTTGACTTGTGCATCCTCTTTTAGTAGAATTTTGACAATTTTAGCATGGCCTTTACGGCTAGCTGACATGAGCGGGGTCCAGCCATCTTTATCCCCTTTGTTCACGTCCGCCTTATTCGCAAGCAACAACTTTACAATCTCCTCATACCCCTCACTACAGCAGCCGTTAAGCATTGTATAGTTGTCAGCGTCAACTTTATTCGCGTCTGCACTATGAGAGAGCAGCATAGAGGTGATCTCCTTATGCTCTCTATAGACAGCATCCATAAGTGGGGTACGCTGGTCATTATCCGACAAGTCAACCTGGACACCCTTGACATCAAGCAAGAGTTTAACCACCTTAGAGTGGCCATACTTTGTTGCAATTTTAAGTGCGGTCCAGCCATTGTTAGTTCGGGCATTTATATCCACATTTTTATCGAGAAGGAGCTTAACCACCTCATGGTGACCATGCCTTGCGGCAGTGTGAAGTGGGGTCCAGTTGATATCATCTTGGACACTGGCACCTCCATTTCTACCGAGAAGGAGCTCAACCACTTTATGGTGGCCAAATCTTGCTGCAGTGTGAAGTGGGGTCCAGTTGATATAATCTTGGACATTGGCATCCGCTTCGTTATCAAGAAGAAGCTTAGCGATACTGGCATATCCGCGTCGTGCTGCCCAGTCTAGCGCGGTGCAGCCGTCCTCATCCATCATGTCGGTACGGGCCTTTCCTTTCACCAAAAGCAACTCGATGATGTCATACTGATGGGTGAGAACCTCGTCAAGGGGGTTTTTGCAGATGGCGTAGATAAGAGCAGTCATATTTTCTCCATTTTGGGCGTCGATATGGCCCGGCTTGATAGAGGATAGGATATCTGGCAGTACCCGAACAACAGTGGCGATATTTCCGTTCTCGAAACCCTCCTCGATCAAGATATGTAGTAACGATTCCCCATAAGGCGATATGACAGCAATATCAACCCTGTTTTTTAGGAGTTCAGGGATTTTGCCCGGATCGTTAGCGGCAGCGTGCAGGAGCTCCTCGTCTTCTTGGGACAGCAGTAGATCATCATCGCCTTCGTCGGACAGCGCAGAATTATCCCCGTCTCCGTCGGGAAGTATGTGGTCCGCCATGGCGTCAGTGGGACTTGTAGGGCCTGCCGGGTCTTCGATGGATGCTCGGTCTGGGTTCTCATCTACGTGTTGCGCATCGGCATGGTCATCAGTATCATTGTCGTTGCTGTTGCTCTTGCCGTCCTGGTGATCTCCGCTAGATTCTTGTGCAGAAACCCTGGAGGCTTCCTCAACGCCATGGACTGATGCTGTTGGTGATAGATGATCTGAGCTCTGAATGGGTGGCGTTGCGGCACGCGCTATGGCTGCGTGTTGCGCATCCGCATGGTGATTAGTATCATCATTGTTGTTGCTGTCGTTGTTATTGCCGCCCTCGTGATCTTGGCTGGATGCTAGTTCAGAAACCCTGGGGGCTTCCTCAACACTATGAGCTGATGCTGTCGGTGATGGGGGTTTGAGTTCTGGATGGGGGCGTTGTGCCACGCGAACTAGCTGCCATGGTTGCGCGAGATACAATAAAGTCCTCTCAATCGGGTCAGAGGGTAGTGCTGCCTTGTCGTATTACAGAATGATAGTGCCCATAGAATCTCCCGAGGAGAAACGTGGAAATGCGGGAAAACCACATGAGGGAAAGGATTCAACAAAGATATAATAGCAAGTAGGCGCGAGCTGGCGGCGGGGGCGGCGGTCTCGGAACGATCACTATCCCATTCCTCCCCACCACCTTCTTTCTTGTGCCGCAACCTCCCCATGATGCCGTTCTCTCAGCTTGTCGATGGCGCCTGCCAATAAACTGCGAGGCTGTCGAATGAGGGCCGTACAGAGGCCAAGGCAAGGAAGTCGGCGGGGGTGGACCCTTCCAGCCCTGGAGGAGAAGAGGGGTCAAGTGGGGCCTGCCCGCCCGCCGTTGTGAAGAGGCTTCGGCCCGGTGTGGGTCGCAGATTCCGGAAGTGCTGAAAGAATCCCTGACGCAGGCTGCATGCGACGAAAATGGACATGGCTGGTCCTGCTTGGAGAGGGCGGATTGGCTCGAATTGGAAGAAATGAGGTGCGGATATACGTGGACCAGTCTCCGAGGCCATGGGGGCAGGGGCAAGGGGGAGGTGCGATATCTGACGGAATACCGAAACATCGTCATTGTCGTCGAGGTTGGCAAGGCTCGACGGTTGGGTAGGAGACGTTCTTTTTTTTTTTGGTTTTATTTTATAAAGATATAAGTCCATTCTCAATTAGCGTCGCGTGTCTCCTCCATCGGGTCGGGGAGGAAGAGCACGTTAACAAGGATCTTGGTTGACACATGCAGTGTAGATTGTTGTCTTCGTAGAACCCATCACAAGGCTAGAGCCTGCTGGGACTTGCATCAATTAATTAATCCAAATGGATGGATATTATGAGTTTAATGGATATCATGGACGATTCTTACTGGCGCCACCAGAGGCGGCATGGTCCTCGTACTACCATGCGCGTCCACAAGCTGGCTCTCCCACAGGCAATAAATGCACCTCCAACCAACCCGTCACATCCGTATTCTTATACGAACCCTACGAGCCCGGTCCCCAGCGCAGCCCACCATCCGCTCCCTTATATCATCACTGGCCACCCACCGAGACGCCTTTGTGCCCATCCTTGTCCAAGTCAGTCGCGGAATCCTGTTCGCTCACCTCCCCGCCTCCACGTCCACCACCGGCTTTTTCGTCACCGCCCACGAGTGCACCTTTTGCGCCGCCCGTCTTTCTGCATCGGTACAGAGGCACCGCCGTCAAGCGTAGCTTTATCTTTGAGGCCTTTACCCTGGCTCGACCCCGGCGTCGGCGCTGGCTTGTTGTCGGGCTCGCTCTTGAACCGCCGCCGTAGGCCGGCTACGAGTTTCCGGACGTCATTCAGGTAAAAGGCCCATAATATCGTGGGAACCCAGACGGCGAACGATATTCCGACTGGCGGGTGCGTGCGAGGTTAGCCGGGAGTGTCCACTGCGAGTTGCGAGATATGGAGAAGATGCAAGGCTTGAAAGAAAACTTACAGAGCTTGGGGAAGATCCAGCCTGACGTGTAGCTTAGATCGCCGTCTGATTCGCGTCGCTGGAACGATTCGATGTTGAGGGCGAAGAGGGAGGTAAGGAAAGATATCGGGAGCTACCATGGTGTACTCAGGTTAGCTAGGGGTTACAGGTATTGGATAGGGCTGGCTGGTGGCATGTCTTACGAAAAGAATGGTGATGATGGTGAAAGTCATCAGTGTCTGTCCTTGTTGGACTGTCTCATCTGATTGTGCAATAGCAATAGCACTTTGTTCAAGACTGAGGGTGGCATTTACCTTGAAACACGATATACGTTAGTAAAGGTCGCTCTCTCTCTCTCTCTCTCTTGAGGAAAAAAGAAATCACTTAGGACTTACCGCGCCCTCAATCTTCTTCGCCATTTTATCCAACTCCTCGATATCCACCACCACCGATCTTGCATGCCGATCATTATGCGTCGCGCCCACCGGCAGCGGCAGAGACTCCTGCACCATCTTTTGGTGGCTGACAATTAGACGGAGGATGTTGAGCTCGTCACGAATGTCCTTGACGTTGCGGAGTAAATCGGCCGCTTCCCGGATAGATTTGAGTCGCTTCGGATCCGATTTGTTCCTGCCGCTTCGTTCGGTGAATTGACGGAACAGCTCCGCTTCTTTGATGGACTAAGGGTAAAAAGAAAAAAAAGGGAGTCAAGGTTAGTATCATATACCTGGAACGATATAGTAGGGAAGAAGGAATCTCGCAACGACATACAGCTCGGTTGATGGCATCGGAAAATATCTGGCGCGTCGATCGTCGTCCCTCCGGCTTCTTAATCATCGGACCAGCATCCGCCTGTAAGTGACCGAAGAAGCCGATGCAAAAGTCCACGACGAACTTGCTCATCGCCACCGCCGAGTCGGGCTGTGGTCGCGCCCTTTCGCTCCCGGGATCCTTGCTAAGGTAATTGAGAACGGTACTCGGCACAATGTCGTCGGCCTCGTCCATGCGGTGCGTCGACGAGGTGATGATGTATTCTGCCAACGGGTTGTTAGATCAAGACTGTCCACAAAAGCGGAACAAGAGGGTATTAGAAGTCTTTTGGGGTCTTTTACATACTCTCGTTGAGGACCCAGAGCCACAGCTGGTCCACCCGGAGAATCGTCCACGATTTACTTGCACCCGCGGCAACACCATCGTTCAGCTCGGCCGTGACGACCTGATCCTTGTTACGGCGCTGCCTCTCCGCTTCCGACTTCTCATCTCTCTCAAAGTGGTAGTAGAATTCATCCAACGTCCTAGAACCGTGGATGACCACATTGGCCTCCTCATAGCTCCGGAGGAGCTGGTGGTACTCGGGGCGCTCGTCGGCCTCGTGCTCCTGTTGAGAGAAAACGTGATGTAGGGCATCTGGCAAAGGGGTATCTAGTTAGCTTCGTGAAACACATTTGACCGATCCGCTCCATAAAGGAGACACGAAACCAGCCAAAATCGGTTCCAGGGCGAGACCTACATAAAGGGCGATTTGGCTCTTATTATCCTCGGCCTGCTTCCTCTTCTCCGCCGCTTCGGCCGCCACCCTATGCGCCTCCGCCGCTGCCTCCTCTGCCGCCTTCCTCGCCGCCTCCGCCGCCCTCTTGGTCCTCTCCGCGCCCTCGTCCACGTAGGGGCTCTCGCCACTCAGCCCGTCGAACGCGACAGCCTCCGGAAGGTAACCCGCCTCATTCTTCGGCTTCTCCGCGGCCGCCGGCGCAGCGTGGCTCGTCAGCGACTTGGCCTTATTCTTCCACTTGGCCCCCAGACGCATCGAGCAGCTCGGCTTCATAAACTTGGAGTCGAACGACGCATCGGGCACCTCGTGCCAGCTACCCCGCAGCAGCGCCCGCAAATCCTCGTACGCCTCCTGGGACTCGCCGTCGTCGAAAAACATGCGCAGCGCGAGATCGTTCATCCACTGCAAGTTATTCGCCGGAAGGTGGATCCACCGCAGCGTCAGGTCGCCCTCCTCGTACGTCTCGCCCGCCGTCTGCATCGTCCTGCGCGCCTTGTTCATGATCTCCTTGGGCCCGTCCTCGTAGATGACGTCCTTGACGTCGCGGAAGCGCCGCAGGAAACCCGACCGCCCGTCCTGCGCGTAGAAGTCGATGACGCACGCGTCGAAGCGGGGAAGTTGACTTTGGTCTCGGGGAGCGCGTACGGCACCCTCGCTCCGGACGTCTTGACGATGGGCGGGTCGAGGAGGATGTCGAGAACCGATTCGTAGTCCTCGCGCGGCCGCGCAGTGCTGACCTTGGGCTTACCTCCCTTGGTCTTGCTATCCGCCTTGGCACCCACCGAGTCCTCCCTCGTCAGCGCTGCGTTGTTGTCCTTGTCCTCATCTTCCGCGGCGTCGTGCAGCGACCGCGGCGCCGAGTGCGCGCTCGCGACATCGGCCCTGCCCTCGTCTGCCTCCTGGTGCGATAGGCGCTCGGATTGGTAGCTCGGGGCCGCGCCCGCCTTCTCCGTCATCGAGCCCGCCTCGAGGCCCTTGATGTGGGGCACTGCGCGCAGGGAGCCGTGGCGCTCCTCCACGTTCTTCTTCATCTGGGCATTGTCGTTGTTGTCGTAGAGCCTGATGACGCGACGGACCAGGTTCTCCACCGTCTTCCTCCTCTTGTTATCGCCCGGGTGCGGTGCCGCGCTCTGCAGGATATACTTGACCAGTTCGTACTCGCCGTAGTACGCCGCCAACGTAAGGGCATCCCAGCTCTTGTCAACGGGCAGGCCCTTGACCGGCTGGCGCTTGCTATAGAGAAGAATCAAGGCGATGATATCATGCGTGGTCGAGCTCTCGGCCAGCCACAATAGGGTCTCCCTTTCGACATCGGCAATACCCCAGTCCACCGCCCTAAGATGAAGGAGCAGCTCGCGGAGGGAGTCGGCGAACCTGGAGAAGCTGGCTATACCCATGGCCGTTCTCCCATCAATGTTGCGGATGCCGACCGCATCCTTATTCATCTTGCTTAGGATCAAGCGCGTACGATCAGCGTCGTTGCTCATGGCCGCCATGTGCAATGCTGTTTGGTTTTTGCCCGTCACGAGGTTAGGGTCCGCGCCATGCTGGAGCAGGAGCTTCATCACGCGCAGGAACTGGCCAGGCGCGTCGTCCCCAGTCTTGGTGGCGCAGAAGCGGTCGACGTCCTCGTCGCGCGCGGCATCGTTGATGAGAAGGTCGACGTAGCTATCGTCGGAGCGCGAGGTGACGTGCAGCGCCGTCTCGTCATCGTTGTCGAGGGCGTTGACGCCGTTGGGGCGGCGGTGTCGCAGCAGCAGGTCGACGATGGACGCGTAACCCTGCCGACTGGCCAGGTGGATGGGGGTTTCGCCATCGTCATCGCCCTTGGTCATGTCGGCGCCGGCCTTGAGCAGGATCTCGGCAATGGTCCTGTGGCCGTTGTAGGCGGCCGAGTGGATGGAGCCGAGCGCGGTGGCGTTGACGGCGTTGATGTCGGCGCCGGCCTTGATCAGCATCTCGACAATGGCTTCGCACCCCACTTGCTGGCGAGGATGAGCGGCGTCCACCCCTTGTCGTCCTTTGTGTTGGGGTTGGCGCCCCGCTGCAGGAGAGCGCGCACGATTTCGTCGAAGCCGTACCGCGCCGCGACCTCGAGCGTCGACCAGCCTTCTGAGTCTACCAAGGAGACGCTAGCACCCCTATTCAGGAGGAGGAGGGCGACTTCCGTATGTCCGTAGCGGGAGGCGACCTCGAGCGCGGGCCAACCGTCTTTATCGACCGCGTCAATTTTAGCACCTTTATTTAAGAGCATCTCGGCGATGTTTTTGTAATCGTTGCGGCAGGCCGCCATCAGCGGCGTCCAGCCATCCTTTTCACTTATGTTAGGATCAGCGCCGTGAGCGAGCAGTAACCGCACAATCTCCTCGTATCCTCCACGGCAGGAGCCGTTAAGTATGGTACTCCCTTCCTTATCGGCCTTGTTTGCGTTGGCGCCATGCTCAAGCAGAGTGGAAACAATGTATTCGTGGCGGCCGTAGACCGCCTCCTCAAGCGGCGTCCATCCATCGTTGTCGACGTAGTCAACCTCGACATCATCTACGAGGAGCAGCATGTCGACAATGCTGTCCCAACCATAGCGCGCCGCCATCTTGATGGCGGTCCAGCCGGTATCGTCAGGCACATTGACACGGGCACCTTGCGCGAGCAGAAGCTTGGCGACCTCATAGTGGCCATATCTTGACGCTGTCTGCAGCGGCGACCAGTCCGACTTGTCCTGGACATTGGGATCCGCGCCGTTCTGGAGAAGGAGTTCAGCGATGCGGCTGTATCCGCGACGCGATGCCCAGTCCAGCGCGGTGCAGCCATCCTTATCCTTGATGTTGATCTCGGCGTGGTGCTGGAGCAGGAGCTCTATGATTTCGTACCGAGGCACGAGGAACTCATCTTGGGGGTCTGCGAAGATAGCGCAGATGACCGGGGTCATCTGTTTCTTGTTGAGGGCATCGATAAGTTTGGGTTTGCCGTCGATGTGAATTTTGTCCATGTGGTCTAGGACACCAGGGAGCACGCGAACGACGGTGGCCGTGTTCCTGTTCTCGAGGCCCTTGTTAATCAAGATGTGGAGAAATGAATGTCCGGAAGTCGACGTGACGGCCACGTTGGCCCCCTTTTCTATGAGCCCGGGAACATCGCCCGGCGTGTGAACAGCAGCCTCCAGGAGCTCATCGTCGAGCGGCGTCCATTCCGTCGTGTCGTATGCGAAGTCGTCCGCGGCGCCGGCGGGACTCGTAGGACTTGTGGGACTCGGAAGTTCCGTGGGGCTAGTCGGACTCGTAGGGACCGCGAGGTACGTTGGACTGTGTGGGGTCTCCTCTGTGCGTTGCGCATCGGCATCGGCATCGGCATCGGTGCCGTCATTAGTATTATCATTGTCATTGTTGTTGTTGCTATTGCTGTCCGGGCGATCTTCGCCGTGAAAAGATCCAGCCCCCGGTGGGTTTCTTCATCCCCATGAACTGATTCCACTGGCGAGGGAGAAGCCGAGTCTCGAAACGACGAGGTTGTACTACGCGAGCTGGTCGCCATGGTTGTGGCAAGCGGCGACAAGGTCTCTCTCAATTGCGTCGAGGAGGGTGCTGACTCTTTCGGATTACAGAATTACGACATTCACGAGAACCCCCTTGGGAAGAAAGAAAGAAACAAGAAAAGGGACGAAGAGGAGGGACAAAAGAAGGAGAAATAACAACGAACAAGGGTTGCGCGCCACTCGAGGGGAGCGGTGGTGACAATCGCATTCGAACTCCCAAGGACAATTTCCAGATCCCTACCCACCTTCTTTCCTGCGCCGCTGCGCCGCTGCGTCCCCCTGCTCCTGCTGGTTCGGCTTTCCTTCTCTTCTCGTGGACCATCCTCCCCCTGTCCACCGAGCTCTATACAAGGCGTACAGGGCTGTCGAGGGAGAGAAAAAGCTTTCAAGAACTTGAGCTGGCGGGTACACGGGAGGGATGGGTCCTACCAGCCCTGACGGGGAAAGATTGAAGCGGGGCGTGCCGGCCGCAGTTGATAGGCTCAGCCCCATGCGGGTTGCAGATTACAGGAAGAAAGCTGATCCTTTTATGGGTTGCGTGCGACGAGTGAGGACACAACTTGCCGCGCTCACCATGGCGCGTTATTGGAGGAGAGGAGGGGGAGGAGGGGGACTGGAGTAGCGCTGATCAGAATAAAGCGAGATGTCAACTCGCAAATACGTGGACTAGCCGCCCTTGAGGCCTCAAGGAGCGGGGGCCGTGGTGGTGAAGGCGCAGTAGATGCCGGAGTCCCGAAAGTCGCCATTTGTCGCCATTGTCACCAGAGCTGATGAGGCTCGTAGACTTGAGTAGAATGTGGATTGATTTATAAATCCATTTGCATTTCGGGTTCTGCATTAAAGTGTTGTGCCTGCCTCGCAAAATAAACAATCATCAATCTACTCACTTGATGAAACGTTCACATCTCGACTCGGGAATGTGCACTAGATTGTTCAACGTGGGCAATGCCGGCCGGGAAAGTTGGAGGCTGCTGTCACTCGCATGGGATTGATGGATCGGTGGATGGACCTGTGGCTTGATCTTACCACCATTAGCAGCGGTGGGCTATACCTCCCTGGGCAAACACTACACCTCCTCTTGATCAGTCACAAATCCCAGTCCTCGCTTCGAATCGGCCGGGTGTTGGCGATATCTGCATTACATAAGCAGTGGTTGTACAGTTCCCGAGCCTGCAAACGAATTCAGGACATCATCGTTAGCATCACTCGAAAAGCGAGGTCTCGACGAACATTCGCATCAACGTATCCTTTGCCCTCCACCCCCTCCCGTTATGGCGTCCACAAACCCCGAGTCGTCCGACAATCCCTGGACTGAGGAAAAGAAGGCCAAGTTTGAGTCGTTCGTCACCTCTTTCGTCGTCTTTGCCACCCACGCCAGCACGCCCTGCTAACTTTTTTCCTTTGCTTCTGTCCGCCCGGATTGCAGTAAGGCTATTAGCGAATACTACGACCCGTGCCAAGAAGCCGCGTCTAGGAGCATCAAATGTCTGCATAGGAACGGCGGCGATCGCAGCATGTGCGGCGACTACTTCCAGTGAGTCTTCCTAATCTGCTTTCGCCATCGCTGGGCCGTCTTGGGGCGACCTGGCAGGCGAGCTTGCGGTGGCTTAGGGACCTTCTAACGCACCTTACCACGAATCATTGAGCTAACGATATCCACGGTTCAGGGCCTACCGCGACTGCAAGAAAGCATGGGTATGTTCTTAACCCTCCTTAGCGATTTCCATGCCACGATTTCGACGTCTAACAGCTGCGCACAGCTCGAGAAGAAAAAGGAAGAGCGCAAAAAGACGCCTCTCTGGTAGAACCGTATACGTAGATCTGCGATAATTACCCACTCATGGCGAGTGCCTGACGACAGCGGCTTATACTGCGGCCATGGTTGTGAAAAGGATAACAGCTCATCACGGTGGGTTTGCCACAGGTCCTCAAGCTGCGCAATCAAAGAGTTTCTCGACCTTTGAGAAGCACCCAGTCAGTGTTGGTCGAGATATCAACTAGTTGTAATGTCGTGGGAGAAGGGGAATCTGCTTGCATTCAGTGTATAATAGCATATGTGGTTAAGACGTGGCCGTAGCCGCGCCGGTTTACGGTCAGTTGGCAGGGGAGGCCGGCACAAGCCTCCACCTTTGCTGGCTCTGGCGCATAACCGGCCGAGACCGATCTTGGTGCAACTTTGTTCGGCTGTAAAGCCAGTGTATATTTGTGGTAACAACAAACCGGATCATAAATGAATCCGCTGTAGCAATGAATTCTTCTTCACTTTTTTTCTCCTTTGATCTTTCCTCCTCGTCATTCAAACCAGTCGCACCTTCCACATCTCCAGCCTTGGCGGCCTCAGCCCACCCGGCTCCGAAATTATGTAATCAGGAACGCTGCATGCAACGCAGGTGCGATGGCTTTGCCCCACCAAAGCGCTTCGTACAGCCAACTGAGAAGCTTTTGGCGAAGGTAGTCAATATTAACACACAACCCCACCATAGAATGATCACCACGTCCGAAAAGTGAGCAAGGCGCCTAGTGTTTGACCACGGAGCCTTTCCTTTTTTGTTGTTTTCCATTTTCCTTTCTCTCTTTTTTTTCCCCTTGCAACCGTCCCCCGTCCCCCTTTCGTGCATGGTCTAGGAAACCTACTCGTCACCATGGCTTCACAGCAGCCCCAGCTCAAAAGCGGTGTCGACCTGCAGCTTCAGTCAGCTTTTAGCGAGGAAACTGGTCGGCTGTCGTGCGCCTAGCCGACAAACGAGCTCGCACGTCCAAGGACCAGTATTACGAGGTACGGTGCACAATGCGGACACGCGCAAAATGAACAAGATGCAAAGGAAATCGAAAAGTGGAGGAAGAAGGGAAGAGAGCGATGTGAGAAAGGAGGGGTGGGGGAGCTTCGCATCTTCTCATTTTAGACCCTCCCCGGCTGGGTGGACGAGGGGTTGGGTTGCCAATTCAGGAAAAAGGAAAAGAAGCAAAGAGAAGAAAGCCCCGTGAGAGTCCGAGTAGAGGAGCTGCCCGCCGACGGAGAAAGTGAGTGGTTCGCTTCGATACTGATGTCTTGGGAGCAACTAGATTGTGAAAATTGCCGCGGAGGCTCAGCTAGGCGCGCCCGTGGACAAGTCATCGGTCGTCTGCTACGTGCAAAAACTGCTCAAGGAGGGCACGGCGGTCAAGGATGTGGAGGGCCTCGAGCTCCTCGAGTGGGCATGCTACGATATCATGCCCGAGTCCTTCTTCCGGGAAGCCATTGGCCCTCTCCGCGTGAGACTCGCCAAGATCGCCCCCAAGGACAAGGTGACGGCCATAGATTGTCTCGAGTCCTGCCTGCTCCACTGGGACCTGAGTAGTGCGCAACAAGTAGGTCTTCTTAAATATACAAGATGCAATTCTCTGTGTCGCTCGTTGCTCGTGAGGTGAGAAGACGAAGAAGATTAAGGAAATATTGGCCTAACATTGCGGGGTTCTTTCTTCTCCTGCCCCTTCTCCTCGACTTGTAGGTTGCCGCTCTTCTTGATCGAACGTTTCCTTCGGAGCGCAGATTTCTCTTTTGGAACATTGCTACCACCTACCTCTTTTCTGTGAGTTGGAGAACCCGGGGACTTTCCCTTTACCCTGACCCCTCAGTGCAGTGCTCATCATATCTTACTCTCTCGCCTCCTCGGTCTTGCGCAGCTGAGCGACCAATGCCCCGCCGATAAGCAGCGGCTCTACCGCGAGCTTTCTATCAAGCAAATTCAAAAAGCTGCCCAGGTGGCAGAGCAGGTACGCACGCCTTGAGACTCACACCCGGCTTGCAGGTGCCTGGTCACAAAAGATACCGCATCGCAGAAAATATTAAAACAAAGATCTCCTCCCACACATAGGCAATCGAAGCCAAGGCCAAGGACAAGCCTCCGCGCGGACTCCAGAGCGAAGAGGAGCTGCTGCTCTTCTTCGACATGCTAGCTTCTCGAGGCGATGTCGCGCAGGTCAAGGAGGCGCTTAAGGGCCCGCTACTTGACCCGATTAAGGAGCTTCGACTCGGAAGGAAGGACCTCCTCTTCCGAGCCCTGCGCTTCCTTAGGGACGCCAAGGAATGGACTCTCGTTTACGAACTCGCTAGGGACGCCCTCTACCCGGAAAGCGACAGCGATGGGCGGGAGAGTCAAATATCTCTCCTTGCCTGCGACTGGAGAATCTGGCAAGACCTAACCGAGGCAGCGACGCACGTTATGCTGTCCGATATAGAGTACGTATCATAAGGGCCCTTGTCCTTTTCAAATCTTGAATGCCTTGCTCGTCTTATCCCCCATTTTTGTTCACCCTTTCTTCCGCATTTTCTATTTCAATTGCTGATATGACACAGTGTGGTTGAGCATGTACAAACTCTCCTTTCCAAATACTGGCCGTCAGAGCAGAAGCCCGTGTATGCTCGAACTCTGTCTCTAGTTTCGGTCCTAGTTGCCTTTGAATTCGGCGACATTGGCCGCCCGGCCATGACCTTGACGCCGTCCAAGTCTCGACGCATTCTTGAGCTTGTCAGCTTTATTGACAAGCAGCACGGTAGCCCGGCGTGCTTTGACGACGTTAAGCGTTTCGTCGAGCGGCTGAGCGCACCGGAGCTAAAATACCTCGCTTACGAGCGACTCCCCGAGGTGGTTGCGGAGGCCGAGGGATATAGGTCAGTGGCGATTCAAGTCATTATGCTCAAGATTCGCTACCTCGCCACCACGACACCGCAAGGCGACATCCTGCGCAAGGACCTCGCAGACGAGGCGGTCGACGTGGCGGGCGTCGCCAACGACGCTCTCCGGCTCTACCTCAGCCTCGAGGACGGCGAATCCACGAGCACAGACAAAGAAAGCGAGCGTGCGCGACAGGATTTCTTGCCCGAGCTGGCGGTGCTCTCAGCCGTATGCCTCGTGAACCACGCCGGCGTGGGGACGACCACCTCACCGCGGGACAAGGGCGCGCCCAGGCCGGTCGACCGGCGCAGCCTCCTTCTCGCCGCCGCCGTGCTCGAGCACCAGCTGCAAAGACGCCCAAGCACAGCGGCGTACTATTCCTACTGGTGCGCATATACCTAGGCATCGGGTGCGCCCGCCGAGCCAGCGAGGTATGGAGCAGCCTTGACGTCAAGCGCACCATCGTGGACGCCCTGGGCCCTGTCTTCTTCGACCGCCTCTCGGCCGTGGCACCCGAGTTGGCGTCTGGTCCGCTCCTATCGGCCAGCGTGCAGTCGCACTACCGGACCTCGCTCAAGCTGCGCATGCCGCGCCGGCTGGCCGACGCCTTTGACTGCGAGAGCTACTCGAGCATCCTGCAGATCCCCGAATATACTGAGAGGCTGAGGACGAGCTGTACCATGGTTATGGGGTATGTGGAGGAGCTGCGGGCCCAGAGAGTGACGGGAACTCGTCGGGGAGATATCCTTGGTTCTGCGCTTCTAGGTACGTTACTTTGTGCGTGAGAGACACAGTTGGATTGGGACAGAGGACATTGCAGAAGCAGAAAGGAAGTACTTTTGTTAACCCTCTTCTCTCTCGGGTTAGATCATATCACGGACGAGACGAAGCTTCAGGTCAATATCGACTACGGATCCTTCCCTAACCTCGGAAGCAGCCTTCATACACCTCTTAATGCCGCCCTTACGCTGGGACCTGATCTTTCGGTAAGAAGAATCGCAAAAACCCCTCCCCACTCCCAGCTCGAAATTGGCACCATGGTTTGGTTGAGCCTTTTTTTTTCTTGTTGATTCCTTCTTGTGTTAACCCTGCCCTTAGAACAACCGATCACACCTGTCCCTTCTCGCGGAACAGTACTTTTCGCTTCTTACTTACAAGGCCCCTGCGGCCTATAAACCCGCAAACCCGGCGGCGGCCTCGGCGGCTGAGCACACGCTCGTAGTCGAGTCCCTCACCCGCCTGGCCAACTCGTTTGGCCGCTTCTTGCGCGGGCCGAGGGCGGAGCTCCTCCCCTTCGAACGCGTGTACTACAGCCTCTTATCCGTGCTGTCCTCGCTCACACTCGACGCCGTGCACTCGGCGCGCTCCTCCCCGTCATTCAGGGCATCCCTGCGCTTGCGACCTCTGCCACCGAGACGCTAGAGCTCCTCCTCGACCTCGCGGCTGCCAACCAAACCGGCAACGCCGACGCCGATGCTGACACGACAACCCCGGTGGACAAGGTGGCGGGTACACTCTCGTCGCTGGTCGCTGTATCGTACGCGCGCGACGGAGCGGCAGCGGCCCGGGCGGCAGCGGCTTACGTGCAGGCGCACCACGATCGCCAGACGGCGCGGGACCGGTCGGGAGAGTCATCCCTCCGCAAAGAGGTCCTGGCCGAGATCAAGAAGCTCGACGGCGCGGCCAAGGAGGCGCTCAAGGAGGCGCAGGGATGGATCGTCGCGGCGCGCGGCGAGATCGCCAAGTCTGGGTTCTCGCAGCAGCTTGCGCAGGTCCTGCTCGAGGCGGACGATGGAGGCGCCCTGGGACAGAAGCTGGAGGAGGCCGTGGCCAAAGTGATTAGACGCGAAGGCGATGGCGAGGTCAACATCCTGGCGAAGAAGATCGCGGATGGGTGGCGGGCGAACCTGGATGGATGGATGCAAGTGAAGTGGGAGTAGAAGGAAGAAATTTAGACGGTTCGGTGATGCTCATTCTCGCTATCGGCAGGGCTGGAAAGGAAGAAAATGCTTCACAATGATGGGCTGTAGATTAGCAGGGAGCCGCTTCTTATCCTCCCTCATTTCATTCTTGGTTCTTTTTTGAGGGCGGAGGAAGGCGAAGAAACAGTAACATATTGGAAATACGAAGGAAAATAACAAAATGTTTGCAAACAACCTTGAAAATTGAAGCTCCCGACCCTCCCCAGGCTCTCGGGGAAACCAGTTCGCCTCGCTTCACAAGGTGGGCCCAAATCAAACCATTCTGCTTCATCTTTGGTGCATGCATGCCCGCATGTAGTCTACACAAGAACAAGAAAATTTCATTACCCAAGAAACACAATGCTCAAGTCCGGTTTTCATAAAGGGATAGAAAGCAAAGGGGAAGAACCACATAGAGAAGGGGAATAAGAAAAAGAGAAGTCATTAGTAGAACAACTGATAGAGTATCTCGGCGCTACAAGAAGAGGTGGGGCAAAAGAAGAAGCTAAAGCAGAACAATGAAAACAATGGAACAGGAAAGTCATCCCCTAAAGCAAAGAGACTCTCTCTCCAAGTCTGAGGAATCCTTTTTGGTTTCTTCTTTTAAAATTCGTGACTATGCTTCCTCGCCTTCTTGGCCATAGCCTGGGCCCTCTCCTCCCTCAATGTGACCCAGATCCAGAACCAGCTAACCATCTCGACAAAGGCAAAGGTGAAGAAGACGCGGTTCTTGAGACCGTCGCCGCCCCAGGAGGAGGCGTGGTACGAAGGGTTTTGGGCGTGGGCCGGAGGATGAGCCATGCGGCCGCGCGGGTTCGAGTAGTAGAGCGGGGAGGTGGACGAGAACATGAAGGTGTAGAAGTTGAGGCCAAAGGCGATTGCGAGGCGGATGGGAGCTAGAGGAGCGAGCAGGAGTCAGCACGGGATCGATGCAAGCCTTGTTTTCTTTCTTTCTTTCTTTCTTTCCCGTCCTTTTGGTTCGTTTGTGAGGGGGAATTGGGAGAATAAACGCACCTTGCGTGCCCCAGTGGTGGAACAGGCAGACTTCTTCAGGGAGGCTGAGGCTCACGAGGTCGGAAATGCCCATGACGGCGAGGATAACGGCGAGAAAAGCGAGGGGCGGTGACTGGGATTCGAAGCTCCGAGCGTAAGGCTGGCGATGGACAGAGGGACGGGTCCCATGTGGTTAGCAGAAAGAGGAAAACGGGAGGAGGGGGTAGCTCACCATGCCCATGGCCTCGCCCATGACGTAGACGATGGCCTGGTCAGCTATCGTGGCGGGATTCGTGAGGAAGAAGAAGCCGAGGGTGATGTGGAAGAGGGAGATGGAGGTGATGATTGTGCGCGCGGAGATGAGAGCCATGGTGGGCGACGGGGGCGGATTTGCGACCGCTGTCGCAGCACAAAGGTCGAGTGAGGGTTCGGTAGTCGCTACGGTCGAAGGTGGAGCGGGTATGATCGGGGAAGAGGGAGGCGTGCGAGACTAGGGGTGCAAGCCAGGGGAGGGGGGCGCTGCGATTAGATAACGAGGAGGATCTCTGGCGCGTTCCAATTCAGGAACCGGATTCTTTTGGCAGGGAGCTGACGGTTATCGATCTCGTGCACGAAGAGGGATTGAAGATTGGATGATTGTGAGGCTTGGCGACGTCGATGAAGAAGCGTGTATGGGTCTGTTGGGACGTAAGAGGGAGAAGGGAAGGCGAAAAGAGGCACGCGGAAAAAAAAAAAACGAAGCGAAGAACGAAAGAAACCAGATCGTCGAAGTTTGGAAGCAGAAAAAGTAAAAAAGGACAAGACGTCAGCCCGCTTCAGGCACCACAAGGAGAAACTAGCGCACCGGGGTTTCCTCAGCGTGACTGGTCTATTCCTCTCTGGTCGAACCCTGGATCGGGACGTGGTGGCTCTAACTAGATTGAAACGTAATTTTAGCGGGTTTCGGGACCAGTACCGGGCCTTGGGGTGGCTACCCTTGGTGCCTTGGTGGCTAGCCTTGGTGGCTTTTTGGTGCTGTGGCTCAGCATCACTCGGGGCCTTGGGGCGTGGTCTGAGCTTGCAGGCAAAGGAAAGTTGAGGGAAGGAGGGGCCCACTGGAAATGGAGCTTGAGCTCTTTCAATACCGGACAGGTGGGGAAGGGACCATGCACACCACTTCGCAAGCCCTGCACTTTGCACTCTGAAGAAGTTTGCTTGCAGTTTGCACTTTGCACCTGCCTCGAACACCCGCCTTTGGAAACCCTTTCATACACCTCATTGTAATGTACCAGTACATGGTCCCTGAAGCTGGTGCATAGGGTTGGTTGACTCCAAGTCAAAGGACCAGTGAACTCGCTGCGTCCGAGGCGCGTGACCGAGGAGGAAGCTGGTTAAAGTACCGGTACTCAAGGACATTAATGATTCTGCTCCCGAACTCGAAGCTCGGAAGCTGGAGTTTGGGCTCCAAATGGATTTAGAGAGATCTTGATATTAATACAATGTCCATATCAGACCCGAGGGGAGGGCTCGGCTGATTTTCTCTCTTCGTTATCTGCACCACTCCACTCGACGTCAAAGTGATCAGTCAACCCACTGGGGCAGGCGCCAGCTCAGGTGTCGTGGCGCTATCTGCGTGCCACCTCATCTGGGGGAGCTGGGAGCTACCGTAACATTGGGTCACCATCCGGGAAACGACACGGCCAGCCCGCCGCTTGAGGCAAGCCGTTGAGGATCACTACAATGTACCGCCATGAAATCAGTGCATTTTCCCCCTCTTGACGGGCTCCAATAATATTTGTCGCAGACATACGCAATACTCCGTCTGACAGGGTGCACTTGAGGCGAGACAGGGACCCGGGCTTTGATTCAGCTGGATGGCCATTGTGCAGCTCAACGGTGATCATTCAATCTGTGCGAAGAAAATCCCTGTCCCTCAATTTATCACAGTAGGAGAGACGCCCCTCGAACGCTTGGGACTCTTTAAGATCGATACTCTTCGATCGTGGATGACGTTGAAATGCGCCCCCACGTTTGTGGCTCCCCAGGCCCTCCGTGTGATTTAGATAGGACTCGGGAGCTTGCTCCCTCCATGCTTCATGGCATCTGCGCTGCTTGACATACTTGATGTACTGACCCTTGCAATAGTTCCCAGCTTCGAATCCCACATTCAGAACCCCTTTTGACGCTAGTTTTGTGTCCCTCCCTGTCTCCCCCTTTCAAACCACGCTAATCCCTGTGCTGGTGGCTTTTCGACTTCGGTTGACAGCTGCGTCTTCGCTCAGCTTCCCCATCTTGCTTCCCTTCCTGCCCCTCCATTCAACCCCCAATTGGCTCCTATCATTGATCAATATCACTTCCCCCAAATACGCTTTGAATCTTTTTTTCCTCGTGCATATCTCTCCCATCGCCAAGAGAAATAAGCCGCCTTCCCACCCTCTTTTTGCATTTCTCCAGGATAGGGCGGCTTCACCCACAAAGCAGAAGAGAGAAGAAGAACAAAAGCAACGAAAGAGGAGAGCAATGGCGACTTCCGACCCGGGCGGATTCGACAAAGCCCGTCACATTCGTTACTGGCAACGCTGCCACCGCTCCATCCTCCCCATCTACTACACGCCACAGGACTCCATCCGCCTCACCCTCTCCTTCTTCATCCTCTCCGCCCTCGACGTGCTTTCCCCGTCCTCCGACCCGACCTCCAACCCTAACGCCGCCCCTCTCATCACCGACGCCGACCGCCGCACCATCCGATCCTTTGTGCTCTCCCTCAAGCACCCTGCCGGCGGTTTCGCCGGCTCCCGAACCACATCCTCCCCGGCCCTTGTTACCTCGCCTCCCGCGCCCCCGCCCACCTCCCGGATCATGTCCTCGACGCCAACTTGGCCGCCACCTCCTTCGCCCTCCTCCTCCTAGCGCTGGCCGCCGCTGATGGCAACGACGACGATGCGGCGGGTGCCTTTGCCCACGTCGACCGCGAGGGCACCTTGCGCTGGCTAAGGACCCTGCAGCGGCCAGACGGCAGCTTCGGCGAGGTTGTCGACGCGCAGGGAAACGTCCAGGGCGGCCGCGACATGCGCTGCTGCTACCTTGCAGCGACGATACGCTGGTGCCTCCGCGGCGATGTGGCCGAGGGCGACGACGGCTGGGTCGAGGACATTGATGTTGAAGGCCTCATCCGGCACGTGCGACAGGCGCAGGTTCGTTTCCCGCCAAGGGGATGTCCCAGGGGCCATTCCTTTGCTATCTACCCTTGAGATTTTCCTTTGATTTCCCACTCTAACCTTGACTGAAATAGACGTACGACGGAGGCATGGCCGAGAGTTCGCAGCACGAGTCACATGGTACATAAAACCTATCCCAACCTCAACCCCCGGGCAAATGCTAACCAAAGACGTACAATTCCCCGCCCCTTTGTAGCCGGCTACGCCTACTGCGGCGTCGCTGCCCTTGCCCTCCTCGAGCGGCCCCTCGCCGAGAGCTCGACCCGTCCCGCCCCCGCCGTCAAGCCCGGCATCCCCAGCATCCCCGCCCTGCTCAAGTTCCTCGCCTGCCGCCAGTTTGCCTACATTGAAGCCGCCGACTCCGAGTCTGAAGAGGAGGACCTCGAGACGGGTAACTACGTCGAGGGCAAGCCCGGGCCCTTGTCCTGCGACCCGGACGCGCTCTGCGTCGGGTATAATGGTCGGTGGAATAAGAACGCCGATACGTGCTACTGTTGGTGGGTGGGCGGCACTCTCCAGGTAAGAAGCCCAATACGAGAGAGATTTGAGAAAAGGGAGAGAGGGAATCTCCCTCATTGTTGATCCTCCCCCTCCTTTTCAGGAACGAACCGTAGAGGATGTAAAAATATGAAAGGAGAACATCGCATGAGGAGCAGAAGGCGTAGACAAAAAGGGCAAAAGGTTCCTGACCACCAATCTCGTAGATCCTCGGCCACCTCGACCTCGTCAACAAGCCCGCCTCCCGCCGCTTCATCACCACCAAAACACAACACCTCATCGGCGGCTTCTCCAAGTACCCCGGAGGCCCCCGACGTCTACCACGCCTACCTCGGCCTCGCCGCCCTCGCCATCATGGACGAGTCCCCCGACGAGGCCCGCCAGCTCAAGCCGTTTGACGCCGAGCTGTGCGCGAGCGTCGATACCGTGCGCAAGATTGAGAAGGCGAGGGCGGGTTTGCTCCGGAGACGGTGAGCGGCGTTTGTGAGAAGGGGCTGTCTGTCTTGGTTTTTCTTTTCTAGTTATATTCTTGAAGAACTGGGGGTTCGTATTCAGGGTAACATTAGTTGATTAAGCGACGAGGGAAAAGGGGTAGGAGACAAGTCACCCTCCGAGAGAAGCCACAAGGAAAAGATTATATCTATATAAAAAAGAGAAACATGGCTGGTTGATTGATCCAAGGGAGAAGTACTAGGTTTTTCTCTCCCTCGCTTCCGAGGTCTTGATCAGGGAAGGCATAAACAACAGAAGAAGATAAAAAGAATAACAAGGTAAAACTAGTGGTATCTTGTGATATGATACAGCCGCTCGACGCGGAAGAATAAAGAATAAAGAAAGAACAAAAACCTCTCCTATACCCAAGAAAAATATCTCTTCCCTGCCGTCGTCATTCTCTCTCATCCGAATAGGTGAAATATATATGATCCAACAAGATTATATGGGAGGAAGATGAGGGGTCTAGTGATAGGTTGAGGTAGAAGAATGTCGAAGTGTTGCGTGTCTGTATGTGTGTGTGCGTGTGCCGATCTCCATAATGCGTAAATATCCTCCCTCTCTTATCTTTCCAATTCCTCCTTATTCTCTCTTCGTTTCCTCTTTGTTTGCGCCGAGAGCATTTCTCTCGCACCCGAGCTCCCAAAAAAGGACATTAATAAAACACCGTTCAAGCCCCCTCAAAAGGGACAATCCGCAATATTAAAGCAACGCCTCCAAAAGGTTGGGGGAAAAGAAAATTGCATCTGCAAGTGTCACCTTTTTCCCGTTCACCAAAAAAACTTGACATCACCTAGTGACGTTCGCGTAGGATCAAGCACAAAGGGCGGGGTTCTTCTACCCCTTGGGCACCGCCAACCCCGTCACAATCGTCGGCGCCGGCGCAAGCCCCAACCCCAACGCATCCGGCACCACCTCGCCCTCGTCAAAAATGTGCTCCTCGATATGCTCCCCGGCCCGAGGATGACGGGGCTAAACACGTCCACCTCCTCCACCTCTTCCAGGTCGGAGCGCCGACCCGGCCCGTACTCGTCCTCGTCCTCGTCGTCCTCGTCGACTTCCTGAATCGTAATCTCGCCCGACCGCCGGCCCAGGCCCGACGCGCTCGCGCTGCGCGAGTGGCTGCTCGCCGAGCCTCCGCCGCTTCCGCTCCGCGAGCGACCCCCGCTGCTGCTGCCGGCGCCGCCTCCTCCGCCGCCACTGGAGTGGTGGCCGCTCGTGTTGAGCATCGGGCCTTTGAAGAGGTTGCGCTTGCGCTTGGCGAACATGACGCCGCCGGACGCAAACGGGTTCGGCGATCCCGGGGCTGCATACCGCCGCCGCCGCCGCTGCCACTGCCGCCGAGGTTGCCGCCACCGCTGCTACTACTACTTCCGGGATAGGGCATGCCCTCGTTGAACAAACGCAGAGGAGCGGGCGAGCCGCTGCCGCGCACGAGGCGAATGTTGGACGGGATCGGGTTGTGCGTGGGCGTGGCGGGCAGGACCTTGACGCTGTGGTGGGGCGAGGTACCGCGGTGGTGCAGCGTCGACTTGGACATGGCCGTGGACACGGAGCCGTTGGAGCTGGTCGACGACGCTTTCGAGTGCAGTGATGGTGGTGGTGGATCGAGCGGATCGACGACACCGACGACGACGTCGACTTGCGGCCGCGCAGGCCCGTCGACGACCGCCGCATCGCCGTCCGCGGCGTGAGCGGCGAGGGCGACAACGACTGCCGCTTGTAACTCTGCGACGAGGAAGCCTCGCGCTGGGCGGAGGCGACGAGATGCCCAACGATGTCGGGCTCACCATGGCACCGCTGCCGATGCCGCCCGCGACGCCTCCCCGATGCCAATGCCGATGCCCGCGCCCGCGCCCGCACCCACGATAAGGGGCTGGGGCGGTCCCGCCTTGGACAGCTGGCCGTTGGCGACCAGACCTGGGGGCAACACGCTGGTGGCCGGGTTGGGGCTCGCGCTCGCGTTGCTGCGCGCGTACTTGCCCGTCTGAGGCCGCGGGCTCGACGCTTCCGACCCTTTACCGCTGCCGGGTTTGCCACCATTTTTGCGCAGGTCCGGCGTCGATAGGCTGCCCTTGCGATTGTGCGACTTGCTCCGCCGCGTGTTCTCAAAGATCCAGTGCGTCCAATTCTTCCACGTCGCCAAGATGGCTTGCGACGGCCGCTTGCGGACCTTGGGCGGGCGGCCAGCACTTTCGGCAGCCGCATCGGGATGCAGTTGCTGCAGCGCATCCGACGTCGTCACTAGATGTAGCGTGGAGCCCCTAGACCGCGCGCTCCTCAGGATGCCCTCCTTGGGGGCGGTATCGGCCGGCGAGTGCGCGATGTGCTCACGGACCGTATGGAATCCTTGTCGATAGGCGGAGGTGCTACTTCGCCCTGGGGCATAGCCGGACTGCGGCTCGACTCGGCAAGAAGGGGTAGGTCGGGCACGCGGTAGTCGGCGTAGTGGGCGCTCCGTCGCTCGCTTCGGCCGCGCGTGCGTGGGGGCTCGCCGACTCGCATAAAGTCCCCTATCGCGCCTTCCTCGCGCACGTCGTGGAGTACGGGAGTCATGCGCTCGAGGCGGCTCGACGCGGCCGACAGTCGGCGAAGACTTCGGAGCTCGGCTTCCTTTTCCCGGCGCTTCCTCTCCCGGCGCCTCGCCTTGCGTTCCTCTTTCTCGAGAAGGAGGGTCCACCAGCCAGCGAGAGCGTCGCACCTTTGCGAAAGGACGCTCTCAATGACGTGGTCGATATCCACGCCCGCGCTTCGCATGCGTTGTAGAACCTCCCTCTCGAGGGCGGTCGAGAATGGCGCAGGTTGTTGGACCTTGAGGATGGCCTGCTGGTTCGGGGAATGCTCGGCGAGGAAGGGGTGGTTGAGCACGTCGGAGAGAGAGGGTCGCAGGAGGGGCCGCTTGGAGAGGAGCAGCTTGATCAAGGAGAGCGCATCGGCGGGAATGTGATCGGGGTATTTAGGTTCGTCGGTCAAGATTTTTGTTCTCGTGACATTGTCGTCGTCATCGTCAAAGGGTAGTTCGCCGCACAAGAGGGCGTAGAGGATGACGCCGAGGCTCCACACATCCACCTTTTCGCCCGCGTACTTTTCGCCTTTAAGCATCTCGGGTGCGGAGTAGCATATCGTGCCGCAGAACGTCTGTAGGTGATTCGCCTTGCCTTCGTACTCGCGGGTGAAGCCGAAATCGACGAGCTTAACGTTTTCATTCTTGTCGAACAAGATGTTCTCGAGCTTGAGGTCCCGGTGGACGCACGAATTGGCGTGAACGTAGGCGACTGCGCCCACGAGCTGGGCAAATATGCGTTGGACTTTGTGTACGGGGAGAGGGCCATGCTTGAGGAGGTAATTGTACAATTCGTCACCTTGGAAAAAGACAAACGAATTTGTGTCAGTTACGGCCGTCGAATCTTTGAGAGTGCCAAGTGTCTCTCTTCTCGGCGCTTACCTGGGCAGTACTCCAACACCATCCACACTAGGGATTCCGTGACAATGACTTCGTATAACCGGGCGATATGGGGGTGGACGAATTGTCGGTGGTGGTGGATTTCGCGGGCGAGATTGGCGTCGCTCTTGTTGGCGGATTTTAGGACGACCTAGCAAAAGGGGTGTATCCACGGTCAGAATCGCACGACTGCCCGCGAGCAAGGGAGGCAACGAAGCGGGTGATGGTGGACGAGCATACCTTGGAGCCATTGGTGAGCTTGTGGTTGGCGAGGTACACCTTGCCAAAGGAGCCCTTGCCAATGAGCCGGCCGAGGGTGTAGTTGCCGACGGACTTGAGGTCTTTTGTCGAGAATTCACTATGCCCAACATTAGTCTTTCCGCTGGTATGTGGTGGACGAGTGGTTCACGGTTCGGGAGGGTAGCGACATACTCGAGGAGCTCTTGGTACGAATGCGCGAGCTGTTTAAGACGGCGAGAAGGTTAGCACTAGGCATCAGGTCTTCCTGGACATGGCGCAGGGTAACGCAATAGGAGGGAAGAAAAGAATGAGGGGCTTTATCAACAGGACTCGAGGCACCCACCTTGGCTTTTCGTCCCGAGGCCTCTGGCCTCCCCTTACTGGTTGCATCCCTCGATCGTGTCACCCCTTGTCCGCGTGCGGGAGCTCGACGAAAGTAGGAATATTGTCTCTGGCTTGGTCCGACACGTGCAGAGAGACGGGTCGGGGACGTCGTACGCCTGTATGTTTCCGGTAGGAGGAGGGCGCGCGCTGGTTGGGAAGCGGAATTGGAGAGGAGCAGAGGGGGAATCGCGGAGTGGTCTCGTCTCGTGTATGCCGAAAAGTCGTGGCGGGTGATGGGGATATGAGGCGTCAAGGGCTGGGTCATGCGAATCGAGGTCGGCCCAGGGAAAGAAGGACTGGAAAGGGAAAAGGAAAAAGAAAAGAGCGAAGAGTCACGGCGAAGAAAGGCGACAGGGACACAAAATTATAAAAACCAAGGAAAGAATCAAGACGCTATTTCGGCGACAGAGGTAGGGTTGTCGGGATATTAGGAGAAGGGGAAAAAGAGAGACAGAGGGACAGGTTGTGGCGTGGGGGAAAGTGAGTGCCTGTGTGAGCGCATGTGTGTGCCTGTGTGTGTGTGCCAGTGTGGAGTGTGGTGTGCGAGGAAACTATTTCTCCAGGGGACGACGAAATCTCCGCCGTCGTACAGTGTCAGTGTTGGGGCAGCCAAAAGGCAACAAAAGGCAACAAAAGGCAACACCGCCTTTTTCCTCTTGTCTCTTTTTTCTTCTTCGAGTATCCCCGTCAAGATCTTCACGAAAAAGAAGCTCGTCTCGTTTCAACTTGGTACGGGACGGATAGCCAGTGCACGAACCCTTTTACCCCCTCTTAAGATCGGGGAGTATGAAGCCAGCGGTCGATCCAAAGGGGAGGATTCGTGGTTGGCCTCGGTTTGCGTCTCGGGTTCCCGTGTCTGCGGCGGTCTGCAGCCTTTCTGCCGGTTTTTTGTCTGGGTTTATTTCATCTACGGATCTTATTTCGTCCTTTTTTAGTGTCGACGCTCTACGCTATCAACAGATGGGGTGGGTTATTCCTGGGGAGTTAAACAAGCAAAAATATTTATACAAAAAGGAAAAACTAGGAAGACAAGCAGTGCGACAGAGAAAGAGAACAAGTGCAAGAATAAGACAAGAGTGAAGCTAAAAAGAAACGAAACAAAAAAATCAACGTCGTACTGGGATTCCAGAACGCTGGCGTGGGAGGCGACGTTCCTGGGCCCAGTGCTTCAATCCTCCAGGGCGGAAAAGGAATACCGAGACTTGAGCACTGCAGATATCGATGCACACTTACTGGGCAGCAGAGGTCATCGATCAATGGCTCCAGCCCCATCGAACCGGCCCATTCCAGGCACCCAAAGCCCAAACTCCCTTTCCGCTGACGCGAGTCGAGGTCGCAGTCTAGGCTGAGTGGTACATGCCAGTGGAGTGATCGCCCGCGCCAATGGGCCCTACACGAATCTCTGTTGCGGGCCGGGGGAAAAGGCAACATTGAAGCCAAGTGAAGAAGTGAGTGCCCCGAGTGCTCATCCCAAGTCATCCCAACTCCCCTTGGCTCTGCTGCCATGCAAAAGGCAGGAGGGACGCGAAAAGAAAGGCTCAATTAAACGGTAATGTTACAGTGCAGGAAACCTTGGACGAACCAGGTGCAGAGCCCCTCGCAAGTGGAGACAGGGACGGGGGACGGGGACCACAAGGTACTCAAGGTACTCTTCACCGACGACACCGTGCATTGGATACAATTTTGTGTCTTTTCGTCCCATGATACTTGTACAAAGAATGTTCTCAGAGGAAGGAACGGGCCCGAGGTACCTAACAGGTACTCTTCAAGTTTCTTCTTCTTCTGCTTCTGTCCTTTGTGGAAACACCAAACACGCAAAAGACTTGGCTCCTGGACCCTGCGTCCCCACAATATGTGAGGATCGTTGAACAAGAATAGCCCCAAGGAAGAATAGCCTCATCCGCCTCGCCCTCAAATGCCCGCCCTTTCGTCACTTCAATTTTTTTAGGAGTGGCGATTGACGTAGGAGGTGTATTCTATGCCGTATGTGCGGTGTGTGCCACAGCAGCCGCGCTTGACGAAAGCGGGCAAGTCAACAGCAACAAGACATCGGCCTCGTCATCTTTCACGAGTTTAGCATTTCCAAGAGGGAGGGCCGCAAGGCAGATAGATTAATTCGACATGGACTCGCCATTGCACCGACTCCCCACGATCTCTCCATGTATGCACGGGAAGCGAATGACGGGTCTTGAGAGCAATGTGCATACACGAGGGGATAATGCGGGACTTGATTCCTGCCCTTTCGTGCCCGCAAGACTTTCTGCATATTCAGCGTTCCCGACACCATGGAAGTACAGTGAAGCACTCCATCTGCACAGTTCGCCCTACTTGACTTGAAGTGGGAGCCAAGCCACGCGTCGACACATCGCGACAAGTCAGCGGGCATCGCACTCCTCGATGAGCGAGCCGATGGGACTTGTCTGCCATTAGTGAAGGCCGGACCACAAGATACACGATGATTGCTGCTTTCGTTCGTTCTCCTTCCCTTCCTTCGCACGGCGACCTTTGTAGGTTTGGTAAACGGGTGCATTTGAACGCTATACCCGTACTGGCACCTTGACACTCAGAAAGAGTACAACTTGAGTCTTAAACATTTTATTTTCTTCCAAATATCCCAATTTGAGCCTCAACAACACTTTCCCATACCCATAGCTGAAAAGCAGAAGAGGCTAGAATCGTGACTAAAGTAGAGGTCCTTCCAACAGCCAGCAAAACGAAGAACCGTTACGGCCGAGTGAGTGCGTTACCTCGACATTGATGTATGCTTCACTGCATTCTAGCACTTTCAAGATCAAGAAAACGCAAGATATATCCACGTGAAGCACACTTCCCATTATACAATGCAGTAAATATTCCTTCTCTAGTAGCACGTAATCCCATTCTCTCCAACCAAGTGACCAAATTCCTCGACTCATCAAGTTCCCTCCCCTCTCACGCCAAAGCCCTAATATCCCCCTCACCCTCTCACTCTCCAACACCAACGGCCCGCCCCCGGCCCGCTCGAATCCAAACTCAGCGTCACCCGCGCCCGATCCGCCACCACCCGCACCACCTCGCCCAAGTTCTTGAAATCCGTCTCGCAGTGCGACGCCACGTACGACGCATCTCCTCCTCCTGTCGCCGCCGCTGCCGGTCCCAACCCCGCCTCCGCCCGCACCTCCCGCACCTCCACCGCCGGGTACGGCAACCACCCCTCGCGCAGCGGCGAAAGCACCAACGCCATCTCAATAGGCGCGCTCGATGCGCTCGCCGACCCACCCTCCCCATCTTCCTCCTCTTTCTCCTCCTCCGCCGGGATCCGGATATGCCCCCGCCGCCGCCCGCCAATCAACCACGTCTCCGGCGGCGCCGTAACCTCGAAGCTCACCTCGCGCGGTCCCCACCCGCCGCCGCCGCCGCGTCCCCAACCGCCCCGGGTTTCGCCCTCGCCGCCGTGTCCCACATACGCGTCCACCGCAGCCGCAGCACGGCAGGTATCAGCTGATTGACGCACGCCGTCGGCGGGTCCCCGCGCTCTTGCTGGGCGGTAAACGGCAGCTCGCCCTTGAGCTCGATATCCGCCGTCACGAGCACCGGCACGGGAGGGATATCGACGGGGATCACGAGCGACCTGCTCCCCGACGACGACGAGGACGGGTCCACCGCCGCAGCAGTTGACCCGAGCTGCAGCGTTTTATTCTTCCGAAGCCACGCCTCGAAAAACGCCACCACGTCCGTCACCGCACCCGTCTTCGCCGCCCCGTTCTGGTCCAGCCCCTCCAGCTCCCGCCGCCAGTTAATCTGCGCGACGAACCCCGTCGACACCCGCCCCGTCAGCGCCGCCCGCTCGAGGTCGTGCGCCGTGATCGCCTCGTGCGCGTGCCTAATCACGGTGGGCACCAGCAGCCGGACGAAGCGCCCCACGGCGTCCGACCCTTCCAGCGCCTCGACGAGCGTCGTCCGCAGCAGCGTGTCCACCTCCTCCGTCAGCTCGCTGTAGTGGAGCTTGAGGTACATGGTCGACGACTTGGTGCCGCCGGGGCCGATGCGCACCGCCTTCTTCTTGCGCGTAATCTTGTACAGCAGCGTCGCCGGCTGCTTGGGGAACACGAGCACGGGCGCCGCGGGCGGCACGCCGAAATGCGACTCGAAAATCTCCGAGTCCACGAGCTCGCTCTTGAAGAGCCGCAGCGGGCCCGTGCTGGCCGTTGACACGGTGAAGCGCGAGTAGAGCGCGTGGTGCTTGAACACGTCTTGCACGTTGACCCCGAGGGCTAACGCGATGGGCGCCGATGCGAGCTTGACGCACGTAAACACGCCGCCGTCTGCCGTCGCGTACGTCGCCTCGATCCTGAGCGTGACCGACGCCACGTCCCGCTCCACGGAAAAGGGCAAGCTCACCGTCACTTTGGAGTCCGGGTCCAGGCTGCCAAAGTACAGCATCCCCGCCTCCGGGGTTTGGAAAATGCCACCCCGCCCGTCACCACCTTGGCTTCCGCGGCAATGGTGCGCAGGCCGCCCGTGGCCGGCTTGAGGGAGAGCTCGCACGACTTGATGGCGTTCCAACCCGTCGAGATTTCAATCTCGAGCGCGTTGTTCTGGTCCAGCCGGGTTTGCTTCGCCACCGCCAGCCGTATGTTGAGCGATCGTGTCTGCGCGTAGAGAAGGATCGGCGGGTTCTTGAAGATGGTTTCGCCCATGGGGGTGATTTGGTTAACGTCGCGTTCGTAGCTCAATACAAGCCTTCCGTTTTCGAGAATGAGCTGGTCGACTTTGAATCGTCCCGTCACAACCGCCTATCGATTTTTTGTTTGTTCATGTTAGCCTCGTAGTGAAGATAGTGGCCCAGACCCCACCAAACCAAACGTACCTTGCCATAAAACGTCAAACGACTCTTCTTCGGCTTAACAACCTGCTTCCCAGCACTCTCCAACCGAACCTCCTTCGTCGGCCCCCATCCACGCACGCCAACCGCAGCGTCGCCTTATGAATCGGCAACTCATCCTGCAGCAGACTCCGCAGCTCCACGTCGATCGAAAAGGAATCAGAACCATCCAAATACACGGGCGCCGAGCAGACGTCAACATCCAAAAAGAAATTGCTCAGTGGAATAATGACCTCTTCGGGGAGCGACTTGGAGGACGCCAGAAGCTCCGCCACGAACCCCTTGATGGCCGACAGGTCCGGCCGGCCCGCCGCGAACTTGGCCAGCGACCTCTGCTCGGCGAACTCGGCCTCGGCCGCCGCGGCGCCCATGAGCAGCTTCAGGATGGCCTGCACCAGCTTCTCCTTCCACTCCAGGGTCTTGAGGCACCGGCAGTACATGGTGAGCATGGACAGCTCGAGCAGGCTCCAGCCGTTCTCGCCGAAAAAGGGGGTGGCGCGGTGGAAGTAGATGGCGGCGTCGGAGAACTCGCCTGCCTGGTACTTGAGGACCGCCAGGTCTGCCATGCACGACTGGATCGAGTGCGTGTGGTTCGCGACGGTGTAGTGCCGCAGCGCCTTATCCGTCAGAGTCTCGTAGAGGCGGTAGAAATCTTCCTTGCTCGAGAGCGCCGTGTTCAGCAACCGGTCGCCCAAAGTCGTGCTCCAGACCATCTTTTCGCCCTCCGATGACGACTCTTCGCTACCTCCCGACCGGGACGATGGGTCGTCATCATCGTCATCATCGTCGTCCTCGTCCTCCTCCTCGTCGTTAAGACTAACGTCTTCCAGCTTGGAGTAGTCGATGCTATCTGGAAGCGTCGGCACCTCACTCCACCCATCCCGCCAACCCTTGGCACGCCCCAGTTTCTCCAGCACGTTCCGACATAGGCTATACAACTCGGCGCGCCTAGCAGCCAGCTCCTCCAGGCCAGCTTTGAGGAAATGCGCGGTACCGGACGAACCGGGTTCCGAGACGCTGTTGCTCCGCCCGGGGCCGGGAAATACGTTGGGGCTCGGCGGCGGACGCGACCCCGGGGCCATGGCCAGCGAAGAAGTCCTCGCCGGGTGCATCATCGTCTTCGGTTCCGGGATGGAAAGCTTGGGCTCGTGTCCGTCGGGGGTGGCCAAGGTCGAGGGCGGGATCGGGAGGGCTTTCGTGGTTGTCTGCGCGAGCACCTGCTGCGCCACGGAAAAGGCAAACGAGGCAACCGCGTGGTCCACCACGCGGGACAGCGAGGGCGGGAGCTTCTTGGGCGCGGCCGCCTCGGCATCATCGCTCGCCCGGCGGCTCGACTGCATCGCCGCAATAATGTCCTGCTGCATGATCTGGGACGCCACGGGGATGAACTCGAGGGTGCGGCGGCACACCTCGGAGAGCCTGGACAGGTTTTCCGTCTCACTCACGTGCTTCGCCATGGGCGGGATACGGGGATCGACGCCGCGCAGGACGGATTCCCTCTGTTCGTTGAGCTTGGCCACCAGCTCCTCCCGCGTGGACGAGGCGTTGCCGAGCCGCAGCAGGAGGGAGATTTGGCGGGCAAAGATGTAGCACTTGAAGTCAAAAAGCGAGACGTTGTTCGCGAGAATCATGTCGCGGTAGGGTTTCTTGGACGCCATGATGGGAATGTCCTCGAATCCGTCCGCCCTGCTGCCGGCGTCGTTGGCCTGCAGGTTCACGGTCGTCAGGTCGCCTGTCTCACCGGCAGAGGACTTGATGAGGGCTAGGGCCCGCTCGATGGCGTCTTTCAGGTCTTGCGTGTACGGCAAGAGGGCCCCGCCGTGGCTCTCGGGCTCGCCCGAGGTAGCCTGCTCGGCAATAACTAGGTCGAGCCCGACGCTGAGCTCGTCGTAGCCCACCAAGGCGTCCTCAACCAGACCAACGCTCTCGAAGCCGCGGGCCAGACCCTCCTTAAGGATGAAGAAGGTGCAAAAGTTCCAGCCCGGAAGGATGCGCTGGGAGTCCTTTTCCTTGATGTCCTCCTCGTAGCGCGAGACGCGCATGTCGAACGAGTTGAGGATGCGGGCCTTGAGCTTGCCCACGAGGTCCTGCCAAGCAAACTCAACATCCTGCTCCGTCTCCACGTAGCCCGAGGGCACGGCGGGGATGACGCGGGGAGCATATCGTAGGGCACGTCGTTGATGCCGACGCGAACCTGGGCGACGCGGTCCACCTGGTTCTTGCCCGCAATATTAAAATCGGCCTGCAGCTTTTCCATCAACGTGGACGAGCCGCCCCTCCACCTCGAGCTCGACTTGGACTCGGACGAGGTGTCGGACCCCTTGCCGCTCGTCCTAGGCTGCGTGGCGGCCACGGTATTGGGGAGCACGACGTGCACCACCATCCAGTCAAAGGCATCGTGGCCCTCGAACGACGTCTTCTTGCTCGAGCTCTGCGGGAGGGTGTTTTTTTGATCCACTCCCGTATCTCGGCGCGCACCTGGCTCTTGTAGGAATCGCTGTCGTCGCACCTCACCAGCAGGACCTTGAGGTACGGTGTCCGGCGCAGGCCGGGGATCTGGTGGCGCCGCGCTTTCGCTTGGGGCAGCTGCGTCGAGGAGGCGGAGGGGGATTCGAACGCGTCGGCGGAGGCGGAGGCGGTCGGCCCGCCGGACACGGCCTGGGTCTGGAAGCCGTCGAGGGTGGTGCTGACGCTGGCAGAGCGGCGCGAGGCGGCGGCGTCGACTTGGCTGGGGTCAATCTCCTCGCCGGAGACGACGAGGTCTATGTGGATGGTGTCGATGGAGCGGAGGTGGCCGGCGTGGGACTGCCAGTGGAGGTTGCGGAGGGGAGACGGGGGATGAGGCCCGGCGCGGCGAGCTTGTAGACATCGTGAGGGTCGAAGAACTCGACTGCGGGGAGGTCAATTAGCAGAGTAGCTCGGGCCAAGACGGGACGTTGGCGGCGGAAAAGGATGGAGGGCTTATTACCAGTCACTTTGGAGGTCGAGGATTGCTCCATGGTTCGTTTGTGGGGAGGCTGTTACCGAGCTCTTTGCATTTCGCCAGGCAAGGGTGGGGAGCTGTCGAACTGGAGATCGAGTTTTGTCGCGGGGTAACGGTGAGGTATTGGGCGCTTTGAGAGACGGAATTGCTCAAGAAATCATCAAGTCATTAAAAAGAAAAAGCACTGCAAGTCCCGCGGTATTGCTCTGGGCGTAGCAATCGACGGTCTAGCAAATTGACCCCTTGATGGATGATGGCAGGTGGCTTGAAGCTCCACTGAAATCCATCCCACCAGGGGCGAGGTCGGGGATACATGACTAATCGTCGACTGAAGCTGGGTTGAGACGGAGCACGGAGCGACGGCGCGGAACGGGGCGGGAGGTGGAGAGTGGATTTTGATTCAGGACGGCGTCTGTCGACCTTCGGCCATGGAATTTGAAGATGATGTTGCTTTATTGAATTTGACAAAATCCAGTCGTTTAGAAATGTATTTCTATCTATTAAACAATACGGAAGCCAGCAGCCTTGAATGTTGAAAAGCATTCACCCTCTGAACAGACAGATGCGAATGACAACGTCTTCCATGAATCCACCCATCGCCAATATAGCCTCGAAGTCAGAGAGAAGAATAAAAATCCGAGCATCTCCCCTCTATTCCATGAGAAAAGATAGAGGCCAACGAACGCCTTGGATATCCGTACCTTGCCGCTTGCTTACACGGCCAACAGTATCCATCACTCCTGCAGATGCGTGAGGCCTAATCTCATGTAGGCAGGTCGCTATATTCACGGCCAACGTTGCTTCCATGGACCAAATTGGGAATATCTAGCCTGATGGCTTCAATCCCAAAAAGAAGGTACGCCTCAATGCACACATGGATGTGGCACAAATTCCTCGCTGTCTACTTCATCGATTGATGAGAGCCAGTTATCCTCCCAGCGCATCGACAAAGAAAAGGGCGCGCCACGTTGCTTCAAGTCCTGAGTCGCGCATAAAATCTATACCCCAAAGCGACAGTAGAAGACCTGACTCACGCCCGTGGCGGCGCTTGGGGAAATCGATCGACTCCTGTTCATCGTGCGAATGGTCTTGACGGCTGGCCAACCCGGCCCTTCACCGATCAACAGCAAGGCACGACGCCCACCATCGCTCGAGGACGGCTGCATTCATTGATTCATGGATGGATGGATAGATCCATTGTGTTGCTCAAAGAAAGAAAACAAAGAGTGCTTGGGCACATCGCACCAGGCCTGTGCAGGATATTTTCGCCCCTGCGCTAGCGCTGTCTATCCAGGAACGGAATTGTCGGCTGCGCGAATGTGGGGGAGCCAAGGTTTTTGAGATGACCCTGTCAATGTCCTTTTCAATAGCTCGACAAGGCCATTGCCAGATAGAGACATATTTTTATCCCTAGCCGCACCGACAGCAGCAGCTGAACGACGGAAAAGAAAGGGAAAAGATTATATTATCAGTTGAATGAGGAGAATTCTCTCCGCATAGCTTCCAAGCGCCATGGGCGCGCGTCGGCGGGGATAATGGCCCCTCTTGCGTAGAATATCATAGTCCGCGTTGCCATGCTTCGTGATATCTTGGATTTCACTCTTTCCTTCCTTCCGTCTCTCTCTTTCTTCTTTGGGTGCAAGGCAGTTCGCTCGTTTGTAATGCTTTCGTCTTCACCTGTGCGGGCCTAGATAATAACTCCCCGCCCGACATTCGTTTTCCAACCCGCAACTGCACTTTGAAAAACACAATGGTATCATTGACAGTTTTGGCCCTCGGGCTATCCGCCCTCGTGCACCCAGCCGCCGGGCGCCGCAGCGGTTGCAAGCCCCGGTCCACAGTCCTAGAGAGCAGCATCAGCACCAGCACCAGCCCAAGCATCAGCATCAGCACCGACACCAGCACCACCGCCGATGTAAGCGCCAGCCCTACCCCGAGCGCCGGCCCCGTCACAGTCGTCAACGTAGCCACCAACGGCAACTTCGCCGTGCGCGACGCCACATGGCCCGGCGGCGTCTTCGGCTTCAACAGCACCGGCCGCGTCGATTTCAACGACAACCACGGCTACCGCCCCGACAACACGGGCGACACCGGCTGTGTCCGGATGGTGCGGGGCCCCGGCAGCAGCAAGAGGAAGCGGCAGGAGTCCGAGTTCCCGCCGGCGGTCCTGGAGCAGTACATGCGCGACCTCGAGCCCGACACCGTGTACACGGTTCGTCTGTTCTACACCGTCAACCAGAACACGGGCGCGGGCGACTGCCGCCTCGACGGCTACTTTGGCGGCGCCCTCTTCGACTCCACCGACGTCTTCCCCGTGGTGAGCGGCGCGACCGAGGGCGCCACGCCGTGGGTCGAGTTCCTGACGACCACGACCGTCGGCGTCTCGGAAGCGTGGCTCACTTTCGTCGTCGACTGCGAGGGCAGCGGCCGCGCCGACGTCTTTGTCGACTCGCTCTTCCTCTCCAACCAGGTGACCCCGAGACCATCGACGACGTCATCATCGCCAACCCGCCCCCGGCCGACTTCATCGTTCCCACCCCGTGGCGCCCTCGCCTGAACCCACGAGCATCCCCGCGTCCACCGAGGACCCCGTCTTCCCTACGCGGCTGCCCGAGACACCCCCACCACCGTTATTCCACCCACGACCACGACACAGGACGACGACGACACCCCGTCCCCGACGCAATCGGTCTGGTGTCCCGCCGGCGCCCCGTCCGCCCCGGGCCAGTGCTACTATGCATCCCCCACCCCCATCGGCTCCACCTGCTGGGTATCGGCCGAGAAGGAGCTCGCCAACTCAGAGACGTATGGCGTCTCTAGGGAGCAGTTCCCCAAACAAAACAGCATCATGGACTGCGCGCTCATCTGCAAGCTCACCGAGGACGTGTGCAAGGCGTTCGCCTGGACCGCCGAGGACGGCTGCATCCTGTCCCCCGTCCGCCTCTTCTATGCCGGCTACACCCGTCTGACGCCTGCCACCCAGTTCTACTGGAACGACTTGGGCTGCGCCGACTGCCGCATGTGCTCCAACACCCCGCCCTCCTCCACCACCACCACCACCGCCCCGACTCCGAGCTCGACCTGTCCCCTCGTCTACGGCCAGGGCTGCACGCTCCCCTCGGGCCCCGCCGAGGGCGCCACCTGCGTCGCCAGGGGCTCCGTGACGCGGAGCCCCCTTTGGCGTCGACAAGGCCAAGTACCCCTACCAGAACAACGCGCTCGAGTGCGCGGCTACCTGCCGGCTCCTGGACAACTGCGGAGCCTTTGCGTTTGACTATGAACGCAGAGCTTGCCAGTTTGTCACCACGACGCTGGCGGAAGCGGGCTTTGCGCAGGGCGTCCTTGTGGATCTGGCCTACTGGTATGACAAGGCCTGCTACGATTGCGTCGACTGCCAGCCGTAAACCCGAGGTTTTTCAGTCATTGAGGTGCCTCATCCTCCTGAATTTTCCCCTTCTCGACGCTCTTCTCTCTCTGCGTCATTCCCTTCCTCTCGATTAGATGATATCAAGGGCTCCGCTTACGCCTTGAGATGAGATGGCTCTGCATATTCTCTGGTGCTATTACTCGTACATATAAAGAAAGTAAACTAGCATATAATACCTCTATACACCGATATAATTAATGACCATTGATATATGATATCGGGCGCAACCTTTGTGATTTCTATAGAGACGTGAGACATAATAATCTTTATACATAAAGCTCGGGGCACTAATGTAAGCATGGGATAAATGGTCGAGTCCACGCACCTTGGCCTCGAGTCTCTTCCCTGAGTAACAAAGCCTTGGTCAGAAAAGAAAGATACAAAGATGAATGAGAACGGCGTGCGGGACGTTGAAATTCAACCAAAGCTACTCTATCCTAGAAATATACACAAGGAAAGAGCTCGCCCTGACAACGTGCAAATCCCAAGCGCGCAACTCGTCGGTTTGCTGGATGCCCCACTAACCAACTAATCAACCCCGCCCTCAGTCCGTTCGAGAAAGAAGGTGCAAGCCTAGCTTGATACAGCTACAGCAAATCTCGCCTCCCGCTTGTGTTTCCCCACCTTCGACGTGTTGTCTCATGCCCCGCCATGGATGACGAGCTCAAGCTCCATTTATCAGATGCGACGCCTCCTCGGCGGGAAAAAAAGGCCATCTTGACTCTAAAGCCCCTCCAGAAATTACACTCCTCCTAAACCAGGTTTCCTGACGTATTTTTGCTCACTCTCGAAATCGAACTTGTCTGCTTTTCCTTCTTCCCATTTCTTTCTTGTCGAAGACCAAGGGGCGCAAAAGAACTAAGCGCACGCAAGATGGCAACCCTCGAGGCGATCCAGTACGAGCCCGGAAAGCTCAAGGTCCTCGACCAACTTCAGTTACCGCATACCTTTCAGTACGATGTCGTCGCCACCTGCGAGGATGCCTTTGACTGCATCCGTTCTATGCGCGTGAGGGGTGAGACTTCTTTTCTTTCCCCTCAACACCAAGTTCGCAAGAATAGTGATGAGGAGGGCGAAATAAAACAAGGATGACCACTAATGCGCTCTTTACCCAGGTGCCCCCGCCATTGCCATCGTCGCCGTTCTCGGTCTCGCCGTTGAGCTACAAAACGGCCAATTCAGTACGTTTCTGATTCTCCTCTTCCCTTTCCCTACCCTTCCTTCCCCAGCGGCCCCAACCTCTAACCCAAACAAACAACTACGCAGAGGCCAGCACCGCCGACGACATCATCGCCCACATCGACGCCCGCCTCGACTACCTCAAGGAAAGCCGCCCCACCGCCGTCGACCTCGGCAACTCCGTAACCCTCCTCAAGAAGCTCGTGCGCGGCACCCGCGAGTTCAACCCCGCCAGCACCGTCGACGACATCGTCAAGGCCTACGTCGCCGGCGCCGAAGAGTACATGAAGCGCGACCTGCACACCAACGTCTCCATTGGCGAGAACGGCGCCAACTGGCTACGCGAAGTCGCCGGCGCCAGCCCGGAACGGCCCGTCTCCGTGCTCACGCACTGCAACACGGGGTCCCTCGCCACCTCGGGCCACGGCACCGCGCTCGGCATCATTCGCAGCCTGCACAGCGCGCACCTCCTCGAGCACGCCTTTTGCACCGAGACGAGGCCCTACAACCAGGGCAGCCGGCTCACGGCCTTTGAGCTCGTGCACGAGGGGATCCCCAGCACCCTCATCACCGACTCGATGGCGGGCGCGCTCTTCGCCACCAAGAAGGCGCAGCGCAACATTGCCGCCGTCATCGTCGGCGCGGACAGGGTGGTGGCCAACGGTGACACGGCCAACAAGATTGGGACGTACCAGCTCGCCGTCCTCGCGCGGCACCACGGCATCAAGTTCATGGTCGCGGCCCCCGCACGAGCATCGACCTCGACACCGCCACGGGCGCCGACATCCACATCGAGGAGCGCAAGAGGGAGGAGCTCACACAGGTTACTGGCCCCGTGGTGGCACAGGACGGCGCGGTGGACACGACCAAGGTGGCACGGATCGCGACGGCAGATCAGAGGATCGATGTGTGGAATCCCGCATTTGACGTGACACCTCACGACCTCATCGACGCCATCGTCACCGAGGCTGGTGTCGTTGTCAAGAATGCAGAGGGCCAGTTTGACTTGGCTAGTATCAAGAGCGAGAGCGATGCGGCCAAGGCGTAAAAATTACAAGACGGATGATGAAGGTGGAAAGGTGGGGGTGAATACAATGTCCGGCAAGAAAGAAGTACGACGGATAGTACCGACGTAGAGGGGCAAAACAAAGAAGCTCATGATTAATTCGATGAATGAAAAGATAACGCATGCAAATCCATTCCCATCTATCAAAAGGAAGACAGATAAATTACGATCCCGGCTCCAATAGAAATAAGACGAAAACAAGAGAAAGCCCTCTTCGCTCAAGCACAAAACAACTACTTCCTCAGCGCATGCAGGATGAGGCGCTTAAACCCGTCTACCGCCGTCTCTAGGTCGCCCACCGTCAAGCTCTCGGTAGGTCCATGAGCCACGAGGATAGACCCGGGGCCGTAGAGGTACCGCGTGTAGTCGCCCTTGAGGTTAGGCATGTCGGTGCCGTAACTCTCCACCGTCGTCTCGAAGCCTGTCAACGTTGCGGGCGCGTGTCAGTTCACCTCATCTCCTGTCTACCCTTTTTCGTATCTATTTCGTGTAGGAGGAGGGAAGGTAACTTACCCGGAGCAGTACAATCACTCTCGACGACGCCGTAAGCATGCGTATACTCGAGCGTAAAAGCCTCGGGATCAATCCCCGCCAAAATCCCACGAATCCGCTCCGCAACAATCAACCCACCTTCGTCCTCGGGCCCAATCGCCACGCGCACCGCAAGATCGGCTTTCGCATGCTCGGGAATCACGTTAATGGCCACCCCGCCGTAGAAACGCCCAATATTCACCGTCGTGTTGCCGAACCGATCGCTGCTGCCCAGGTCCGTCGTCGCGAGCGCGTACATGGCGCGCACGAGCAGCTCGTTGGCCGACTTGCCCAGCCACGGATACCCCGAGTGGCCCGCGACCCCGCGCGCCTCGACGGAGCAAAACAGCCCGCCCTTGTGCCCGCACGCCAGCTTATTCTGCGTCGGCTCGCCAAAGATGACGGCCTCGAACCCGCCCAGCGCCCGCCTCTCCGCGCTCTCCGAGAAGAACCGCATCCCGTCCCCGGGGCCTTCCTCGCCCACGACGAAGAGCAGCGCCACGTCCGCCTCGTCCACGGCCCCGCCGTCCAGCAGGCTCTGCACCGCCACGATCTGCGCTGCTACGCTGCCCTTGGCATCTACGGATCCGCGCCCGCGAATCACGGTCTCGGCCGTCGGGTGCTCGTCGGAGATGGCGTACGGGATGTGCGGCGGTACGGCGTCGATGTGCGAGCTGACGATGACGCGCGGCTGCGGGCGGCCGGTTTTTCCCGGCCACGCGATAATGTTGAAGCGCGCTTCGCCTGCGCCCGGCGAGCGAACCGGCATGTGCTGGCGCTGGACCGTGTATCCCCGAGCTTCTAGGTAATCTGCGAGCCAGTCGCCCACGTGCGTTTCGTAGAGCGTCTCGGACTCGATCTCGACGAGCGAGCGGTGCAGGGCGAGGAGCTCGTCCCGCATCGTGCTGGAATACGGGGCTTCGGGGGACACATCTGGCGTTCGGTCCTGGGCGACTAGTGGTACCTGGGGATACTCCGCGTCCAAGGTGGCGGAGGCGGCGCCGAGCAGGGTGAGAAGTGAGAGGGGAAGTGCCCGCATTGTCCCTAATTTTGGCTTTCCTTTCCCTTTTATTTTTTCAACTTTAATTCTCACTGTCCCCTTTCTTGATATTGCCGATTTCCTTTTTCTCCTTAACTTTTTCTTCGAAAGAGCCTGAAATTGGCTCGTGGTTGCTTAGGAGGCAGGAAGGAACATTGAGGTCTCAAAATGACGAACAAAGGCGCAATCGGCTGTCAACGGTATTATTTCTCTCAATGCTTTTGCTTGCGTCGGCCTAACATTTTACCGAGGACGCGCCGGCCAACCTCGACCCATTCGTGATCGTCGTGTAAGTCAAATTCGAATAATGGCGTATTGTTTCTTAACGAAACAGCACGTAATAGATGCGGATTCCGGAAAGGTTTGTAATAAAACAACGAAAGTGAATGTAGATGCTTCGTCGGTGTTCAATGCGATATAATGTCATGTCTTCTTTGTCCAACATCCAACATCTCTATCCTCAACCAGGCCCGTCCCGGCAGCCACCCATCCATTCTCCCCACTCCCCAATAAACCACTTGTCACGCCCGAGTCCTTCCCTCGTCAGTGTTTCTCTTCTCTTTAAGACTCCTCCACTCCACCAACATGGCCCCCAGCATGCTCACGCTCGCGGCCGCCGCGCTCACCACCATCGCCTTCACAATCGCCTCATTATACGCCTCGCCTAGTCTCCCCAGCGCCTCCCCGAAACAGCCTCCGGATCCTCGTCGCCCCCGTGCCGAGGACGACGCCAACATCCAGTTCCGGGAGGGTTTCCGCACCTTGGCCGCCAGGAGCGAGGTAAAGATGGCCTGGCCCGCCGACACGGCGATTCCCCGCCTAGAGTCTGCAGAAAAACCACAATGGCCGTCCCCGTAGGCACGTCGGCCAGAGGGAGGACGGCCTGCACCGCCACGAGCGGCTGCTGGAGACCCAGACCTACTCCTGTGCCTGCCAGAAGCTGATAGCCTATCCATTGCACCGGCGGCGTGTCAGGCTTGAAGGTGGAGATGAGCCCGTAGCCCAGCGCCATGGCCAGAGAGCCCGAAAGCATGAAGGGTGCGTAATAGCCCCATCTGGTGACGAGCCATCCGGCCCCCAGCGAGAATACCACGACGGCGATGAGCAATGGCAAGTTATAGAGACCGGAAGAAACGGCCGAGGCACCCTTGACGGCCTGGAACCATAGCGGCAGAAAATAGACGGAAAGAAGGAAGGCCGCACCCAGGTGGAAGTTGTAGAGCGCGGAAGAGTAAACGTTTCGCTGTCGGAATATGCGCGGGGTACGGTGGCGGCGTCTCCGAGTTGTATTTGGGCTCCCACAAAGACGGCGAAGAGCACCACTGCGGCGACGAAAAGTACAGGTACCAAGGGCTCGTTCAAGTGTTGACTCGCCGTTGCCATCTGGAGACCTAGGAGGAGGGCAATAATGCACGGCGTAAATGTCAGCGTGCCGATAGGATCCATTTGCCTGACCATTTGGCCCCATGTCAACGGAGCTTCTGGCTGCTGCCGTTTTGGCTCATTGAAAGAGACGAGGATGGTAATGATGGTGATAATGCCCTACGAGATCCTCATAGAAGGGTGCGATTAGTACAAAGTTACATCTTTTACAATCTTTGACGAGTATTACGAAAACTCACGACTGGAATATTGATGAGGAAGCACCACCTCCAACCGATACCATCGGTCATTAGTCCTCCTAGAAGTGGACCTGCGACATTCGATACACCCCATATGCTACCTTTTGCTCTCACCAACTTCCCCGTCAGCCATCGACCTTGAAATAGGGTACAAGCAAAAAGAAAAAAGGGATCAAGGGGAAGACACTCACTGACTGCCCCGGTATACAATGGCCTCTTCTCTAGCGGCACGGTATACGCCAAGATCGTAAACGCCCCGGTAAAGATCCCCGCGCCGCCTACCCCCGCCACCGCCCGTCCCAGGATGAAGGCGAGGCTAGTCGGCGCGACCCCGCAAATGAGGCTCCCAAGCTCGAAGATGGCTACGGCGGAAATAAACACCGTCTTCATGTTCCAAAAGGTGTAAAACTTGCCAAAGAGGAGCTGGAGGGAGGCCGTGGTGAGTAGGTACGCGCTGCCGTACCAACCCACGTGGTCGAGGCGGGAGAACTCGTCCGTTATGGTGGGGATGGCTGTCGCGATGACATTGTTGTCTATAGGCAAGGAGTAACAGAGTTAGTAATGAGCGTGTATACCCCGTTGTTTCGGGGAGAAGATAGGATGGTAAGGTGGAGCTGGATTGGATTACCGAGTGACATGACCAGAATGCTAAGACACAGGGCAAGAACAATAAAGGCAAGAGCCGCCCCTGTCGGCATGTCGTTCGCCCCTTCGCCATCTCGCAAAGATAAATTGGAGTCTTGGTGTAATATGCTCCTCGTGGATCCCCCAACGTGGATATATCCCCCTTCTCCTCCCCGCCGCTAGAACCCGTGGTGATCCCGGACGCTTCCGACCCTCTTCGCAAGCCCGGTTGTCGGGACCCCGTGTCGGAAGTCTCTAAGGACCGTGAGCGGATTGGAATCTCCCTCCATCGAACCTTTTGAAAAAGGACACCCAGGGGAAGCCTTCGTTGCTGTTCACCAGCCATGTTGTGAAGCTGGATCGTTAGGGCAGATGCGGCGACTTGTCGTTTCGAGATCCAGTCCTCCTTTGACCCTTTTATCCTTTCTTTCTTCCTGCTTACTTGCTCCCTATGTACCCGATTTCGTGAGAATAGAAACGGAAATCTAAAAACCCCATGGCCCATCCCAACCTTGCACAATATTCTGGCGATGGGCCGTGATACTTAAATACGCCGCCCGTCTCTTATCAAAGTGCCCCCCGCCCCCGACCCAACGCCGAGAGCCCCTCTCCATCCCACCGGTTGCCCTCGTGGAATCTTACACCGACCACAGACAGGCTCTCGTCCCTCTCAGATGCTTTCCGAGACACTTGAGCCTCCTCTTTCGGATACTCGTGGATATAATAGGCTGCCCCAGGTAAAAGAAATACCCGTACACATCACAAATCCCAAACCACGGGAAAGCATCATTGATGTCTTGGGTTGACCCCCCAGGTCCCCTAGAACAAAAGTGGTGGATATTGAGGTTCGCCAGGGTGACGCCTTCCGGTCATTCGGATTCTTGAGAAATGACTTCACGTCTTTGTCTTTCTTGTGAGAAGCAAAATCCCGCTCCCATCCCGAGACCCAACCAGCAGGAAACATACGAAAAAAATGATAGAACTCAAGGCGGCAGCGCCCACGCGATGGCTCTCGGTAGCGTTGAAGACCCAAAGAAGCAGTCTGCCGAGATTCGGCACATCATGTATTTTCCCCTCTGAGAGACAATGATGCGGAAGACCGACGGCCCACAGCAGGTGAGAAGGGGATAACATAAAATTGCATATCCACTGCAAAGATTCTCTGCAAAAGAGCTTGTTGCCTTCATGGACCTAACAACTTCGCAATGAAGATTGAGTCGAATAAAACCTAACCTCTGACTCGCGGAAAGTCTCTGCCTGGTATTGCCTCACGGGTCCATCCACCCTATCTACACAAGAGTCTTGTGTTCCCAGGAATCTCGTCCCCTCACACTATGCCCACTCCCGCCTCATTCGACTCACATCATAGAAGAGACAGGAGAATTTGAGATTTCGTGCCCGCACCCTGCGCCGTTGCACGGCATCTCCCTAACCTACTACCAATCCCCTCAGCTCCTCTTCTCGTGGTTGCAACCCGTTGCTGTCTCTGGCTGCCGTCTCACCATCCTTCACTTCTTATCTTTGTGTGTAATGGAGTCCCGACGCATACCTGCACGTCAAAAGATCTCTAGATATGGTGGGAGGTGAACCTGCGAGAGCAGTGGCCCCTTACTAGACTGGCTTGAAGGTTGAATCCCATATCTACCAAGTTGAGGCCAATCTTGACTACATATATCAGTGGTACCGAGAGCTATTACCTCACAGGCAGTACGGCCTACTTGTCTGTAGTACGCCGCGTTATCAACGTAGAACTTAAATCATAGTTGTGGTTTCATCCGTCTCCCTGTTCCATCCTGTCTATTTGTCTTTCTCTTCCTCCCTGTTCAATATCATCCACTAGTACACAACACTTTAGTGGAAGTGGCTCAATATTCTAAACGACCACAAGTACCATTTCATCCTCGCTTCCGGCAGGCACCCAATATATCCAGCCACAACGTAGCCCGCCTACAACTTTGAAGCCGCAGCCACGCCCATGAGCCAGGAACTATTTCACGAGAGCAAACCTACATGGATTTTCTGAAGCCACAAACAGTCCTCGTTCGGCCCAGGATCCCGGATCAAGGAAGGCATGCGAGGTGAGGGGAAAGGAAGAGAAATGAAGCGTGTCTCGGCTCGGCTACCGCCCGCATCGAAACAACCACAATTGCCCCTCCAATCCAACCCAACCCAGCTCGAAATTTAAAGAGGCAATACAAAAGAGCAAGAGGAAACTAGGATATGTTTGGGTGTAGCCAGCTCCAAGAAAGGCGAGGTGATGATAAAGGACGTCTAGGACCGACCCTTCTTGGCAAAGCGGCGGCTTTTACGCCCACAAGCTCCAGTCTCTTGGAGCCTCCGGTTCGAATGACTAGCTCGATATTCCGGGTAGAGCCTTCGATTCGACTTGCCCAATGCAGAATGATCACCTCGAGGGTGGACATAGGACGATATAATTCGGTGTGCCGGGAAATCTGCACCAGGCCGATGTTCTGGTCCGACATCAATGAGTGCAAATGTTTCACCGACGACAGCCAAAACTTCCTTAGCCAGCCGGACAATCTCAGCAGTTACCTGGTGGCAGTCATTTGTGTGCAACATGTAGTGAATAGCGGGCAATAGATGTTTCCTTCCTCCTCTGCATTTCTTCCTAGCCCCTTCATCATTGCCATCTTGCAGTATTCGGGGAATGTTTGTCCATCACGGTGCTAACTTGGAGCCAACGTCCCAAGGAACACATGTATGGCTACGCAGACCAGCACGGATGCAATCTCAACTTATTCTACTTATCTCGGCCATGTTAGGCTGATTTCACCCGTAACGCCATGCCTCATTTTGGTGGTAAGTCGCCGGCATTGCATGGATCCATACCGTTAAGCGAATGTAATTACCTACACTATGATACAGAAAATGGATATGCTTGCGAGTAAAACTAGGCGACACCACCCCCTAGCCGACAAATATTGTAACTAGAAAATAAGGATACCTTCAATGTTTGCCCCCATTCTTGATAATTCAATACGGGTGGGCGTGGGTGTTGACCTAGGAAATGTACTTTCTCAACATCACTACACGTGCTGGCGCTTAATTCATTCACAATCGGCCCTCTCCTCATCTTTACCCATAGACAGGCCTTATTCCCTATCCTCGAGATAAAGCCTCCATCAGAGCCTCATCGGAAAATTGGTCACCTGAGCTTAGCTCTGGCATCTTAAAAGCCTCCTCACCCGCTTCGGCAGAATCAACTAGAGGTAGTTCAAACGTCGCCCACGAGGTAACGGCAGTGCCGGTTGGTGTGCTAATGCTTCTGCTTGAGTCCGTGGTTGACTGTGATGCTTCCTCGTCCACACGCTGCGCTTGTGAAATATCTTGCTTCGCTCGGCTGAGCGGACTACCGCAGCCCGTGGTGTTGATGAACCCCCAGAAAAGGCTCTTTGTACCTTGGGGCCAAGTGCGGTCAAGGGCTGCGGTGCCTCGGCTCCCCGACCCTGCTCTGTGACCACAGCCAAAGCCCCCAGACCTGAGCTAGGCAAGTAGCCACTTCTTACATCCGATAAGGAGGCGTCCGTGCTGTTTGTGGTGGTTGCTACTGATATTGCTGAATGCTGTACTGGCGGCTGACAGGACGTGTCGACGCCCAGTGCGGCTACCTGAGAGCCAAAGTAGGAAGATAGGTCTCCTGACGGTGTTGGTGCCCATGGCTCTTGGCTGGTATTCATGGACCTCGAGTCGTCTGGGCCGCTAAGTAGGCGTGGTCCAGTCTCTGCAGTTCTAAGAATGGCACGAGAATCAGAAACTCCCCAAATACTTTGCAGCTTTGGCACCGTGCTTGCGTAGTCTTGCATGATAGTATCTGAACTTGACTTCTCTACTCGCTGTCTGCGAGTGAGGTTATTCTGGTCTCGGTGTTCGAGGTGGAAACCCGACCCCGACCAGAAAGCGGACGAATAAGAGGCTTGTGTAGGCGTGGTGCCAGCGCCAACTTGGCCCAAAGAAAATTGAGGATGGCCTCCTCTTGTTGGAAACGCCTCTGCCTTGTGTCCGAGCCTCTGTGGACAGCAAAATCCTCTAGAATAGGAAACTTTCTTCCGTGATCGGGCGTAATGGATGTATGACTTAGCCTTGGGTGCCGGGATGCATGAGCATGTGAGATCGGCTTGCTTCTGGGAGCAAGCCAAGACCCCGAGCGAGTGGGTACCTCTGGCTTCCCGAGCCACAAGGACTGGCTCGGCCAAGCGATAGCGGCGGCTTCGAGAATTTCTAGTCCAAACCGGTCACTTGTAAGCCGGGCCCAATAGGAAGATATACATGCATAATGATGACAAGTGGGGTGGGGAACGGGGGATTCAAAGACTTACGGAGAGGCGCATGCTGGAAAGAAAACGCTACAATATTTTTCACAGTCTCAACTAGACTTGGTCCTGAGTGATATACCTCGCTGATGACCACCTTGATCCGGCCAAGGTCATCCGCCGCGCTCCAGGAATCTTGGTGCAACATATCAGAGAGAAAGCTGGGGAATCGAAGAGCGTCGCCCTCCCCGCTCTGCGACTTTTCTAATCAGAGGGAACTGTGAGCAAAAGCAGGTTCTTGTGGGTAAGTTTATCGAGAGGATCTAGGTACCTGTCATATTGCTCATCACCTGGGGCCATGCTGCCGAGCCGTCAAATATCTTGGACCTGATAAAGTTCGCAGTTAGTACGGTCGGCGGAGTGTTTTTAAAAAACGACTGCATTTCAGACATACCCAATAAAGCATCCGTCAAAATATAGCCGAGCCTGGAATTGGATCGTTTCGGGATGCTGAGAGAGAGCTTTGTGAAGATGCTCAGCTCGGGCTCCTGAATCCAGCTGTGGACGGAAACGTGGAAGGGCGTGTTTGGCTCGAGACTAGGGATGAAGCAGGTCATGGTCGGCAGGCCTACGACACCGTCTGGAGATGAAAACTCTTTTCGGTGCATCACATTAGCTATACATGAAGAAGCAAATGCTATCGAGAACAGGAAACGAGGCGGCACTAACCTTGATCTTGCACTAACCGGCACGTCACCTTGAATTCCTTCAAGGGGGTACCAAAGTCCCAGGGAAGAGTAGAACGTCCCACTCATCATATCGCATATTGAAGTTGAAGCTCAAGCGAACGAGATGGCCAACTATAGAAATGTAGAAGGGAATTGGTTCTCACAGGCGATAATCCAAGCAAATTCAAAGAGTAGCTATCAAAGAAGAGGCTCATCGTCTTCTAAGAAAATCCCTCTGTTGGTATGAGAGGAGGGGTAAAACAACGGAGACTACATGAGATAGAGATCGTGAGCGCAAATGCGGGTCTATTCCAACCAAGGAAGTTGCTTGAAGACCCTTCGTTGCTCCTTCTTACTCGATGCTCTAGATACGGAGTAGAGGTGTTATTGGCGACTTCTCGGCAGGGAAGAGAGGTTAGTGCGGCGATAAGGGAAACCCGGTCCCGGAAAAGCTAGTAACCCCCGTTGCTATATTTCCGTGACGACTGGATCAATCCATTGGATGCATAAACGTTTTGGACTCGTCTGGCCGGTCAGCTAATAGATCGTGCAATGTCAATGGGATCTAAGTTGCCTGTGCGTATCATGTGGAATGGGATCGAAAGGAAGGAACGGGGATCATTGTCACAGTCAAGAGATACATGGCCCACACCGATAGACAGTCTCATGAATGGAGAAGTGGCTACCTGGGGACTTGGTGGATTTGATAATACAAAAGGTACGTAGATGACGGTAGTATAGAGGCGGGGGATGATGAACGGGAAAGCAGGCCGAGACGGATGCCTCTCGTGTGCAAAAGCCCAGCTGGTGCTTTGATTGCCTGAATTTGAACTATTCGAACTGGTGTACTTGAACTCGTGTACCTTGGTACACCTGGTATCGATGCATTGGCCCAGCGCAGACGGGGTTGAGCCTTTCGTTCCTTCCTCGTCTATAGATAGTCAGATCGTAAAAGATATATTTTGGCTCCGAAGTGGAGCTCAGCGCAAGGTTGATAAGGGAACCGTGGGTGTCTAGGCCGCGCAGGGTAGCAGGTACATCATGTGCAACTAGAGTCAATTCAGCGTGGAAAGAGAGCCACGAGAGTAATATACAGTGAAGGTGCACTCTATCAGACAAAAGGAACGGAATCAATGGTGTTCCACGTCAGGTAGGTATCTAAATTGCCCCAGAAAACCCAACCCACCCCTTGGCATTTTTACGGATCAGGATCACCCGCTTTCCTCGCCTATATCATGTCGGTTAGCACTATCCTCATCGCTTCGTCAGGGCAAGCCAACTTACCCTCACCGCGCCACTTCCACCCAGCTCCCTCTCTAGGCCATCCTCATACTCTTTGGGGACGGCCTTCATATCGGGGTACGTGAGGTATACGAGGCCGATAGCGGACAGGAGAACGCCGGCGGCGGTTGCGAACATCAGGGCACCCTTTCCAGGGGTGGTCCAGGTGTATTCGTAGGGGAGAAGATGCCGAGCATATCGTTGTCTTCGTGCACGGGTTCCCCAAAGTTCCTCCTCTCCTGAGGATCCCACCACTCGCCGTAGGGATCGCGGAATTGCCTCTTGATCGCGGGGGTTGATGTAACCGCCGTTCTGAATTACCTGAGATTAGCTCCAACCTCCTCTAATTATGACGAGGCTCTATTATAACGGCACGAACCATTCCGGGGTCCTCGGCTTCGGTGAGCTTGGGATAATCAGGGTACTTTTCGTTGATAACCTCTGGCGAGTTGAACGAGGGAGGCAAGAAGAATCGTTTCTGGATGACGGGGACGGGGCTCGCGCCAAGGCTGACGACGCGCCGCGTCGTAGCCGAAGCAATTCGTCGAGAAAGCATCTACACATGTCCAATTGAGCTTGGTTAGCGGCTCCTGCTCTGGTGTTGCGGTTCGCGGCTTGAAGACGGCTCTGGGGACAAGCGTAGTTTTTCAATTGAGTAGGTGCTCTCGTCGGCTCGAAACATACCTTGATGTCCGGGAATTGCGCAGCCGGGACGCCGGTCGATGGTCTACGAGTTAATATTGGCAGACACGGCTGCGAGACGGATAGGCTATCGTAGTCGTGATGGGATGAAAGCGCTCGTGGCCGCAATGAGCGAACTTGAAGTTGTCGTCAGACAAAAGAAGCATCGGTCAAAGGTGGTGCAGGGCAAACTTGATTCCGAGCGCCTTGATTGGTCAATCTCATTTGTTATGACTAAGCAATTTTCTCGGTGCGGCTGCCGCCCTTGGGATGAATTATTCTGGGAATTATGCCTTCTGTAGCCAATGATGGGAGATGACTGTACATGTCTGAGGAGCCTGCGCATTTTGTCGTGCACCGTGGACGCGCAGCATCACATCAGTGTTGAGCGCACTAGCAAACGTATAACCACTGTGTCGATATCACAAAACACGGAGTACACGCCAAATTCTATGATGTGGTCCCTATTATTTCGAGCATGAGCCTGAACCTCCTGTCATCATCCACCTCACGATTTTTTTTCCCTTGGCCTGTTCCATCACCTGGCTCACGTTTTTCAACGCCAGCATCCAGTTTAGATCGTGGTCATGACCAAATTCCGCATGGGCATTTCTTGAATCCTTACGATTCCGTAGACCTTAATTTTTACCCACCCAATGCCACTTTCATCGAGAGCACGACCCATCCACCATCCCCATCGCCCCGACCGTGATGACCCCTTCCACGTCGCCGCGTCCCCAAACGCCGGATGCGGGCCCGATCACCCTCGACGACTTGGATGCGGACTCGCCTCTATCCGACCTAGCGGACTACACGTTCGATTCCGACTTCGAGTCCGATCCCAACCCCCAAGGGCTCCCTCCGCCGCCTCCTCCGATGACGACTCCGACGAGGATCCCGCAACCGCACGCGAAACTACGCCCCAGGACACTACCATCGACACGAGCCGTCCACAAGAGAACGGGGAGTTGCTTGAAAATGAAAAGGAAAACTTTCTCGAAGTGGATGACGATGTTGCCACCCCCGGCGATGAACGACCCTCCAAGCGTCGACGCCTCTCCGAGACCACTCCCCAGACCGGCCCCCGCAAACGAGCCGAATCGCCGCCCTGGAAGAAAGTTCAGGCCGAGGGCCCAACTACCTTTACAGAAAATGGCCGACGCAAGTCTGGCCGTATCAACCTCGTACCGCTAGAAGAACGCTTAAAGGGGGACAAGCGGCTCACGCGACGAGCCGTCCAGCCTACGGCATCGCCCACGAACCCGCGGGCCTCGAGTAGCCGTAGTACGTCTACGCCCCAACCCTTGTCGCAGAAGGCTGTCCAAAAACCCCCAGCCAAGAAACCTCCTCCGCCACCTCCTCCTCCATCATCCAGACCAACTCGATCTGCGCCGCCACCTAAGCAAGCCCCCACACCGCGAATCTAGGACATCTCTACGCACAAGCCAGAGAAAACAGTCCTCCTCCCCACCTCCACCCCAACCCACCCGCCAATCTACACGAGCACGTAGGACGTCGCGCTTCGCGGCGGACAATGCCACATCTCAAGAGTTGGCTAGCCCCGCTCGCCGACGCGCCTCGAATCTACGCGATACACCCGCCCGACACCGCCTTCGAACCCGTATCGATACTCTACCCATTCTTCATCCCGATCTTCTAACGAAACGACCCAAACTCTTCCCAACATTTGACGAATACTGGGTGCGCGCCTGGGATATACCCATCGAAGAGGGTGGTCTCCTGGCCGCCGACGATGATGCTCGCATCTCGGACGAAGTAGCCCGAAAGGAAGCTTGCATAATACGGCGGATTGAGGCCGAGGCGGAACCGGGCGGCCTTCTCTCTGGGGATCACTGCTCTATTTTTACCCCAGAGCAGCAAGACGAGCCTCCTAGGCAATGGGCCCACGCGGACCACTTAGTTAAGGCGGCGGCTAATTTCCGCAGGCTGCTGGTTGCGGAGCACATCCGACACAAGGCTACCGCGAAGAAGCTGGCCGAGGCGTGTCGTGATGAGTGGAGACGACGGCAGCCCAAGTCGGCAGAGCAGCTCGAACTAGAAGCGAGAGATCTCTGGATCGCGCGCTACAAGCTCGTTGCTCGCGCCCTTTCGGGACGTGGGAGAACGTCAAGGTAGAGATAAACCGACGAAGGCTTCGAGAGTGGGAGGCTGAAGAGCAGCGCAGGGTGAAGGCAGCGCTAAACGAAGCGGTAACAATATCCGAGCAGAAGCTGCAAGCGCGAAAGACCCTGGCGGACTCCGATCTGGATTCCGACATAGAGCTGGACTCCGACCTCGATTCAGCCCTCTTGTCCGACGCCGAAGCAGCGGAAGACGCCAGTAATGATGGTGAGAGTGAAGAGGCAGATGATGGAGACGATGAGGATGAAAATGGTGCTGGCGATGATGACAACATGACCTCTGACGAAGATGAGGACGAAGACGAGGCTACCGAAAGTAAAGATGACGTGGGTGACGAGCATCTTACACGGGAGCAGCTTATAGAAAAGTACGCCAACCTTCCGGATCTTCCGAAGGAAACAACAGAAAATCCTGCCGACGACGAGAAGCAGCAGATGGGCGAACCTACCGTCAAGCAGGAGGATGAGACCAGTGATGAATCCGTCGACATGGATGATGATCTGGGCTCGACAGATATGGATTCGGATGAAGAAGATGATGGCGATGACGATGACGACGATGATGACGACGATGAAGAGGATGAAGAGGACGAGGAGGATGGGGAAGCGCCATCCGGCCTTCTTGGCCTTTTCTTTGGAAAATCGGAGCTGAAGAAGCTAAAGGACGATGCGGTGGACGAGTCTACCCCGATAGACACGCCTGGCGCCCAATCCGAGGATGCTGTCGAGATGGAGGCTGGGGCGGACGATGCGCAGGATGTCGCCCTCCCTGCGGACGAACGTATGACTGAGTTTTCCCACGGAGAGATCAACGGGATCAGGCACAAACTCAATGGCATAAGCAAGGTATTCGATGTCCCTGAGGCCACTGACGACGACGACGACGCCATCTCCTTGGTTCATCACCCGGGTGACCGTCGCTCCACTGTTGAACCAGATACGGGGGCGAGCAAACCAACAACGCCTTTCCCAGATCCAATGGAGGTGGAAGACTTTACGGTTAGCGACGGACCCAAGGAGAATGGCGTCAACGGGATCAATGGCACCCATGCAACACCACCCCTCGCCAAAAGTCCGTCGGCTTTCAACTCCCGAATGGCACCTCAGACTCCCCAGTATCGAAGGATACGAGTGCGGCCGATAGGGCGTCTATGCCCCCACCTAAGCTCGTTGCCAATGACGATGAAGACGTTGTCATGGATGATGCCCCCTCAGACGTGCCGGTGTCTACTGTGCAGCAGAGCTCAAAGACGCCAAGCGAGGCCCCGGATGTGGTGAACATCAACGATGCTGAACAGGCCTCTGAGACAGCCCAGGATCTCGAAGGAAGCCAGTCCCCGGGATGGCCGAGGCTAAGACACCTGATGTTGGTACGCCGATGGGAGCAGAGCTCGTGCCCTCAAAGCACTCCACCAGCCGCAGCGTCTCGCCTTCCCAACCGGGGCAACCCAAGACGGAAGTACCCTTCCTCCTGCGCGGCACGCTCCGAGAGTACCAACACTTTGGCCTCGAATGGCTTGCAGGGCTTTACGCCAACAATACCAATGGTATCCTGGCTGACGAGATGGGACTCGGCAAGACCATCCAGACGATTGCGCTCCTAGCGCATCTGGCTTGTTATCACGGGGTCTGGGGTCCGCATCTTGTCATTGTGCCGACCAGCGTCATGCTCAACTGGGAGATGGAGTTCAAGAAATGGTGCCCCGGCTTCAAGATCCTCGCGTATTACGGCAATCAAGAAGAGCGTAAGCGCAAGCGTCAAGGTTGGAACAATGACGACGTGTGGAACGTGTGCATCACGTCCTACCAGCTGGTGCTGCAAGACAGCCAGGTATTCAAGCGGCGTCGCTGGCATTACATGATTCTTGACGAGGCCCACAACATTAAGAACTTCAAGTCACAACGGTGGCAGACACTCTTGGGCTTCAACACGCAGGCCCGGCTGCTCCTCACTGGTACCCCGCTGCAGAACAACCTCACCGAGTTATGGTCGCTTCTCTTCTTCCTCATGCCTTCGGAGAATGGCGTGGGCGGCTTCGCGGATCTACAAGAGTTCCACGACTGGTTCCACAAACCCGAGTCGCAGATTCTCGAAAGCGGCAAGGAGAAGATGGACGATGAGGCGCGGGCCATCATCTCCAAGCTGCACAAGGTGCTGCGGCCCTACCTCCTACGGCGCCTCAAGGCCGACGTGGAGAAGCAGATGCCGGCCAAGTACGAGCACGTCGAGTTCTGCCGGCTGTCGAAGCGGCAGCGCGAGCTCTACGACGGGTTCCTCGGACGCTCAGACACGCGCAACACCTTGGCTTCGGGCAACTATCTTAGCATTATCAACTGCCTAATGCAGCTCCGCAAGGTGTGCAATCACCCCGACCTTTTTATCGACCGGCCCATCATGACGTCGTTCCCGATGGAGCGGTCGGTGGCCGGCGGCTACGAGTATACGGAACGCTTTGTGCAAAAGTCCATCCTCGCGCCGGATCACATGGGCGCCGTGAGCCTACAATTTCTCAACCTTATCCCCACCCGCTACGAAAACATCTCTACTCATACGGCCGACACCATCGCCCGGCTTACCACGCCCCGCACTCTAATGGACATGCGAGACGCGCAAAAGAAGCGCGCCAAAGAGGAGTTCAAGGAGCTCGACCCTACCACGGTTCTGTCGAACATTGACTATCTCGAAAGCATCGGCCGCTGGGATCGGTTCGAAGAGCTGCAGCATTCCGTATACCTCAACGCTCTTCGGCGCCAGCAAAAGCCCATCTACGGCGAAAACGTGGTCAAGATGCTCACGCTCGATCTCCACGAGAGCCCCCGCAAACTCCGTGCCAAAGTGCCTGGGAAAGTACTAAAGTGGTTTGAAGAAGACTCGGTCTTCATCTCTTCCATGATCAAGGGCGTGGAGAGGCGCTCGGAGGAATTGCACACGACGATTGAAAAGTTTGCGTGCACGACGCCGGCAGTGGTAGCCAAGGACTTGCACCAACTCGTCCTCGGCAGCCGTGGGGTGCAAGCGTTCCAAGACGCGGACTTTAAGCTGAGCAAGGCGACTCGATGGGCCCCGTACATGCCCAAAGAACCGCCGGCGGACCCGTGGCATGAAGCGCGGATGCGCTTGAGCGTCCAGTTCCCTGACAAGCGGCTCCTTCAGTTTGATTGCGGCAAGCTCCAGGCTCTCGACCGGCTTTTGCGCAAGCTGCAAGCAGGGGGCCACCGAGCGCTCATCTTCACGCAGATGACCAAGGTTTTGGATATTCTGGAGCAGTTCCTCAACATCCACGGACACAAGTACCTGCGCTTGGACGGAGCGACCAAGGTCGAGCAGCGACAAATCCTCACCGACCGGTTCAACAATGACCCTCGCATCCTATGCTTCATTCTCTCGACGCGTTCCGGGGGTTGGGTATCAACCTCACGGGCGCGGACACAGTCATCTTTTACGACCAGGACTGGAATCCGGCCATGGACAAGCAGTGTCAAGACAGGTGCCATCGAATCGGGCAGACGCGCGACGTGCACATCTACCGACTCGTCAGCGAGCACACGATCGAAGCCAACATCCTACGCAAGGCGTCGCAGAAGCAGATGCTCGACGACGTGGTCATCCAGGAGGGCGAGTTCACGACCGACTACTTCAACAAGCTCTCGGTGCGGGACGTCATCGATGCCGAGACCGGCGCGCGTCGCGACGACGACGAGTTTGTCAGCGACGGGGTCGCAGCCGCCAACGCCGCCATGGACCGCGTCCTCGGAGGAGGCACGGACGGCGGCAGCAGCGACGACCGCTCGGTCGGCAGGGTCCTGGCCCAGGCCGAGGACAAGGAGGACGTGACAGCCGCCCGCGCGGCAGAAAGGGAGATCCAAGCGGACGAGATCGACTTTAGCGAAAAGAGTGGGGCGGGCGCGTCCGGCGCCGCCACCGAACGGCACAATACGCCGCATACGGCGACGCCTGGCGGGGCACGCCCACGCCCGCGCCTGGCGTCGGCGGCGGAGGAGAGGCGGAAGAGGACGAGAGCCTCGTCGAGCTCAACGCGTGGGGCGAGAAGATCCACAACGTCGACCACTTTATGCTGGACTTTATGGCGGAAGCGCTCCGGTACGCGCCGCTCGAGATCCCCAAGGATAAGAAGAAGGGCAAGAAGACCCGGGGCAAAGATACGCGGAAGCGCTAAGACGCTCGCTCCCCTTCGACTCTTGCAAGAGTAGGGGATACCCGCGAGAGTGACACGCCCCCTGCCCTTCACTTCGAGATTGAGAGTGGACCTCATCTTGAGTTTACACCAAAGAACCCCAAAATAGGAGACTGTTGGCTGCGAAGCATGCACGCATCGCATACTGTGTTTGAGTACCATGGGATTCCAAACAAAACTGGCGATATACCTGCACGCCGCGAACCAAAATAACGCCGGCGGCAGCGATACACGGAGAGACTAATTTCTTGTTTGGAGGGCAACGCAACTTTGATTTCGGTGTTTCTAGATTGGGGATGTCATTTTTGTTTTCCTCGTCCTTTTTTTTTTTTTTTTACTTTGGCCATGGGTCTTTCTTTCGCTTCCGCCCGCGGAAACACTATGCATTCCCCTCACTCATGCGTTTTATATCTTTGCCGTTCTCGTGTTTTCTGGCCAAAGAGTGAGAGAGCGAAAGGGTGATTCTTTTTCTCATTTTCCCCAAGCCGCGAATACGTTTGTGTACTATTAGTGATCATGACTAGCATAAGACTTTTGTTTTCTTTTTTGTTTGTCCCTTGTTCCTTTCTAAAGGGAAAGGGCAATGAGACGTTTATACAGATATAAATACAGACATCAACCGACGAGTGAGTCTTCCCGACCGGTTCGCTATCGTTCTCCAAGGCCCCGCTGCACATCCAATCTTGGAGGACGCCATCCTTAGACGTGCTGTGCTACGCCTCATCTGCAGGATCGTGGCCGCCAAGTCTCGTGCACAGGTGGCCAGGACAATCCCTCCGCTAGGTTAGATTCCAAGGTCGACGGATGCATGGCATATTCTCAAAGTAATTCAACACACAGGGGTTCAGATTTGAAGCACATTTGATCAGTATTTTGATACTATATGCTCGCTATGGTCGCCGCCCTCTTCGGAATGCAAGTCCCACAGAAAGAGTAGGATGATATGGCAAAAGGGCTCAAATGATGATCAACGGAGAATCCCTCTAGATATAAAGAAAAAAAAAAAAAAAAAAAAACGGATTGGGTATCTCCACCTCGTTCTTGCTTTCTCTCCCCTGTTGCATGTTTTCAAGGCAACAGCGCGGTTCAAAAGCCTCTATCGTCCTTCTCTCACCTCGGTCATACCTGTCCGCCTCATACAAAGAAAAGGAACCCCACTCGTCAGAGCCCGTTATATCCAATGCGACGTCGTGCGAAGGCTTTCCTCCTCGGAGAAGATGAAATGAGAAAAAGATGTAAAGAAAAATGAACAAGTAAGGGACCCGGGGTGGTGCTATTCGGACCTAGCTCTTAGGGCCAATACCACTGCTCCCTGCAAGGAGATGTCAAGATGCGGTGAATCCCCATCCCGTAATCCCAATACTCCTAGAATATGCCCTTTTCGAAGCTCCCTCTTTTGTTTCCGTTGGTATAATAGAATACAGTCATAAGCGTAATGTAGATGCCCTCGGCCTTCCCCGAAAGGCTGGGTGAAAATATAAAAAAGTGAGTTTCCGGGGTGGGTGAAGTATATGATAATGTTGTAACAAGTTGCCACTAGCCAAGCCGTTTTACCAACAGCTAGGTAACGGCTCGTGTGGCTGTCGATCGCGGTAGGAGCGGTGACAAGGCGTCACCTCGATACTCCGGACGGCAAAAGACAATAGATGCGTGAGGTGCGACTCGTGGCTAAGCAAGCCTCCTTGCTGCCTACTTCTTCTGGCGGCCGTCGATAGCAGTAATCTTGCTCGTGCTCATCAAGTCCCCAATATACTTTTGTAGAAACTTGTTGTTGCTATCGAGCTTGTCGTGCTCTTCTCGAACCGCCTCGATTTGTTGGAATATGGCCAGCAATGAGTCTTGGAGTGCCTTGGCTTGTCTAGAAGATTTGGTAAGGGGAAAAAGTCAGACGCGGTCCACGTTTTAGTTGCTGCGAGATGCAATCTCTCAAGCGAGTCGAGTCAATAGGATAGAACCAACCTCCTCAACTCCTCCCTGGCTTCTCGCCCCATGGCTTCGATGTCCTCGCTTGTCCTTCGCGGACTCATCGCGCGTACGTCATCGGGACCAAACTGAATGTCCACGGGTCCGACGTCGTCCTCGCGGGGAATGACGAGAGGTCCGCTGCTCTTTCGGCTCAGGAGCCTCGGCCGCTGAGGCACAGGGGCATGAATCCGCAAGTGGTCAGCATCGTTCGAAGCCGATGATGAATTGGAGGAGCTGGTGGCCTCTGATGGCGTGGTCACGTCGGCGGAGTGATGCGCATGTATCTCGATCTCGGTAGAAGTTGACGCCATTACACCGATGGGAATGGCTAGAAGCACGAGGTGTAACGGCAGCTAACTGTTGGTGCAAAAACTCGTTGCGTCTATGAGGTAACAGCGCTGGTGCAGGTCGTGTTGGTTAGGTAAATCTAAAGCAGACGGAGAGAACAGGTTCAAGCCCTCGTCCGTTCAAAGAGCCTAATCCGGGATGCTGGTGCTGGTGCTGCGTGGTTGTTTATATCAAGGATAAAAAGGTTGTGAGTGTGCCTGACCTAGCTCAGTCAAGGGGAAAACCCAAAACACACAAAAGTCGACCGATGACGTTGAGAGGCAAAGACACGACAAGTCAGGTGGGATTCTTAATGCTGGGACGACGAGTCGGCGACTAGCTGAATTATTGCTTTTGCTTGACCTGTTTGGGGTCTTCCAAGGACGACAAGCCACCCGACCTCGTTTGTCAGCATGAGCTGGAAGACGTCGGCCGAACTCGTTCGTTCAGTGGCAAAAAAGGCCAGAAATGGATGAGCAAAAATAAAGCAAGGCTCTAGACCCTCTTGGCAATACGGCAAGTCGGAAACAACTAAAAGTCAAAGTATCGCCGGGTTGCTCGCTGCAAGCTATTCGGCTCCGTTGGGATGGTTGGGTAGGATCGATCGACTGGTTGTTGGACCTCGGAATCGACTGTCTCACCTCGGAACTACCGTGCTTCGGAATGCCCTCTTAAAAATCGTAAAATATGAAGACCGGCGTGTCCGTATGTCTGATGTATTTTCTTGGGTCCGAAAATAGGGATTTGTTCAAAGGGTGAGGAGGAAATAGAAATTATTAAATATATAAGTGGATCGTGGAGAAATGTCGTCGGGAGCGGTGATGGAAATCCGCTCAACTAAGAGGGGAGGGGTTATAGATGGGAGTCGGTCAAGCACCTTTACACAGGCTTTCCTCGCGGCGTCGTCGGTCGGACTCTTTTCGAAAAAGAGGACTCGGGCGGCGAGGCAATAAAAATCCAAGCTCGTATTTGTCTTCTTCCCGGCGCGGCGGCGGTGGATGGGCCAAGTGGGCTGCGGGACGACAGAAAAAAGTTGGCTGGCAAACGTATACGGCCAGTTGTCTTGATGTCGGTATCTCGAGCAAACTCGCTAGATGGTAAATCGGGGAGGGAGGACAGAAGAAAGAAGAAGAAAAACGGCGCTTCACGTCGTCACGAATCCGAAGCGGCGAAGCAGGGCGGAATTCCCAAATATCAGAAGGAAGTTGCGAAGATGAGCGCGGAGGAGAACGAGGAGCCAGGAAGAGGGAAGGAGAGACGATAAAAGGGCCCGTTGAGGTGTGGAAGGAAGGCCAAAGGGGAAAAGGGTAGGTGCGAAGCAAAGCGAGGAACGGGGCGGTCGTGAATTGATATTAGGGGAGAGGCACGATGATCTACACTACACAAGACTTGGGGGAGGGTACCTGTTGCATTACTGCACTGGGTACTGGCCGGCTCGTTATTTTGGCGCTGGGCAACCAGAGAGAGCAGCGTATGGAAATACATACATTGAAGTAGATCCGTTGTGCGATTCCTTGCACATTGATCAAATGGCCTTGAGTGGTCCAGTTCCGTCATCCGCAACAGGCGGGAGAACCAAGTTGGAGGATTGGGAAGTGAAAAGGGGGGCGTGGATGGGCTTTGTAGCCTCTACCCGCATCCAGTAGAGTGAGTCCACGAAAGCGTAGGTCAAAGGATCATGGAGGGCCCTGTGTCTGATTAAGGGTCCGTTACGTCGCAAGTTGCGCGGGTGCTGGGGCCGGTCCAGGCCCTGTCCACTGCATCATCGATATCCACCTCGACAACATACCCTTCAACACGTCTAACACTGTGCGTGCTGTGTGCTTGCTCGCCTCACGTAATGGGTCATCCGCCATTGATTGAAGCGATCCCAATCCTATTATTCCGCGCTCCCCTAGGGCCCAGCCCGCGTAAAATTCTAGCGTCCAGTGTCACTGTTCTGTCAGGGTTTAGCTTCGTTTTCTGCCCGTCACCGTTTCCCCTCCCCGACCTTTTTTTCTTCTGTTTTTCGCTCATTTTCTCAAACCCTTGTTTTCTCTATCATACCGCTTTCTTCTGTGGGGAGATCTCTTCCATCTACTCCCCAAGTTTACCGGCATGGCCAGTGTTGCTCCTTCTCCTGGTCGCAACGGATCCATCCATTTGACGATTCACAGGATTCGGACTGAGCCTGAGGACGCTAACATGAGCCCGCGCGCGCGGCGGAACCAGTAGATCCAGCACAACCTCCCACAATATTGCGGTCCCCACAGCCTAATAGAACTTCCACGCGGTGGTACAAGGCGCACCAGTGTCTCACGCCAATATACCGTCATCGATTTATTCTTTTTCATTTTGGCCAAAAACTTCGGTATGCGATGGGATGGGATGGGATGGGTTGGCCCTGCCCTATGACCTCGGGAACCCGGAGGGGCAAATGCAGGCTGTGTTGCAGTGTCCCGCCTGTCCTTGCCACGTAATTGGTGCTCAGGGACAGGCTTGTTCTTTCCTCGTCCAGAAATATCCCAAGCGGTATCACCACCGTTGAGAAGGGAGGAAAGCGTCCTCCTGACTTCCATGCCTATGAACTAATACAACTAATATGCAAAAGGGAAAGAGGGGGTGAGCATTTCAAATATAGGCAGCATTCGACGCTAACTGGGTCCCGCGTGAAGTCTAGACCAGTCCAAATTCGTCTAGCCTTCTCCTATCCTCAACCACTCAGTGTTCAGAGTGCGAACGTGAAGTACCACGATGAAGAGTTGCACTTGCTCCAATGGACTTTGCTCCTTCTAAACTCTTCCAGAACCGTCATTGTAGCTGTTCAAATAACAAGAGCCAGACAATCCGCTCGAGGAAATTGGCTCGTCACAGCGCCTTTACGCCATTCTGTTTAGCGCCGCTCATGCGCGAGTGTGATGGATCCATCTCCCAATTAGGTGTGGAGTTTTGGATGAAGGGAAATGAGCGCTGCCCCGTTATAAGTTCCACTTGGCTGGCCTCAGGTGAGTGGGAGAAAGTTTAAACCTGAGGGTGAGAGAAAAAAAAAAAGAAAACAGAAAGACCCGCCCGAACGGGACAAACAGCCGCCAGAAGGGAATAGGAAGGAGGCGAGAAATGAAAGAGAAGGAGAAGACCTTCCAGCTCTTTCCTAGTGTAGCCTGGCCCCGACGTTCCTCGAGGGGAGGCCCACAGGCTTTCTTCTTGTCAAATGGGCCGTCGTGATTACAGTTCGACTTGTCCTGGGAGGCGCTGCTCCCTCAGGTCGATCCAGCACGCAGTTCAAATGTTCCCCAAATCAAGCCCAAAATGAAGGCGGCTTTACAAAGCGCGGAGTCAGTGCTGCGCCTGAGCGAGACTCCATTATTAGATTATTAGACTCTTTCGCCGATTGATCCAATCTTCCTTTTCTTACTACAAGCAGACAAGCCAGCGAGCCAGCGAGCCAGCGAGCCGTCTTCCCCTTTTATGGGAACTTGGTGCTCCGCCTATTATTCCTCGCGAGTGTCTGAGATCCGCGATGCGCCGAGGCTGGCCTTGCTGACAAGATCCTTCAGGCCAATTCTTCCACTTCAAGGGCGACAGTGGCGGCAGCGCGCCGCACGCGTGTGCGATCCTTCGCTTCAGCCGCCTTCCTTTCCTACTTCGTAGCAGCCGAGGTTCCGGGAAATGGCAGGTTTACAGCCCATCATTTCATGGCCACCTGGTATCACAGCCTAACGATGAACAATCATTCATCCAGATCTGGGACGCTCGATGAGACACAGCATAGGAGAGGGGGCGGTCAAGCTGAGAGGGCTTGGGCGGAATGAGCATCCACGCACGATATGACCACTCCAGCGTTCAACAAGCTCCCTCCTACCCAAGAATACGGTCCCTCTACATAATACCTCGTACCTCGACCAGGACAGCAGTACACATTACTTTTGACCGCTTGACACTAATAAACAACAGGCGAAGCTGGAGGTGTCAGTTGAGGACAGCAGATCCCCTGTCCTCGGTAACAGGTACCCTGCTCCTCCCGCTAATAGTTTCTCTCCCCCGTTGGCATTCTTCAGTCCGTCCCCCATCCTTTTCCCTCCACATCCCCGCCAAGACCCAAGCCTTGCCTTCCATGCCGACAGAGCAAGTGTGGTGTGATAATTGTACACCCCCTTTTCCAGTGACGCAAAATCCACCCGCCAGCCTATTGGGAGGTTCAGAAGATGACCACCCCGGTTCTAGTGGGGGCAAAGGTCGGCTCTTTGACGAACCCGAAGAATGGTCCCGAGCGCTGTGACGTAGGAGGCCCATGGTGGCTGGCGCTCTTCTTTTTTGAGCCCTTCTGTCCCCCATCCTCTGTTGCTCTTCTCCTTTTGGCGTGCTGCTCCTTCCAGATTGTGCATTCGGTTCGTGCAAGGAGAGAGAGGAAAAGGAAAATGAAGAAGCAGAAGCAGAAGCAGAAGAATCCCGAATGGGGACTCCCAAGCATCAATTTGAACCATTTGATGTCCCCATCGTTTCAAATATCACTGCCAACACGGACGAGTAGCTGGAAGTGAGGTAGGTATGTATGGGCTGTACAACTTCAAAGACGGAATCAAGAATTCATCAAAGTCAAATGTACCCCAGGTGATTGATTCCCAGTGAGGATGAGGACAATCATTCCAGCCACTGTGAAGATGGGAGACGAAGAAAAATAAAAGAAAAAGTATTTTTGGGAGATCGCCACCACGCATCAAGGATCTTTTCTGTTTCCACGTAATTACAGGATATTGATAGGCGGGGAGAACGCGTCTTGTCGCTGAACGTTCTGTCCTCGTGGTGGATTTACCGCCCATCACCCCCGCCCAAGTGCTCTGTGCTCTGGTCAGATCTGGAAGATCGTCGTCACAAATTGATCAATCAACGGTTTCGCGGACGGTCAGCTGGCTAGCGTGACAGTGTCGCGAGGTATCGTGCACTTGCTCCGTATTATCAACATCGTCAAAACGGCTAGTGGTCAAACGGTTTTCTTTTTTTGTTC